CACCTAATTTACAAGAAACAGGTTTTGTGAATACTTCAGATGTCTGTCAGTGCTCTAAAACTGCCAGTTTCAGACTGTTGAATGAAAACTTTCCTAGCATTGATTGGAACATTAGGTATTCACAATGCTATAAACCATTACAGGGCATCAAATGTCTATACAATATACTATACATTTTTAATTATTAATATTTAAGATATAGATCAGAGAGCAGAGAAAGCTATCTCTTGTTAAGAGCATCCCCATGCATCTTGTTATGGTGTCTTTTCAAGGGGGATCAAGAGTTAATTAGGGGTGTCAATCCCCCTAAACCCCCCTGTAATTCGCACCTTGGTTGTTCTGCAGTCAAACAGCATCTTCAAGAAGTCTAAGTATAACAAGTCTTGTCTATTATATGTTTTAAGAAAATGGCTAAACAAAGCATGCAAATGAAGTACTGGAGTCAGAAATATGAACCGCATTTCCCAGCCCTAATCTCATCAGCATAATAGTTCCCGTTCACATGCATACGTGTTAATTCAATCAACCAATTGAGACATCGCCCCTTAGTCAGGAAGTGCATAGTTAGACAATAGTTAAATGTCTTCAACACTTGGCCTGCTATAGTGTTTGAATGAAATGAGATTTATCAAAACCCAAAGGATATATCACTGTTAATTTGAATGTAGATTATATACATTTATGTCAACAATGGATTATAAATTTATTCAGCATCCATGACCTGTTTAACTGTATGTTTTCTTAGTTTAACATGTGTATTGTGAAATGTTTTATAGTGAGGCAACAAACACACGTAGACTGCTGAATTTAAGTGTTTAATGCACGCTAATGCACCATGTCATATTACTCAGCTCATGTGATTTCTTTTTTATTTAATTTTTTTTGTTATTGAAAGGCCAAAATAAGCTAAACTCTGAAGGTTGACCATTCCAAATATGGTCAAAACTGAACTTTTCGTTCTAGGGGTCATTTATATATATATATATATATATATATATATATATATATATATATATATATATATATATATATATATATAGTGTGTAGAGAATTTGTGCTCCTACTTAAGCCACTTAAGCCAATTTAACATATTGATTGAATTATATGGCTCGTTTTAATGTGTTTAAAGATTACAATTTTCAATTTTTTGCAGGCTTGTGGAATTGTACCGAATGCTCATATATACAGTGCTCTGATCAGCCAAGGACTGAAGCGTTTGGACTACGCGTATCTGCATGAACTTCTCAAACACATGCACAAAATGCAGGTGCCGCCCAATGAGGTCATCATCAGACAGCTGGAGTTTGCATCTCAATATCCTCCATCATATGACAAGGTTAGAGACTCATATAACTTAGAGATACATTAAACCAGTGGTTCTCGAACTCTTTTTACCAATTACCACCTCAGAAAAAAATTTGTCTCTCTAAGTACCACCATAATGACCAGTATTAAAGTATAGTAGCGTAAAAGACCTAATTAGGCAACTACAGCTCTGCACAGTTCAAAAACTAGGAAGATAATTATTCAGATAATTTAATATTGTCAGCCACTTTAAACATTATAAATAGTTTAAACATTAACACTGCACTGTGCTTACAAGTAAACAAAAAAATGTTTTAATTAAATGTGCTTCTAAAAGTTAATTAAAAAGGGTACTGTTCTTAAAAAGTAAAAAGAAACTGCTGTACTTCAATCTAAAGCATTATCATATAGTAGCCTATTCACCAAAACCTGGAAATGTTTCCTAGACCTCATAAATATAGGCTATGTCATCATATGTAAAAATCTTTTTGATAAATATTTTAAATAGATATTGCCTATATATATATGACTTAATTGTATATTTTTGAAATCTAAACATTAAATTGTATTTTAAATATATGATTTAGATTTACATATTTAAATAAGAAATTAGATCTGCTTACTGCGCCTTACAGTAGGCTTTGTGTGTCAGAAAAGCAAGTCATTAAACCATACCATTGGGATATAAAAATACGGGATACGTCCCCAACAACCGCTACAAATATGGGGAGGAGATTGGCTTCAAATTAGAGAGAATACATAACAAACATTAGAAAATGTAAAATAAAATAAAAGGTTTAGCCTATTAAAATCAATTTACTGATCACATCAGTGTTATCATATGCGTCAAAGGGTTAAAATTGTGTTCATTTTTTACTTTAATTATTCATCAACTTCTCCGCATACCACTAGAAGGAAGCCTTGTTTACCACTTGTGGTACACATACCACAGTTTGAGAACCACTGCATTAAACAACTTGGTGTGTGTGAAATATAATTCAGGTTAGTTACTTAAATTTATAAGTTGGTTAACTTCTAAGATGAATGGTTTTTTGCATTTTAATTTGATTTCTAAAGTTTTATGTGACACTAGATACTGAAATAATTACAGCATTGGCATCTTATTAAATTACAGTGTTACTGGTTTTATTACCAGTATTAATGGTAATATTATCATTTTTCAACATTTGTTGTGTATTAGTGTATTTTTAGCAAATAAATGCTAAATGATAAAAATAAAATGATTAAAATAAATGATTTTATATGTAATCTTTATATTACATAATATTTTGCAGTGAATGTTTTTTTTTTTTACATGTTATTGACCTGTCACCAGGCTTTTTCTTGTTCTTTTATGGATTAATTATGCTTGGTTTCTCTTCTTTACTGTAGTTAAAATCACAAAACGTATACCTGGACAGGATTGATGGCTTTCGTGGGTTTTACAAGGAATGGCTGGAGTTCATGCCTGGCCAGGAAACCCCGCACCCCTGGGCCAAGTATCAGTCACCGAAACCAGAGTCAAATCAAGATGGAGTAAAACAAGTTTCAGAATAAATCTTGACTCAATTGAGCTTGAAGTTATACATGTAAAGGTTGCCTGACCTTAATTGTGAATGTATCTAAGGCTGATTTTGAATATGTCTGATAATAATTGTACATTTGTTTTGTATATATTAAACATTTGTATTTAATATTAGGCTATATTGTTTTATTTGTAAGACAAAAATACAAAAGTGGGGACGCAGTGGCACAGTATGTAGTGCTGTCCCCTCACAGCAAGAAGGTTGCTGGTTCGAGCCTCGGCTGGGTCAGTTGGCATTTCTGTGTGGAGTTTCCATGTTTTCCCTGCATTTGCTTGGGTTTCCTCCGGGTGCTCCGGTTTCCCCCACAGTCCAAAAGACATGCGGTAGATGAATAAACTAAATTGGCCATAGTGTATGAGTGTGTATGGGTGTTTCCAAGTACTTGGTTGCAGCTGGAAGGGCATCCACTGTGTAAAACATATGTTGGATAAGTTGGCGGTTCATTCCGCTGTGGCAACCCCTGATGAATAAAGGGACTAAGCTGATGGAAAATGAATGAATAAGATAATATTCATGAGTTTTTGATGTAACTTATTGTGATTTTTTTTATATTGAATTTTCTTTCAAATTCAAGATTTGTTTTGCATAAAATATAAATACCATATTCGAGGAAGCAATATTTGCTGTATATAACCATGATTTTCAATCACAGAAATTGTAAAAAATTAAAGGAAATCATTGAAATCAAACGTTAATTACTCGAACCCATGCCTAATAGAAGAGCGGAGGGTACAAAGTAACACAGGGTAAAATGTAACGCAGAGTTTTAAGGTATTCGCTCAGGGTTAACCATGACATGCTTCAGTAGTTTTCACCACAGTGTGTTGGCAGACGTTTTCCTGCCAATTGTTGAAAAAGTTTGGCAAAATTTGGATGAGAAACCATTTTCGTTGCATGAAAGTATTTTCTATTACAGTCATTTTTTTTTATTTAAAACAATCTGTAAAAGTATGTACATAAAATCTTGTTGTGATCACCGTCTTCTAGGCTAAATGAGGGAACCATTTAGAAAGATGTAAAAAAATAAACAGTGACTGCAAGTCAGTTTTAAAGAAAACAGGACAAAGCGGAGTTAGTTGTTACAGGGTGTCACAATTAAGCCACACACTGTTGGACAACAATTAAAGAAACACAACATTTTTATTTTTATTTTTATTTTGAGTGTAATGTTAAAAACTGTATATATAAATAAAATTGATAGAAAAAGTAATTTTATTGCTAATAATGCAAATAAATGCATTGTATAATAATGGATAATAATGCAATAAATCCATATTATAGTGTATAATAATGCTAATCAATCCAAATGTGTTTATCCAATACATAAATAAATAAACATACTGTGTAGAATAAAAAAATAGCTACTGAGGAAATATAGTAACTATTTAAAGTAAACTGAATTTAAATTAATTGTGTGAAATTTGCCTTTTTAAGCATGTGTTACTATTAACACAAGTACAGTTACAGGTGGGGTAAATAGTAGCATTTGTACTCCTGGCACTTTTGGCAAAACTGCATAGAATCCACAGGTCCGGCAATCATACATCCAGTGCTCATTTGTTGTTGTTTGTTTAATTTCATTACTTTGTTCATTATTTGGCCAAAACCCAAATGTGTTACTTTGTGCCATGCTCCCCCCTAAGTCCATTAAACCTAGACTAAAAGAAGAATATAAGAAATAAATTGTCAGCTTATTTAATATTGTTTACAATAATAACCTCTTAAGGGCAAAGGCGTTTTTTTTGTTTTGTTTTTTGTTTTGGTAAGGGCACCTGTTTTACACAGCAGATGCCCTTCCAGTCGCAACCCATCTCTGGGAAACATCCATACACACTCATTCACCCTCCTAAACTACCGACAGTTTAGCCTACCCAATTTGTAACCGCATGTCTTTGGACTGTGGACTGAAACCAGAGCACCCGGAGAAAACCCACGCGAACGCAGGGAAAACATGCAAGCTCCACACAGAAACGCCAACTGACCCAGCCGAGGCTCGAACCAGCGACCTTCTTGTTGTGAGGCGACAGCACTGGTTTTGTGACATATTGCTAGCTAAACGTATAACACGTGCGGTTCACACTCCTGTCCAATAGGTGGCGGGAATGCCCCATATAAATTTGCCTGCCAAGCGCCATTAACCCCTTAAGAAGAAAACGTGAACATTTCCGGTTTGGTCAGGATCAAAAAATCCAGACGAAGCGCCAAACTTTGAACCCGCACGTTCGGGGTGGAATTTGAAGATAAACGTGTAAGTTTCACTGACTAAGTTATTAAAAGTAGAACAAATGAACATAAAAGCTTTTTCACACGACACATGCTGACTTAAGCTGACCTCGAGTTCGCTTCTTCTCGTTCTTGTTTACAGGATGGAGCACAATTCAATTATAGTTTTAAGCGACGATGAGGATGAAGGCAATTTCTCAATGACCCTCAACGATTCCTCTGTGCTTATCGTTGAAAATGAGACGAAAGGACCAGGTAATCTTCGTTATGTCAATACTTAAATATGACAAAACAAAAGAGGTGAGTGTTCAGAAGTATCAACAAGTAACCACGTTTTCTTCAGTGTTATGCTAATATAATGCTTGATTTTACGTGTAATATAGGCATAGCATGATTTTAAAAAGCGATTACTATGCTAATTACGTTTATTGATGTCGTATACCCTTTTAAAGTCTGGTGTTCCGTTAATGCTAAGCTATGAAAACATGCTAATCATTATCGAGGTAAAGTTGGTTCGTTCAGTGACGCCCTCCATATTGTTTACCATGGTACTTTGAATATTCTTTCTTGAAATCACATGTAAGACTTTAAATCAACATTAGTGCTATTTAACTGATCGTGAACAAAGTTGTACTTCTATAGTCATTAGCTGCTAATATGATTTCCCCATGTAGAATTTACAAATAATACTTTTTTGATATTATCTTATCAAGGAGAAAGTCCCAATGTGCTAATATAAAGCAAGCTTTACCCCAGCCTAATCATTGTCATCTTTGTGTTTGTCTTTGTTTTCTGTTCATCTTAGATGTGCCCAGGCATATCGAGGAGGTGGATGAGGACTTGGCCATCACATACTCCCAAACCGCAACAGTTCTTCCACATGCTAGATACGACTGTGTTCTGCCTTTCTGGTTTGTAAAACAGACGTTTTTGTAAAATATTGATTAGAAGATGACTCCAGTGTGTTGTCCTTTGTTATGAGTGTTTTCATTTTTGTGTGTTTGTGTCCTCCAGTCGAGAAGAGCAGAACGTCTCTGGACCTCTACAAGATAATGCTAAGCACTGTGATCAGTGTTTCTGCTATATCTGTGACAAACTAGCCTCCATGGTGAGTTTACTGGCTTCACATTTTTATTTGTGATATGTACCGTATGTATGAGTAAATATATATATATATTTCTCTATAGAGTAAAACTACAAATAAAAATATTTAAGGTCTATCTGTACAAACTGAAGTGTTCTGACAAACTGCCATGTGCATAAGAGAGGACGAAGAGTATCCTATAGACTAATTACCATGTTTGTAAACATTCAGGATGTGCCCACAGAGGTTGCAAAAAACAAACAAACAAAAAAAACAGGAGTGCTAGCATTTACAGTGAGGGAATGACATCTGAATGAATGTGTGAATATAAAACCAACTTTACCTTAATAACTTGCACTTTCACGCTTCATTCTAAGCATTCAGTGTCTGCAATTTAATTAACCATATGTAACTGTTTTTGCTGAAATCATTGCTGCAATCAAAAACGAGTAATGTGTCTGATTCAGCATAGCGTGAACTTACCTGATATGAAATAACTGCAGAGTCGAGCATTTCTAATTTGGTTGTCACTTCATTCAGCTCTATTTTAGCCAAAGTCTGCGGTTGCCATTAAAAGTAATGTGGTGTACAGCAAAAGTTGTTTTCCATTTTGTGACTTTGGACTAAAAGTTAAGTTTTCTCGAATTTGGCATCCTACCGGACAACTCGTTTACTATTGCAGCTGATCTTTTTTTTTTTTTTTTGCAACTGGGGACCCGTGTGACGTAGGTTGGTAATTCCCCTATAGGTGGTTTATCAAGCTCACTCACCTGTCTGGAGTACTCTAGAACTACAAGATATAGTGCAGGCTTCAGATATAATCACTGTCATGGTTCTAGGCTTTGTCTTTAACCATATTAGCAAGTGATTAGCATTTCCTGAGTACTTTCATTTGTAATCATTTAAGAATTTGTCTGTGAGTTTGTCTCGTGAATCAACCATCTGGTTACAAAAAACTAACTTTTTTCAATTTGAACACAATTACATACTTCTATACTATATAGTACACTAAAAATGGGATGTGAGCCAAGTAGTATCTCCAAATTTATAGAATTTGAAAAACAGTATGCGAGAAGTATCCAGATTACTTTCATACTGCTGGTGATATTCTGAAGTGCACATCCAATGCACGCTACGCTATCCCATGATGCACAGTGAGAGAATTCATGGAATGGGAGTTAAGCAGGTAGGCCACGTGATGATGACAAAGTGGTATCCGTAGTACATTTAAGCTCCATTCATACTGTATACACATACTTTTCTATCGGTTAAGTAGTAAATTACAATGCAGTACCTACTGAGTAGTAGGTATTTTTGGACACAGCTAATGTATTTTATTTTGAGAAATATCTTCGAACCATGAACATGTCAGGCTAAATAATTCGAGTCATTGACTTCTGTCTTCATTAGTTTCAAAAACACTAATTTCTCAAAAGTTTATTTGCATGTTTTTTTGTAAAAGACTTATTTTCTAAAATAAAATAAAAAACCCCAAAACAAGTATTGTATATTGATTAGTGGATTGTATCGGGTGATTCTGTGAACTGTGCTGTATACAACTTTTTCCATTGATGCCCTTTTCATTTTTGACCCACATACCAGGCTAAAAGTCTTGTGTTTGTGAAGCATTTGTAAAGCGTGTAAGAAACAAATAAATGTGGCTGTTTTTTTTTTTTTTTTTTTTTTTTTTTTTTAAAGTGTGACTTTTGGACCATTCCTGGCTTTTGCCACTGCAATGCTCATAAGCACAGCGTCTACTGGAAAGCCCTCCGTGACAAGTGCATGATGGGATTTCTGCATGAGCTGAACTTTACCTTTGATCCATCAGAAATGGATTCAGATCTGCGGCGTGCAGGTATTTTCTATCTTTCTCTTCACTAAAACTGCAGATGTACTGATTCTTTCTTCGTACCTGTGCTAACCTAACTCTTAATTTTATGTGCTTATGTAGAGACTTTACTGCAGAAATTTGCTGGCAGTTTAGCAATGAAATATGCAAAGTTTTTGTTGGGGAATGAGAATCCCAATCAAAAGGACTGCCGCTGCTACTGTCATCACAACAAAAATGCCTTTACACAGAACCAGACCTTAGGATGCAAAGGATGCAGTGGACACCACTTTAAAAACCTGGAGTATGAGTAAGTGGTCCTCAATTGTATAGTGTTATTTTGCTAATTGCTTTATAACATGAATGGTGTCTGTGCATGACTGCTTGCTATACTAATTAGCTCTTCATTATTTTTACAGTTACAGTGGTGTCAGTCATCATCTTAAAATGTTTTTCAACGGAGCAAATGAAGAGAACCCCAAGACTTGTGTTGTTATGCTTTTAGGGGCAATCAAGCTTTTCATCACCCACACAGCTCCTGGGTAATAATTGAACATCCTGACCACTTTTTTTTGTTGTTATATGCATTCATGTAATGTGGAATTATTAATGAAATGTTATCTCTCTTGCAGAAATATGCATGCTATTAAAACTGTATCTGAAATGGTGTCAATGCTCCTGTGGAGGTAATGCCACAAACCTGTTATTTGTATATATTTTAAGTGCATTAAGAGTGCATTTATTTATTTATTTATTTATTTTCCTCTTCATATCTTTCTGTCTTCTAGGTTTATGACGAAGGTGTGGACACTTTTAGTTGAATTTGATTTCTCTAGCACATTTTTAAAGCACCTTGATTCTTTCGTCCAGAGGATTCCCATGGCTGCAAACTGCACCTTGCCAAAAAGGTAATAGAGCAATTTCTACGTTATGGATGTGACTTTCAGTAAAAACTTAAAACATACACAAAGAAAGTATATGTTAACATTATATTGAAACATCTGTTTTATATTTTCCAAAACAACTCACCACAGAATTATGGGGTCAGAAAAATATCAATCTGATGCATTTTAAATGAGGAAAATAAACATGCATTATGGATGTGACCAAAGAAGTCGGGAGATAACAGTAAACGACATATTTGTAGAAACAGACCCAAGTTTATTCTTTGTTTAATTTTTTATGTATGTCAGTGCTTTAAAAAAAGCGTAATTATATCGAGACATTTTGACAGCAAAATTGGAAAATTTAAGTTTGCGTACTCCTGGTTGGAGGAAATTCAGTTTTAACATTGGCTGAAGCCTGTCGCTGAAACCAACTAAGGAATTTATTATTTCAAGCTTTATTTCTTCCAATCTTATGTGAGTTCTGTTGCATGGTTGTCGTCTGATTTATTTAACTACAACTGTTTATTAAGTAAAAGGTTTGATACTGATTAGAACTTGAAGTGGCGACGAGGTCTTAAAATATTCTGAGAAGGTCTTTTAAAAAAGTCTTAAGGTATTGAAATTACCTTTAGGATTCCTGCATATATCCTGTGTAGGTTTAATCTGCTTTTGCATGTTGAGACAGCAATTTTTAATTTTGTTCTAACCTTTATTGATTGTATAATGGATGTATTATAATTATATATTTTGTCTTTGATTTCAGCCTAAGCGTGCTACCTTGGGATGATCCACTACTCTCTTCTGTAATGAAAGGTCAGAACATCACTGGAGAGAGGCAGCTCAAAGGTCGAAAGGTTCAGCTCTTGTGTGAACATCTGACTGTGATTCAAGCAAGAGTCTGTAAACTTCAGCGGCAAAACAAGTAAAATATCCCCTTATTCTTACCTTATTTTGTTTAGTGTTTGTTAAATATTTATTTGATTAGAATGTACAAGCATCATTCTACTGAGTTTCTGTAAGTTTCAAGTAACAGCCAATTTGCAACCTTCTATAGATGTTTGGGGAGTTTTCATCCTCAACTTCCTCTTCAAACTAACCTTCAAGTCGTTTTAGCATAGTTGATTGCGTTTCCTAAGAGATTATTATACTCTAAACGAATGTGTCCTATTACGCTATTGCTACATATTTTTGTTAAATACAACTAAACTGAAATTTTATACAAAAACAGAATTGTCTTTTAATTGACATTAGTTTTGTGGAAATTTTGACCTACTGCATAAAACCCTATCCTAGAGCAGTGGTCTCAAACTTAATTCTTGGAGAGCTGCAGCTCTGCATAGTTTAGCTGTGGTTTAAGCACCTCCAACTCGCACCTGCTTAATGGTCTATAGTAGTGTTGAACACTTTGATTTTGGTTTGATCAGCTGTGTTTGATTAGGGTTGGAGCTAAACTATGCAGAGCTGCGGCCCTCCAGGAATTAAGTTTGAGACCACTGCCCTAGAGTAAATGCATAGATGGTGAGGCTGATTTACTCCCTGCCAACGGGTGTCATTTAAAAACGGCAATGATGTAGTGTTTGCTGGCTTAGCGCTGTAAATCAAGTAGTGTTATTAGATGCAGAGCTGCTTCAAGCAAGATGAAAAGAAAATGACACAAACCTTTCTAAAGACTCTCAAAGTTCCTCTCAAAGATAAGTTCATAGAAACTCCTACTCCAATTGTAGACCAGCACATTTATTAGAGGTTTGTTGTTTGAGTTAATAAGTGATTAAAATATGAATTTTAATAATATTATTGGTGAACAGTTTTTGATATTTCCCTATTTCAAGAGATAAGCTGTACTTGCATGGCTGCAATCCTTAAAATAAGTTTGTCAAGGGAAATTACCTTTTATTTTATTTTTTTGTCCCCTTTCTTTTTAAAAAACACTTTCTGCACTAGTTAAATCTATTTTAGGGATTTTGTTGTTGTAAATGACAAAGAAAATAGAGGTAAAAGGCATTTGCGGATTGTCAATAAAAGGTTTGTCATTGTAATCTATGTTCTTCCTGATAAGTCTTCTTTTTAACATTGACATTACCAGGTACAGAGAGCTGGCCCGCTACCTCAAAGTTGTCAGATGCATTAATAATCCAACGTGAGTATCAACTGCGTATAATTTATATTGCTGTTATAAAACCGATTATAATCATGCGTAGTTCAGTCGTTCATTATATTTCTCTCTATCTGTGGTTTTAGGCTGCAGAGAATGAGAGACTTGGTTCCCCTCTACCTGTGCAAGGTACAGCATTATTTTCAGTGCATTCTACCTTTTTGCTTTACAACAATTTCCCATGCACCGTATTATATGCTCATTTTTCATTGGTAAGACTCTAGGAAGATTGTTTTTTTGTGGTCAAAATATGTGGTCAGTTTGTTGAAAGTTACACCTCTGTCAGGACCTCCTTTATAAAAAGAATTCATTCTTAAAAGGCTTGTATTTGTTGAAAGTTATGGTTGTGGTATCAGACCAAAGTTTGAAGTTATGATTAGTTTTTGCATGTACTAAAACATTGAGACACCAAAGATTATGGCAGTATAAATCTCTGTTTTGAATGATCCCCAAATGATAACACACAAATGAGTGTTATTTGTGTGTTAAGGTTGGAGACTACACGGGTGCAGTCCAAACCATGTTATCCCCAATGCTTGGTGCTCCTTCCTCTGCCTCTCGACTCACACCTGCACAGTTCAGAGCTTATCTGCGGATTCTGACATCAGGTCATGCACCGGACATAACACTGCCAGAGCTTGACCCAGAGAACGGTCATGTGATCACATCAGATCCTTTATTGAGTACTAAGTGGACGCCCATCGAAGGTACTGAACTGACAGCATGTAGATTGAAAAGTTTGGGTTATTTGAGCATTCACTATTGAGCTGCAACTGCACTTGAAATAATAGTTTATATGCTAATGTTGTCTCAAACTAGATCTTGATGCTTTGTTTGTATGTGAAATGTTAAAAGAAAAAAGATTTCACTACTATTAATACTACAGTTTATGATATTGATGATAAATATAATTTTAATTGTTAAATATAATTATTTATATTTAACTGTCATGAATTATTTATAATCCATGACAGATTTAAACCAGTGAAGGTATCGACACAAATCGTTACCTCAAATAGCAAGTCCTTATCTTAGTGAGAAGTTCATTGAATTGTTCAAAACACCCAGTTCATTCAGAAACAAAGCAGTTTTCTTTTTAAATGAGTTGTTAAATCATTGTCACATAATTTAATTCAAAAACAGGTTAAATTAAGAACAAGAGTATCTATAATGCTGCTCAGACACAAATGTTTGGCATTGGCTTTTGATTGTTGATATTTGTTTAATTTCTACAGTATATTAAGTCATTCCATATAAAGTGGCCTTCTAACTACATTCTTAGCCTTCATCACACATTGGTTGCTTTTAGACTTGTGAGACACTTGCTATAAATTTCACATGTTTGGAACAACTATTTTGGAATTTTTATCATATAAATGATATATGTAGACCCTATGACTAATTGAACATGTTCTGCATTGGATCTTGATTTACTTTACAGATCTTTACAGTATATTAAGTAATTTTATACATGGTGGATTTCTGACTGCATACTTATAGATTTCATCATAATTTAAATGCTTTTAGGCTTTCAGGAGATGTTTGTTTGTTTGTTTGTTTGTTTATTTATATATATATATATATATATATATATATATATATATATATATATATATATATATATATATATATATATATATAAACTTCTAGGAAAATTAATATCTCCTAAAGACCGTCATTGGCTGAATTAGCTCGCATAAGGAAAACATGGGCGTATAGACTAATATAGAAATGTCAGTTAACATAAGCAATGGGTTTGAAAAAAAAAAAGCATTTGTTTTCTCTTCCTCTTCTATAATCCACTGTACAGTACAAGATCAATCCCAGATCAATAGTGAATGCAGAAATAAAGAAATAATGCACAGTTAAAGACTGAAGATGCTGCTGACTTGTGACGAGTAACTTTTTTAAAATTATTTGTTACTTAAGAATATAATGCTTTTTCTATGTCTTCATTTAAAGGTGTAAATTCCTTCAAGAGTATGGAGGTGCTGAAGTTTGCACTGAGGGTTCTGGACTGCAACAGCACTGTTTTTGCAGATGTAAGTATAAAATGTATATACATAAAACACCAAAGTGAATTAAGAAGTGATTTTTGCAGAAAAGAGCGTTATTTGAAAGCCCCAAATCATGCTTGTGACCCAAAAGGATTTTATTTTTTTTTTTAAATTAACATTTTTATTTAATTAGTTTTTCTTTTGTATTGTGTCAGGGGCAGCATCAAAACATGTTGTGATACATCTATGGATTTTGCTGGTATAGGATTCTGATGGAAATCTACTGGAGATACTGCTCTCCTTAAAAACATAACTAGAAAATTGTACACATACCTTAGAAACGGTATCGCATAATTTTGTCAGTTTTAAAACTTGACTTTTCAAATCCACGGTATACCTTGAAACTGGTTATCGTCCCATGCTAGATGCATCAACCCATTATAATTTAATTGATTAACTCTTCATGTGTGTTAAAGACTGTCTGTCAGCATGAACCCTAATTATCTCTTCAGATCTGCTGCCTTTTTTTATAACAGAAGGTCCGTTTGTTTTTTTGTTTTTAGCCGGAATGCTGGGTGTATCTGCTCAGCGTTGTCAGTTCCAGCTTTATTACTCCAGAAGGACTGGTTGTTGGTGCATTGTTTGCCGAGCCTGACATCAACTTTCAAACGGTGAGAATGTTTATTTTGTTTTTTGCAGGGAATTGATTGGACAACATACTTGCATGTTATGATGGACACTGATAATTTTGTGCTTCTGTGCAGGTGACCAGAAAGGCTGCCAATGCAATTCTCGAGGAGCTGACAAGTACATCGCGCATACAGGTCCCCAAAACATTTGATATTGTGAGTTCAATTTATTAGTTTTTTTTTATGCATTTATTTTTTGGGCTCAAATCCTTATTCGTGTACGGGTTTGAAGAATAATATAACCTGTGTGTGTATTTAATGACGACAAATGAGATGTGCGTTTTCTATGTATAAAATAACTTTTGTATAGTTGGGTTAGGGATAGTTCAACCAAATAAATTTGTAAAATGTAATTTTGCTCCCTTGTTCAACCATTTAGTTTTTTGTTTTGTTGAACACAAGATACTTTGAATGTCTTCCATAGTAGGACAAACAAATACTATGAAAGTCAGAGGTTACAAGTCATCAGCTTTCTTCAGAATATCTGGCTTTGTATTCCATTTAATGAAGAAATTTATCAAGGTTTAAAACATCTTGAGTGTTTGTAAATGTTGACTGAATTTGTGTGAACTATCCCTTAAAAATATGAAGTTTCATCTTTGTGCCGTGTAGATTTTTATTTTAAAGATGTATTCATTTTCTAGCCTGATTAAATATCATTCATTATTTAGCAACCTAAATAAATGACAATTAAAAATGCTCTGGTTAAGATCAGATAATTTACATATAATGCAGAGTCTTTGCTTATTGCGGCAGCATGTGATGTTTTCTTTCCTCCTCTTTAGGGTTATCCTGACCAAGCTAGACTGCTGTTGGCCGTTCAGGCTTTGACACTGCGTATATTCCACTCACAACTCCGCCCCATCCTTGGTGTCATCACTGTTTTTAGGGTGCCTATTTTCTCTAGATCTTGTCAGACTTTAGATGCACAGCTGTTATGATATTACTGATCTCTTGTACATTTGGCTTTAGTTGAACCACTGGGCGCTTCATTGGTTCTTCAACAGTCTTCTGGTAAAGCCTAATATTCTGCAATATGTCCTGTCCTGCGTGCTGGAAGAACTGTCTCACGAACCCTACGAGAGGTTAGCCTGTATGCTCACACTCATTTAACCAAACTAAACAAAAGCTAGCATGCTTAACATGTACTTGCACTATAACTATGTTTCAGAAAATTGAGCGAAAGCGATCACTCCCTGGTTGCTTACTTCCTCTGCATGTTCTTCCTGGAAAACAGCATTCTTCTAGATGCTGCATCCTATCCCATCAGTGGTCTGCTTGCGACTTGGGACGAGTAAGCTGCAGCAACCCTTCCCTACTGAAATGCTTATTGTTTAACATGGGCCATTACTAAAAGTTGTTTTAATGATGTTTGTGCATAAATATTTAGTCTAATTCAAATATAATGTTGGAATTGACCCTTCACAAAGCCCCCTTTTCACTTTTAATTTCCATTTAAATTTAGTTATTTCGCCGATGTATTTGTCCAAAGCGACTTACAATTGAGGGATTCAGCTAGGGCTGAGCGACATTGCAAAAAAAAAAAAAAAAAAAAAAAAAAAAGATCACTTTCATATCATTAGATATCAATAATTATTATTTTTTTAACTTAGGAATATTAGGATTTTTTTTATTGTACCACTTTATTTTAGCTTACCAACATTAATAATAATACTAAGGCAAATAGTTTTAATAGTCAAAAACTATAATGTTTAAATAAAGTGTTAAAGAGAATCTTAAACAATGTTGTTAATAAGTGTGTCTAATTTAAAGCCTGAATGCTGAACAATCAAAGAATACTTGAAGGTGTGAATAATAATGATACACCTTGAACAACTGTCAATATCACAAATTATGATAATCAAATCTGAGCTTTCAAGTAAAGGAACCAACATCATTATTTACTTATATACTGCAACATTACTATTTGAAGTTGGATGACTACATTTCCTCCTATGCTAAATAATCTTTCAGATTGGGAGCTACTGGCTGAGATGCACAAGAAAAGAAACCCAAAAGCCACTCTGGCGGTGTTCTTTATTTGCAGTTTCTTCACTGCTGCTATATGGTACTCATTTTCGCATTACCAATGCAGCAGCTCCGATGCAAATTATGGAGAAAAGTAAAAAGTGCTAAAGTGTTTGGGTGCGCTGTGTTTGTCTGAGGTAATTATTCTGTATGTAATACTCTTTGGTAATAATGGCAAAGTATCAAGCAGGTTGAATAGTTCTACTTGCATAAATTGCGGTGTGTATGCGGCATTCGAAAACTATGTTTGTTTGTTTGTTTTTTTTTTTAGCTCTGTGCAGTTAGAAAACACGCACAGTTCACGTGCGCGCCGCTTGTGCCACTTTTCAATTGCACATGAAAGTTGCGCGTGTCCAATGGAAATGACAAACTTGCACCCTAAGCTTATTTGCATTACTTCCAAGGCGTGTGCTTAGCAGCCACATTTTATTAAAACTAGCGCTTCATACCAAACTTTTTTTTTATATTGACAATGGTGCACGGTCAATAAATATCGATATGATTTTATCGCCTAGCCCTATATTCAGCAATGCAACAAGAGACAATGCACACAAGAAGTGCTAATTATTCAAAGTAACTTGTTTGTGCTCAGAGAATTTAGTGCTAGAGTAATTTATTTATAAAAAAAATAACAATAACTATATATATATATATAATCTTTAAAGGGAGAGAGGGAGAAACTGCTTGGTTTTGGTGTTATTCACCAGGGTTTAGGTCTTATCTGAAGAGATGGGGTTTTTAGTTGTTGTCTGAAGGATACCAGTGTATCCACAGTCAGAGTGGGATTGGGAAGATCATTCCACCAGCAAGGAACATTAGAAAGTGACTTACAGCCTCTGTGATGGCACCACACAGCGGTGCTCACACCCACACTCCTGGAGGGGATGTAGAACTTCAGGAGTAGACATACTTTCAGTATCAGTCACATGCTCCCATATTGATTTGTTCACTCACCAGGGACATGTTGAATACTTTCAGTACAAATTACATACTGATTCCAGGAAAAAAAGACATAAGGGTTCGCATTGTGCATATGAGGGGAAATATTTGATGCGAGTGTAAATAAAAACAAATTACATTCTGCAGCAATAGTCGAGGAGGAGGTTGATGATGATAATGGCTGAAGTTTTGATCATCTGAATACAATGAAAAAATTTTACCAATTGGTCCCCTAACACATAATTCACAAACACTCAAATGGTGGCATCTTGAAGAAGACAGTGCATTTATGAATATATGAGACAGTGTAAAGTTAATTCATTGTTTATCTGGGTCTCTAGGCTATGGTTTAAATTGACTCGCCTCATCTAAAGAGTCCTCTGATGGTTTACTGTTTGTCACATCATCATTAACTAAAGTTTTGTCGGCTGTCCAATAACAGAAGAATTTAGCTAATCGGTTCGAGTTCTCATGTTTTGAGCCATTATTTTAGCAAGATCAAAACAGCCCTCTTGATTGACAGTGGCAAATATGCACAGCTTTTGTTTTTCAGCCAACGGTAAACTTCCAGTGAGAACTTCATGTGACTACTTCCAATTTTATAATGTTCCTTTTACAGCAATGATGTAATGTATTTAAAATGCGTTCAGTTAAACAAACTTAAGAATTCATTAAGTTGAAGTGTAAAACCAGAAGAACGGCACCGAAAATCTAGACTGGTGCCATCAGCTGCAGGCTAGTGCAGAAACTCCCCTAATGCTGGGGTAAAATACACTTTCATATTTTAAAGACATGTTGCGGAAAAATTACATTTAATTTAAATGCAGTGCTTCTGTCTAGTCTTGAGACTCACTTTATATCGTAAATCAGGCAGTGAAGATCACGGAATAAAAAACAACTCAAACGTGGTGATTTTGTAATGGATATAGTGCACTGGAAGTGCATTTGTCCATGTACGTACACAACATTGAGGAGTACACTGTCCACAAAAACGTATCGGTTTCATTCACTTCTCTAGGTTTCTGGAAGAGAACAAATGTATGCCCAGCCTTTCTGGGTACCTGCTGTCTGATATAAAGAAAACATTTTCACAATTCTTAATGTTAATCATGGATGTTTCTCTAGTATCAATCAAACTGCTGCGAAGGGTCAATTGCCTAAGTTGTTGTGGATGATGCACATTGTAGAGTAGATTATTAAAAATAAAAAAACTCTGGGAAAATAAATTGAATGTCATCATAAGGTACTTTAGTCATAGTTCATATAATTTATTTTTGCTAAATTATCAAACTGCTTGAGTTTGAAAATGTATCCTTTACTTTCAGATCGCACAACCCTTGGCAAATACGCTTGAGGCTGCATCTTGAATGCAATGTAAGATTTTTTTGCTATTACTATTCTATACTTCAAAAGTCTAATTGTTTAGATTTCAGTAACCCATGTGTTCTGTTCTCCTGCAGGCTGCAAGACTCACTCAAGAAAAACGCCAAATCCTGCAGCTCATCCAACGCCTGAGAAAATGACCCTGACTCATCCTGAAGAAAAGAATATTTATGGGTTTTATTGTAGTTAAGATCAATTTTTTATTTCTTATACTTTTTAATAAGGCTGATTTTGTTATTTGCACAGTTATATTCAGCAAACAGAGTTTCAAGTCTTTAAACATTAGTGGTATTGTAAATAAATAGTTAAGATTCAAATGCAACTGATACAGAGCTGTTCAATATTGCTTTGTTATACAGTAGCTCATTTAAGCTTGTGAATGATTGCAATTCTCAGGGAACTTTTCACAAGCAATTAAGCCATAATTACTGTATAAGTGCCTTTTGTAAACAAGATATCACAACATGCAGAAACTGTAAATATAATGTTAAAGCTGAGCAACACAGCTTTGTGTCTGCAGTCAAAGCCAAGTATTACAACACTACATTGCACAAATCTTTGAGTAGTTTTTGTGAATGACTTTCACAGTTTGAAGATGGATGTTGTGGTGTAGCTGAATAGGAGCACATTGGGAGTAACCTCCATGAAGTGCAGTTTGATGAGTTCAGATAAATAGCGAAGGATTTTCTTGTCATCAGTGTGAAGTTCAGAAAGAAAACATTCTGTCCCTGAGCTTCCCTGGGGCCTGCTGGGTGAAGGGTGACCATGTGAGAATGTTAAGAGGAATGCTTTGGTGACGAGCTTGCTTTGCACACTTTGAGCGAATGTGAAGTAGGTGTTTCCACGTTTAAAGTGGCTCTTGGGTTCCACCAGCAGGTTGATGAGAGAACCACTGTAGGTCGGGCAGTGCAGGGTTTTTTGATCTACATCTAGGATACTGAGGTACCGGCTGTAATGGTCCAGGCAGTGAGGCAGACTTGAGGGATTAAAACTGCACATCCTGTGGTAAAAGACAAAAACAATTTATCAAAGTGGTGTGACAGCTGGTTTAACTGTACTGAAACGTTGAAATTTCTTAAATATGTCAAGTCTGATTCATGAGAACAAACAGCATGCGTCTCTCTCAGATGTAAAATCTTCAGATTGCAAATAATCTTAAAATTGTGCGCAGTCAAATGGTTTTACACATGAAGTGTGCTAAATTGAGCTGTAATGTGTGATTAAGCTGACGAGGTAGGCTGTAGGGAAACTAATATCCTTTATGTTTTTGTTGGTTAATTACATTTTTAATTTGATATTAATATTACAACAAATAATACAAATTATTTATGCTGCCTAAATTTCATTTTAATGGTACCAGATTCTAACAAAAGGTAAAGGGTTGTATGTATGTATACTTGATGAGGGTGTTACACACTGTTTCAAATCAGAGCGTTTAAATGTAAACTTTTTGGCATAAACTTAGTTTACACTCTAAAGTCAAGTTTCAATGCGAGTGCACATTTTATAAATGAGACTGCAGACCTTTCTCTATATTATACCTGCTCGCTCTCCCTACACACACTTTTTAACAGTTGCAGTGTTCTTTAAGCCAGTGTTTTTCAGCCACGTTCCTGGAGGACCATTTTACAATGTACCTGATTTAAATCAACAGCGGAGACTGAAAGACCTGAAATGAATGTGACACACTAAGGAGACATCCAAAACATGCAGTGCTGGTGGTTCTCCAGGAACATGGTTGTGAAACACTGATTTAAGCCCTTTCACAAAGCTTAGAGCTATATACAGTACTATTGCCCTTATTCTTCAATGCAGTAGTGCACTCATTTTTTTTTTCGTCGCTTATGGGGGAAAAAAATCCAGGAGTAAATAACATCAAAAAATCGTAAAACTACTTGCTGTACAAACAAGAATTTGCATTACTATACAGACCCAGTAGAATAATCTAACAAGAAAATATCAGTTTGAAACATCAAACAGCAGAATGAATGAGCTGTTTTTAACATCTAAAAATAAATGGAAGTGAATGAAAACGCAAGTCTCGAGCCTAAAAGATTGAAATGGCTGTGCCCACTCATGAAAAGAATGAGGTGAATATGCCAAAAATACTCAACCCTGCTTTTCAAGATCTGCTCATATATTTTATCATGCTTTATCCAGGTCTAAGCAAGTTTCAAAATGAAAATTATTATTAAATTATGAAAACCATCTCAATAGCCATTATAGCACATGTTGAAAGGTAAAGAGTCTCCGGGCCTACTACGTGCCAGGGGACTTTATTTTAATGATTCAAAACAATACACATTTAGGCCAACCAATATTTCAGTGTGGCACCAATTTTATTTAAATTTGGGATCAGAAAGGTTTGAATCGAGGAAACCGTGACTTAAAAAACAAACAAACAAAAAAAGTTTAATTTCCATAGAGATTATTTTGAACTCATTCAGCCAATCAATCTGGGTCTGACGGGAGCATTTTTAGCTCATCCTATAATATATACCTGAAATGACTAAAGAGTTTAGATGCTTTTCCTCTTTAAAACTCAAGCTGCAGCAGGTGCGATGATATAGCATTTGGAAATAGTGCCTAGCAATGTGACTTTCAATGTAACCACCTGCTTGCAAAGGAAGTGCTGCAGCCATGGTATGGCAGCATAGTTCCTCTATTTTGTAGATGGATAATAAATGTTACCTGTCAAAACCAATGAGTTTCCAGTTGAGCAGGTCCGTAAGCTGCAGTGGTGTTGAAGTCCAAGGCTGGATGCTGTCTTTGTATTTAGTCAGATGTGGCAGGTACACGGACAGTGCTGTAACTAGTCGTCTCACAGCAGCCTCCTCACTTCCTAGTACCACCAATGTTCGGCCACTTAGAAGGCTAAACACTGCATGCACTGCAAAGGGAAACTGCCGCATGAACTGAAGTGCTGCTCTTCCTACTCTGCCTCGTCTCCGTCTGGTCCCACCTTCTCTTTTGTCCTTGGGAAGACACGCAGGGAAAGTGCATTCGGAGGTCGTGGATGCAGTGGTGCTCCGATAGCTGAAGCAGTCTGATAAATCGTCAGGTACCATCCGGCTGGGCTCATCTAACAACAACATAGTGGCTGATTCTGTTGCTTGACAAGAGTCTTGAAAGCTTGTTTCTTCTAGAGTCAAAGGGCAGTCTGGTGGGGTTACAGTGACTGATGGATGTAGCTTTTTCAAACATGCATTTTCATGATCTGCAGAGATCTTTCCCTGAACATATATACTCTTTTCATTGTTGTCTTCTTGATATTGAGACGAGTTTTTCTCATCAGTCTCTTGCTCTGGGCTTTCTTCATCAATTGCGCAGGGGTATGAGGCACGCAGTTCATCAGGTAAGATGGATTCTGTTATGCAAAGCACCTCAATGCTGTCTTCACTGCATGTTCGTCTGGTAGGCACCCTTCCTTGCTTTAGACCTTCCAGTGCAGTGGCACTAGACAAAGGTGGAGGTCTGTGCATTGCTGTTTCCACTGGCGTATTTGCCCCCTGGGATCTAAATGACCTCTCTGTTCCCAACACCTCAATACTGTCTCCACTACTAATACTGGTTTTCATCAAATTCGAGACACTTTCCACATTTCCTTGACAATCTGGAGCTGAAATGATCTCATCTTTCATCTCAACCTCTGCTGGGGATTTGTCTGCTACTTGGGGTCGGTTGTCCTCTGAAGGTGTATTTAAAGTGCTATGTTGAACTTGAGATTGGCTGGATCCACCCAACTCAAGTTTTATTGGCACCATTTCAACACAAGATGCGTATGACTCAAGACTGACCGGTCCACTTAGAAATGAGGGTGCAGGAAGAAAGGATGTTTGCTGGATTGTGCTTTGCCCAATCTGTAACCCTACATCATCGTTCAGGTCGCACAGATCCTCAAACAAGAAATTAGTAGATTTGAGGTTGCGGAGGAGATTTCGGCAGAGTTGTTGAGTGTAGAGATAGCAGGCGTCACCTCTGAACGTTCTCTCGATAGAGTACAGTTGCTGCAGTGCTTGTTGGTAGAAGTAGTCATCACACAATTCCTCGAGAGTTTTCAGACGCTTGTCAAATCGGCTGGATGACGTGGAGTTAATCTGCTGCAGAGTTTGTGAGGGTGTGTTTGTATAAGTAAAAACACTGCATTCTAGCATTGGCCCGGAAAACTGACTGTCCAGGTCGAGGTCAAAAGACTGAGGGAGGTCATCAGGTTCATAAGGGGAGTATTCAGAGTCTCTAAGCTTTCTAGTTGGGTAACAAGTGACCTGCTTTAGAAGGCTTTTATAGTCTTGAATCAGTTTTTCTACACTGGCCAACTCATCATTTTTGTTAGCCAAAGGCATTGGACATGATGTTTTATCCGGTTTGTCCTTTCTTTGTTTCCCGTACTGTTCAAGTTCAAAATGTGACCTATTCTCATTTTCAAGCTTCACTTCCACCTTTCTAGAATTCCCACATCCGTCTTTCTCTTGCGGTGAGATTTCATCTGTGTGAGAGGATTTCTCGTTCAGTTTCACCTCATCTGCATTCCTCTCAAATGAATGTACACCATTTAATATTGGTTCCCTTTCACTGCTGCACTTTACAGACACAGTATTTAACTCTTTCTGTAACACGACTCTTGTATACTCCAAATCTCTAAGCTTTACCTCCAGTTCATTCGCAAAGTTCTTCCTGTTTCCAGTTTTCAGACATTCTGAGACTTTGTTGAATTCTGTGGAAATCCTTTGGAATTGTTGAATGATTTTATTTTCATCAGACGACACATAGGCAAGACAAAGAGGCCGCACAAAACCTCGAGCCTCCAGGTCATAGAGGGTCAGGTGGTGCACATATGCAAATACTCCTTCTCTTGAGTCTGCTAAAACCACCTTTGAGTCTTCTACAAAGTTCAGCTTGAAGGAACCGTAACCTGGAGAGCCGGCCAGGGAAGTCTGATAGTCCACTGACATGATCCGAAGAGAGAAGTAGTTCAAATCAAAAGTCCCACAAGCTTTAGTTTCAAGAGGAACTGTAAGTAATGGCTGGGGGCCAACTTGCTCTGAAAACTCTGATATGAGGATGAAATCTTTCTTTAACTTGGCACTAGATATCTTGGACCATGGGGTGGCATCCCCAGTGTATGGATACATGGGCACAGACAGATCCTCTGGAAGTACCGAAGAGTCTGTGGTTATTTCACTGAAATCTGTTTCTTTGGTGAAAGCTACCAAGTCTGGAGACCCAATCATAGTGGCACGAATTGTTTTTAACAAACCAGACAAGGGTGTGAAAAGTATTATGAAATGATATTCAGGTAAAGGTATGAGGACTGTGTAAACATATAATTATTATATATTTAACTACCTCAAAGTCTTCAGCAAGACTGTTAATGTCTTTATTGATTAATCAGCAGCATTTAAAGAACATTTAAATTATTACTTTTTAAATAAATAAATAAATAAATAAACATTCTTGACTGACTTGTTACAGAACTACAAACAGTGAAAATATATTTAAAATTCAACATGAGATGAACCCAAGTATGTACTTAGTAATAAATACATTTCTTTATGTCTTTAATTTGAAATTAAATCAGGACTATGTGTATTAGGATTTATTTGCGTATAAAATTATACTTAAACGATCACTAATAAATATTAACTAATCACTCACATACTTCACACCCCTGGAGCCGGTATATCCACTGTAAACTCAGATCCAGAGAAGGATGCCTCAATACTGCGTCTACATCCAAACACTAAACTGATCTATCGCCTCATCAAATTAGATTACCAACTACTTAAAGACCACAACAAGCGTGAAATGATCCAGTTTCCGCCGCTTTATAAATGTCATGCCTGACACACCGCACACACCAAATGACGTAAACGCGGAGTCACGAAAATATAGTCCGCTTAGACTCATATACGAAAGTTTTAACACAAAGATCAACTTTCCGGTGCTCGCCGACGGACGCGGGAGAACTCAGTTTCACGTAAGTAACCGTTTACTCTTTTCAGGAAGTTTCCATAAGTCGTTATTGAGGAGTAAACAAACATTTAAGCGCTTTACGGAGAGCAGTAACAGTAGCAGCCTTTGCCATAGTTAGCCATGTGACACCTCTGCTGGCCGGGGGAGTGCTCTGATCCAGCGCAATCTCTGCTCGTTTCCGCACAAACCAGATCCTGAGGAGAACTCAGGAGGAAAAACAAATCATGTGTACACCTGTGGTTTTATATGATATCAACACGACATTTCACGAACCATGTTTAACCGTTTTATTGAGATTTTCCTTTATTAAGACACTAAAATGTAGTATAATTTTTAGACTGACCGTCCATTTGCTGCTTCTTACAAATGCCATGAATAAAAAAAGTTTTTCTGTCTTGTTTTTATTTTTTATTTATATTTAATACTTTAACAATCCCATTTTTTAGGGTCTTGCTTTGAAACATATGCGTGACCTTGGAAACAGACTTATTATAACAGAAGCTCTTTATTATGTGCCATAATCCAATTTTCCTGGAAATTATTGTTACTACAGTCAAGGTTTATGGTGCTTTTTGTAGAAATGTAAACAACCCTTTTATAGATGAAGTGACACTGCTGATTACACAGCGGTTATGAGGTTATATATACATATTATTTGACCTTTTGTAAACTGACTTGTTTACTGTTTCACATGATGACAACTGAAAGAGGAACTTTTCTAACCCACTGAATGTTATCTGGCTGTGTAATCCATATTACTGGGAACGAGAAGTAACACCACAAACAAGTGTGAATAATCTTTTTATTTAGACAAGCATCCTTGTGCCAAAGGAAGACAAAATACTAGACTTCATGCAACCCTGTCGGTGGTGTAACTGTTTTTGTGAGATTTCACCCTAATAATATCTCTACTGTTTTTCTGTTATAAGCTAAACTTGTTTGGCAACTTCCATAAGATTTATATGGTTCAAAGGTGATTAAATTAAAGGACATATACATAGAAATACAAGCAAAGTTTTTGTTTTAAATAACTGATGGCAAAATAAAATGAAGTAGTGTTCCAGAATGAATGTGATATAGCAAATTTAAGCATAAATAAACATTCTGTCCTACGCTAATGCATTTACAAAAAAAGATCAATCGTGCTACATTTAAAATCATAAGCTGATGAATGTGTGAAAGCAGTGGTTTGATCGACAGTGACAAAGTATAAAGTTGTTCAAATTGACTAGCCTTTTGTTATGTCCAGGTTGAAAACAGTGGCTGTTTTTGCTTCATTGACTTTCATTATAACCATGTTTAATGGTGCATAAAAACACAGTCTTTGTTTTTGTTTACTCCATGTAGTTCTGAAAGCTGAGATGCATATTTAGATTTTCTCAGACACATCAAGGTAAGTGCATAAAGGTCACTTTTACACAGACACACACTTTAATTTGCTGTTATACTCCATATAAAATCAAGAAACAGCTTCTTTTTTTTGGGGGGGGGGGGGGGGGGGTTAATGGTGCCAACTGATATTCAACAGTAAAAATTTAACAACAGTTTCCAACGGAGTTAACCACCAACAATCAAAAATACATGATTATATGGTGTCGTGGTTTTGTAATCAAATCAGTAAATTAGAGGAAAAAAATGAAAATCAATCAAAAACAGTGCATCAAAGGCCAATGCTGTTCATTGTTGTTTCGCATGTCCAAGACTTTGATAAAAGGAATAAAATTTTTTTTTATTTTATATAAAAAATGCATGTTTTTGTGTGGGCTTTTCACCAAATCAGTGACATCATTTGTGAATCTGTCAATGAAAGAGTTAAAATCCTGAAATTTTCTAAGCAATTTAGTAGTTTTGATCAGGACTGAGGTTGATTAACAGATTTAAGTAAAAAAAAAAAAAAAAAGAAAGAAAAACTGAAAACAATATTAATCTGATGCATTTTCACAGCAGTTAATTTCAGTGGATGTTTTCATCCCAAATATAATGTAAGGGTAGTAAATTTGACAAGAGTGAATTGTTGTTTTAGAAAAAAAAATTCAAAGCATTTTCTCAAAATCAGTCAAAATAACTAATCAGCAAAAATCATTCAGCTAGCTGAAGCAGAAAAAGTTTTGGCCAAAATAGGACTCAAAATCACCCCAGAGTGGATGAAAACATCCCCAACAGCTCAGAGGAGTTAAATTGAGACTGAGTATTCTAGAGCTGCACTGAGATCTGTTAATGTGCAAAAATAGATTACAAAATAATTCCCTCAAAAGCTTTGCATTATTGCTTTATTGTCTTAATATTGAGTATTTGCTTCTTCAAAGTCAGCATCGCTAACATCATCTAGGTAGAATTTCTGCTATTACTCCAAAAATTATTATTAAATATAACAACATACAGTCAGCGCAGAGCCCAGAACAAACTAGAATACATCTAAAAAGATGAGCTCATCCCAAAATGAACATTTGCTGTTCATTTACTCTCTATCAGGCGACTCTTCAGTTGAACATTACAGGTTTAACTGAAAACGTGATACTTGGTGATTCATAAAATGCAACAGCTGCCTGGACTATAAAAATAAAAAGCAACAGAGAAACATACAGGAGAAACTAAACGAATAGCGGTAACTCCTGAAACACTGACGTCTAATGAAGTGTGAATGACCCGTGCAGGAAACTGAACATCAGAGCAGAGGCCGAGGAGGTCAAATGTCAATAATTAGGTTTTGTTTTGTGCAGAGAGTTGTCATTTTGCTTCATTAGACCAGTCTGATTGTTAGGTATTGATTTTAGTTTTCCAATTGCTTTTTTTGACGGTCAACTTGCATGTTATGAATCACAAAGGACAAAATTCCTCTTTAATGGATGTCCTGAAGGCGAGTAAATGAATGAAAATGACACATTTGAGTTAACTATCACTTTAAATCACAGACAAACGGTCTAAACACCCAGAACACACCGTTAGAAACTCAGAGTAAGGACATTTCAGGACATCCGTCACTCACTTCTTGTATATCTTCATCTAAAAAAAAAAAAAAAAAGTGTCTTACGAGGTAAACGCTGCATAGCTAAAAGGACAGTTCAGCCAAAAATCTAAATTCAGACTCATCCTTTCCCAGCAAACAAATTAATGTTTAATAGACGTCTAATAAACATCTAAAGCATTCTTCAAAATATCTTCGTTTTTGTCCAACCGAACAAAGTAGGCCAGACAGGTTTGAAGGAGTAACCCAGCAAGCATTATTTGTTCAGATGTCAGTCCAATCTGTTTATTTGAGGACTAGTCTAGTTTTGGGCTATTCTTAAGCGTCTAGCCCAAAGTTAGCCTCGTTTTAGCCAAGACGATTAAGTTTAGACGTCTATTAGACATCTGAAAGACATCTTTCAGATGGGTTACTTCTTCCAAACCTGCCTGACCTACTTTGTTTGGTTAAACGAAAAGGAAGATATTTTGAAGTATGGTGGAAATCTGCAACCATTGACTTCCAGAGTATTTATTTGTCCTACTGTGGAGGTCAGTGATTTCCAGCTTTCTTTAAAATATCATCTTTCTTGTTGAAGAGAAGAAAGAAACTCAAGTGTTCGGAACGACTTGAGGGTGAGTGAATTGTAATTTTTGATTGAGCGTTCCCTTTAACCTCAAAATCCCCTTTAACGGACTGGGTAATTGGGAGATATGAAAATAAGCCTTCTAGACATGATATATGCCTCTGTTTAAGGTGCAATTATGCAAAGTTTCCATAAATAGGAGTGTGTTAAATCAGTAGAATCTCAGGTTCAGTTACAGCACAGTACAGCATGAAGCCCATTTCATCAATGTCGTCCTCTGTAAAACCCTGAAACAGATTGACGTTAGCTTTGAAGTAGCTAGGCAAGACGCCAGTCTCCAGGTATCCGATTAGCTCAGTTATCGCCTGCAGAAACCTGTTGGAGAACGCAGATTCTGACCAGTCTGTTTCCTTTTCACTCATGTGCAGGACGACATTGCTAATATGGCTTCCGTTTAGCTTGCGCAGCGCAGGACAGTTGCGACACACCGCCTTTAGTGTTTTCAGGCACTTTCTTCTGGCTCCTGAGTCTGCTTGGTCAAGCGCTGCTAGCCTAGCTGTTTCACTGCTGTATAGGCTCTGGTACCACACGTAATCGAACGAGCCGGTGATCTCTCTCTGCGCCATTAGCGTCATTTGGCCAAGGCGCACTGTTGGCAACACTGTGATATAGAAGCGTTCTCCGCTGTCGTGACTGCTTTGGGTTAAGCCTTGAATCTCCAGTTTGAGCTCTGGAGACCCAAGCACCGGTCGCACCTCGCACTCCAGGGTGCCGGTCAGCGAAGGCCAGTTCATCGATTCCATCACCGCTTTGCTGAGTTGCTCACAGACAAGCCGCGATGACAAATATGCACCCAATAGATGGCGATCCCAGTAGCTGCGTCCCCTCGGAAAGTACTCAAGGTTTTCCCGCCGCACCATGCAGTACTGAGGGTGACCCAAAAATGTATCCTCGCCCGCAATAGGAGTCCACAGACTCGACTCCAACTGTATCAAACAAAATTGGAAGAAATTAAAAACTTATATATATGAAATCCAGATTTGGTACAAACCCAAATAAAAAACAAACAAAAATAAAACAAATCTGAAAGATTAGTTGTGATAATGAAATGTACTGAAATGTATTTAATACTTTATATAAAAGGCTTTTTTGGTGACGCAGCTTAAAGACGCCTCTCATATGCAGAATGAAGTCACATGAATTGCTCAGGTGTGCTTTTTTCACAGACTTCAACAGAGTGTAAAAATCTTGATGGCTCTGTGGGTCTCGTCTATCAAATCTGAGCTTTATTTTGTATTTTCTATTGGATTCAGGTCAGGTAATTGGCTGGGCCATTCTACAGCTTGATTTTCTTTCTCTGAAAGCATTTGAGAGTTTTCTTGGCTGTGTTTTGGATCATTGTCTTGCTGAAATGTCCATCCTCGTTTCATCCTGCTAATGTAGATGTTGGACTGAAGCAGGTAATATTAATTTACACTGATGAAGAGCAGAGGGTTGCTGAAGAACTACTGAGAGATTTCAGCTGCTGTCTGGGCTTTCACTGCCTTTCTACACCTGCCTTTCTTCATGTTTTCAATACTTTTCCCTGTGTCATTTCATTTTATTACACATAACTTCATTTGTAAACTAATTAGTTTTGTTTTCTTTGCACATATGGATTTCTTATTTTATTACCAACATTCAGTAAAAAGTCAACAGCACCTTTGGAAATACCTATTTTCTCCACTGTATACGTATACACTACATTTTTTCATTACAAAAATTACACACATAAATTTAATACAATAATAACTTTTATATAACTATCATATAATCACAGTAACTATAATTTTTGCACTCAACCTTTTAATTTGATCATTCATTTTTTTAAACTAATTTTGATCAACAAATTAAAAATAGCATTTTAACTGAATCAGTTCACTTAGAACTAGGGTTGTCATCATACTGGAATCCGATACCAATCGGTACTGAAGTTTTAAAAACGTCCATTTCCTGCAAACATTTAAGTGCTGTGTAGCACGTTCTTAAACAGTGCTGATTTGCCATTGTGTGCACATGCTCAATAGAAATGACTGTGATTGGTCATGAGGGTCAACTGCAAGTAACCACAGACACAGCGACACTGGAGTTTCAAAGTCATGTCGATCAGCTGGTTTGTCTATAAGCTGACATACGAGTGATCCGCTGATGAATCGAGGCTTTAAAGCACTCCAATGTCACTGTATCTGTGGTTAAACTCAGGAAACAGCAGTAAGTTTGGTGAACTGATGACCTTCATGGCCAATCACTGTCATTTCTGTTGAGCATGTGAGCACAATGGCAAATCAGCAGCGTTTCAGAACATACTTAACATCGCTCAGATGTTTGCGGGAAATGGATGTTTTTAAAATCTCAGTACCGATTAATATTGAATGCAATGTTGCCAACTTTGCCGCTATTTTTAGCGACTTTTCAGACACCCCTAGCAACAAATTTTCAAAAAAGCGACTAGGGACAAACCTAGTGACTTTTTTGTGTGTTACTGGAGATTTTTATGGACTCTCAAGTGTCCATACTGTACCGTCCCTACTCTTCTCAACGAGCTGCGGGTAATCCCGTTGGGCCCTCCGTCACCTCAGAGCACTGACAGGCGGCCCGGTCAGTCCTCGTACATCAGTCACTCCCACCTGCAGCCTGAAAGCAGATCACTCCTCTGCGTACCGACGGCAAATGATTTAGCACCGGCGGCGGTGTGAGGTATTTCCATTGTACAGTCAAACCGATCTGCTTCTCCTTTATTCTACCAATTTAATTTGACCGTTTATTCTTTTCTTGTTCACAATCACAGGTATTTTAGTGACGGTTTCGGAACTTGTCCGAGTACATTACGTCTGAGAGATTACTGCAAATTAACTACATATCTATATTTATATACTGTATGTATTTAAACTGCAATAAATGTAGTTAAAATGGACATGCATATATAAAGCATAGTGCAAATGGAAATACCCCTTTATTACCTATAGGCTGTTAAACAAACAGAAACGGTAGAACGTGACGACATCAGTAATACGCAAATTGACGTATGACGTAATCTAGCGACTTTTAGCACCTCTTCGGGCAGAGTTTAGCACCCTTTCATAATAGTTAGCAACAGTGATACAATTTCAATATTGCGACAACCCTACTGAGAAAATTATAAAAGATTAAAAACATAAATGAAATCTGCATTATCCAGGAGATCTGAAGAATTTTAAAAGTGAATACAAAATGGAAAATAAAGTACCTAAAAACGTTCATGAACAACTGAACTGATGCTGTTGCAGTAAGAGGTTTATGATAAAAAACAGAAACAAACAGATATTAAATTGTTCATTATTATATGTATCGATGCTCTGGAGTCTGGACATCATAAATCTCTATGGTTTTTGAGACATATGGCTTTACAGTTACTGTACAGTCTAATAATAATAATGTGTACAGAAGTGAATGTTGCTACCTGTAGAGGCACGATCAGACACGCATGGTCAGCGGTCACCACCTGCAGGTCATCGAGCAGCGACCCGGCCAGAGTCATGTCTCCCAGGGGCATGTCGGGGTGTTTGGAGTGCAGGAAGGCCTGGATCTCTGTGGCGATGTCTAGCGCTCGCTGCTGCGCGACACACACCTCCTCTGCGGACAGACACACTCTAGTCCTGTAGTACTGCTGCAGACGATCTGCAAACGTCAACACACACAGATCCATCCGCTTCCGCCTTTGAGGAGGAGGAGGATCTGCATCACACCGCTGTGGCTCTGAGGAGGGCATCGGGATGGGCTGGGACAACTCCGCTAAACACACACATAAAAAAAAGCTTTTACCTCCTGTTACAATCCCAAAGGTGGTCAGTCAAGGGAGAGGAGATTAACATTAATCTTGGATGAAATGCACAAAAGCAAACACATAGTATGAGAGACAAAATACCATAAATAAGAAATGCAATGAAGCATGTGCACGTCTATAAGCGTGCGTTTTGTTTTTAGTAAAGTGAGATATTCAATGGCAGCATCAATGCATAATTGAGTCAAACTTATCCTAAATAGGCGAATGAAGTAAATTATATTCATTTTAATAACAGCGATGCAATTTTTCATTAACATTTACCGGTGTTAATTAAGGTAACTGACCAACATGCTTTAAATAGCCAATTTATATTTAGTCAGAGCAGATGCTTTTGCCAGAAACGGATTACAATTGAGAAGACATTCAGCGATTTAACAAGAGGAGGCAATACAGACAAGAAGTGCTAATTATACAAAGGAACTGTGCTATTAGGTGCTAGAGTAAGTGTTTTTTGGTTTTGTTTATTATAAAGAAAGGGAAGAGTGTTTCTACAGGTGGTTTGTCAACCCTACTCACCTGTGTGAGGCACACTTTACAAATACAGTGTTTTTTTTATAATGATGTTATTTGTAGCTGACTTGCTCAAGTTCATGTGATTTACCCCAGAGGAACTACAGTATATAATACATACAAAACTACAAACACACTAGTAGGAAATATTACATTTTATCGGGTTCAGTGCATCTTGAACTTGTAATTTTGTTGGCTCTGGCCACTTTGAGCAGCATGTTCTTATGCAGTGTGTAATTTATTTGCAGTGGTGGTGCACTTTTAATCCATTGTTTTTTTTTTTATTATTAATTTTTTATGATTGTTGTTTTTCACTAGAACATAATGACCAGTTCAAATGGATGTTTAAAAAATATACATAAAATATATATTCATGACCATTTTCCTAATATGGAATTGCAATTTCAGGCATTGTAAGAAACGGCATACAGTTATAGGTTTCAAAACTATTATGTGACGTTTAATGGAGAAAAGATTTTTGAAACACATTTTCAAACAAAAAAATGTTAATATCGAATTTATTTTGTATTTGCCATGATGACAGTAGTTATTTAGCAAGATACTAATATTCAGCTAAACATGCAATTTAAATGCTTAACTACGTTAATTAAGTCGTTGGACAACAGCTTTTTTTTCCGAAGCTAATTGAAAAAAATGATTTCTTAAGGGGGCTATTACACTGACCATAAAATAATAATAATAATAATGATAATAAAGAAAACAAAATATATATAAATAAATATTCCAGTCAAACAAAAAAATGTACTTTCTTAAAAGAAAAAATACTATAGGAAATACTTTTAAAATTCCTTGCTCTGCTAAACATCAGTTTTGTAAATATTAAAAAAAAAAAAAAAAAGGAATTCACATTTTACTAATAATCGTGCCTTGAACACTATGATCAACCAGGATTTGATGCATTTTCATGAAATATTTTGAGCTGTGCAGAATAAGACAGTAAATAGGGTAAATGCTGACCAGTCTTCATAATGTATTTCCCAAACAGGTACCTTTCTTGGTGGCAGCAGCGATCTGTTTCATGACTACTCCTTCAATCCCCTTGTGGAGCAGTTTAGGAGAGGCGCTGACCAGGCTCAACTCCTCCCAGCTGTCCGTCATCTTCTTGTCAGGTTCCTCATCAGGAGGTCTGCCGGCCCGCTCTATCAGCTGTGACATCACAGAAAGAGAGAGATAAAATAGAAAAGACGTTTGTAAGATATCAATCATTTTGAACTTCATCGTGACCACTCACTTTTATATTATACAATTGTAGTAGAAGTCAAAATAATGTTGTTTTATTTTTACTAAGATGTAAACATTTCATTTCACTCTATTTACTTTACTACATCACTTTTGTGAGTTGAACAAAAAAGACAAATGAATAAGCTTTTGGCTATCAATGTCTTTTAATGATCCACTGTATTTTTTTTATCAAAACAATTCAAGTTCATGTGAACTGACATTGTTTGGTTTCTAACAATCCTCAAAACCTCTATTCTGTTGAACTGCAGGTCAATCATTCAAGAATAGTTTTTTTTGTCCATAAAATACAAGTTAATGTGAACTGAAAGTGTTAAATTTCAACATTCTTCAAAGTAACACATTTCCACAGAAGCAAGTCAGTCATTCAGGTTTGGAATGACGTGAGGTTGAGTAAAGTCAAACTGATTTTGTGAGGGCTGTTCCTTCTTTTAAATCAATAATATTATAATGATCCACCATTATTCTTTGCCTTATTAAATTAGTTAAACGCAGAGTCTTGTATGTTTGACTTTCTGACGTTTTGGCTGCTTCTGATAAAAGTTTGTAATGTGACTCACATTCTAGCAAATTCTCTTTATTTTCTCATGGAAACAATTACTAGAAAAACTTTCCACAATTAAGGATGTTGAAAATTTAATTTGGCACTGTTGGATTTTATAAACAATATTTTCCTTGCCACTTAGAGTTGTGTTGTTTGTTATAAGGTTGAAAAATAAATAATCACCCGTTTCACAGCTAATGTGGCAATGCCCAGCACCGCAGCTCCACCGACCCCCAGCACCAGCCGTGCATTGGACAACAGGAAGTCAATTACAGCAGCAATTCCATCTTCTCCTCGCCTTTTACCAGAGTAATACATCACTTCCTCTGTAAGAGTGTCTGAGGGAACAATAGAGAATATTATGCTCATTTGGTTCAACTTGCGCTTCCTCAAATCCCCAAGTCTGAATGCATGTGAGAGGAGAATACAATCTGAAACCAGTAGTGCAGAAAACATCTCATCACCACAGATATCGATAAGAGATGACTGACGGTAGTCATCTACATAAAAAATCAAACAAAAAAAAAACTTCTCCATTCGTTTTTCATTAGATTCCTTCATTTTGTGAATTCTGAAGAGCACAGACTGCATTTCTCTAAAATTAAATATTTTTTAACTGGTCATCTACCAAAAAACACAATCTTTTAAACGTGGGAAACTTTAGGGACATTATTGTAGCATAAATAACCATTTACTACCCCACCAAGAAAAAGACATCTTGGGTTGCATTTGTTAACTCCTAATGTCGCTAGTTAACACACTCTGCATTTTTTTTCGACACATCCCATCATTTCTAACATATCAGCCTCTACCAAATGATTGATACGTCGGTTTATGGTAAAAGTACAGAAATTAATACATATACTGTGAATAATCTGAAAACATGAAGAGCAAGACCAATTTATTTAAAAACATAATCAAAATAAAACATTTTTGAATACTAAATTATCTTCATTTTTTGAAGTACGCCATAAAATATTCAGATTCTCATTTAAAATGCTTTCTTATTGTTGTGTTATTGTGTTATTATATATAGTGCAACAGGATTATGTTTGTTTGATTTTTTGTAAACCAATGATGCTGTGTGTGTAAACCATTATTTAAAATTATTTAGAAATGCCCAAACTAGGGTCCGCAGGCCAAAGTTGGCCCACTATAACCTTTGATTTTGCCCACAATCTCATCTGAAATGAGTAGAAATTAAATGAGTTAGACTGATGGGCAGTGTCAGGGCTGGGCATGGGCAGGTATAAGATTCTGACAGTATGATAAGCTTGGATAAATATCACGGTATCACAATTTTGTGATTACTGCTTCAAAATATATTCTTTTTAAATGTCTTGGTAAAAAACAATACCTTTTCTCTCTTGTACACAATATATTTTAATTTGGGAAACATTTCAAATATTGACGGTTTTAAACCCTTGACTTTTCCTAACCTCGGTATACCTTTAACATGGTTATCGGGCCCATGCTTAGTCGAGGCAAATGATTTTAAAAGAGATTGTCATTTCTAATTTAAAATAAACCTTTTTTTTATTTGTTTGTTTTATTTCTGAGCTGCAAAAAAGCCAACTGAAATGGTTTTATTTAAATGTACGTAACTTAAAACTAAGTAAATAAATACTTAGTAAAAATGTAAATACTGTCACTCGACAAATAGAGGACGATGCAGAAGACATCTGTGAGCAAATCAAATTAAAATCAGCCGCAGTTTGACTAGTGTAACTCCATTCTGCCATAAATGACATTGTTTTTAGAATAATATGTTCATTATAAAATGTAAAAAATGTATAATGTATTAGTTGATACATAGCAATGTTTTAGATATTATTAAATAAATTAGGAAGTACCCATGGCAACTATACTAACCCACTAGCCTCAATCTAGTTTGGTTTTTAGCCCCTCATAAGAGAAAGTTTGGGCACCCCTGATTAAAACAGTCACTCTTTAAATTACTTCAGCAGTCATTATTTAAAACAGTCAAACTATGGTCAACCATTTGGTAGAGCAGGCAGTTAAAGGGATAAAAGTCATCAAAGTACGAGTTAAAAATAATATTTCTCAAATTGATAATTTAACCAAATTGTTTTCCTCATTGACGCAAACTCAAGAGGTTATAAACTTTTCTAAATTTCTTTCTCACTGAACACAAAACAAGACATCCTGAAGAATGCTGGAACAAAGGGTGAAGTGTAACATTCTTCAGAATATCTACCTTTGTGTTCAACAGAAGAAACTCAAACAGGTATGAACAAGTGGAGAATGAGCAATGATGACAGAATTATCATTTTTTTGGTTGAACTATCACTTTAAGGCAAACGACACCATTATTGCACCATGTTACCTTCACAATCCCAAATCTCAGTGTTGATGTGAGCTACGTGACCGGCCAGGCATTTATGGTTCACCTGCTTCTCTCTCTCCCTCTCTGGGTCAGAAATAGCCCAATAGGGTCTTCATGAACCCAGCACCAGGAGGGGGCTGTACCAAAACTAAATATAGACCCATGTGTCTTACTAACTTTCCACTTATTCAGACCAAAATTTGATAACCCTGTGGTCTTCAGTTGACACCAGGCTTAAGTTTGGTTAATTAAATGCGTCTTTAAGCCTAACGTTGATTATTTTCATTACAATAGGCTCACACGCTTATCCACATTCCAGTGGCATTTTCCAAAAATTATCAGTATATTCTCGGCCAGAACAAGAATAAAGCCAACTCGTTGTGTATTCATAACAAACACGAGGCCTGCACACAGATGGACTTTAAAACTCCGATAACATTAATTGTATTGTCAGACAAGAAGACAGCTGAAGTACACAAAACAGAGTGACTCCATCAGTGGATTAAATCTGACATGAGTTCACACGTGAAGTTTTACACGTACATAACGTTTGTCCTTGCGAAATGTTACATTACCTCATAATATACCTACACATTTGACATCAAACAGGTATATTCAGCAGCTCGATTAAACTAAACTGAATCAAACAATAGTGTTTGCCCGTGCTAGCGTCTGCTAACTTCGGCAGTTTTCGAACGAACAGAAACCTAGCTAGCATGTTAATATGTTAAACGGCTAACATGGCATAAATAGGAGTTAAAAAGCTCACTTACCTTTAAAAGGTAGATTTATTTCGGAGCCATTAGAATATAGTTTTAAATTCAATACTTTTGCCCAGTACGCACTCGCCCTCTCGCCTAAAACAAACACCTCATACGTCACCACTGACGTACCTATGGACCAATGAGATGACAGTATGACGCGGCGTCAGGATTTCTTCATAAATTCAAGTATTTTAAATAACTTTGTAAATATCCGCTCTCTATTTCAGCATGAGATAATCTCCTGTCATAATGCTATTATTGGAACAGACATATAGGTCATATTAAAATATTACAAATGTTAACAAATGGAAAAGACTTTACCTCAGGAATTCCTAATGTACAGTTAAATCAGTGAAGTGTCTTATAAAATAATAGGTGCTATGATATAATAATGTTTTTTTTTTTTCAAAAGTTTATTTCTGAAGATTTTGATGTAAATTGCTACTTCTGTGATCACCAAACTGAATATTTTTCTCACCTTTTTTTATTTTTTATAATTGTGAGTATACCTAAATTTGTTTGGAAAAATTTAGGTATATTTAGTGGTATAATTCCTGATAATATGTTAAAATATGTAAATGCTATTTTAGGATATAACCATGATAATGAACATACAGATGTTTTTTTATTTATTTAATCTTATTATATTTTTGGCCAAATATTTTATACACAAGTGTACATTTTGTAAGCGTAATTCTTTCTTTCAGATTTTTCTTGATCTAAATCTTTACATGTCTTTGATTTCTAAATGTACTAACAAGAAAGCTGTTAAAACTGTGCATCTGATTAAAAGGTAAATTTCTGTTTTGCCCTCTAGCATATAATGTGATTTAATGTAATGTAAATGTTTCATTTTGTTATAGTAAAAATAATATTAATGACAATAATTTTGTCAAAAAATATTTTCCAAACTTTTGTATATTCCCAAAACTTGTATTCTTTGGTTACTCTCTGAACTTAGATCTTTCACATTGAAAATGTATTATTAATTTATCGCTTTTTTTCTGGCAAAATTTTACAAACAACACCCTTTTTATTTTCAGAAAGGATTTTGATTTATATGTGAACTTCTTAAAAGACTCTAATAATTATATTGCATGTAAAACTCTTTCTTGGTGTAAATCATTTAAATTTGCTGTTAATTTGCTGGAAAAATGTAACTAAATAAATAATAATTTTGTCTGTTTTTAGAGCTATCCCCACAGGTTTATTGCATCAGGTCAAAAGTCATATACAATACAAACCAAAAAAAAAAAAAAGAAGGAATCAGCATTATTGCTGGACGGTGTTGCATTCATGATAAAACATGTAGTAATAAACATATTAATCTGATTCTTCAGCAAAGAAATCATATTGTTGTGCGAATGGCAGATTGCATTTGGCTGCATTGATTGATAATATAGAGTGGAGAAAGCTTGCTTGTTGCCTCAGAAATACTTTCTTCCTAATAAAACTAAAGAAATCCACTTTAAAATATTGCATAAAGTATATCCGGGTGACTCATTTATTTCCAGATATGTTGATATTCCTAGTAATTGGACATTTTGTGGTCAGGATGATAAATACATTTATTTTTGTATGTGTGAAATGGTTCAGAAGTTTTGGTATGACTATTTACACACCCTTCCTATCTTTGCACAATCTTTAAGTTTTAAATAAATTTTTGTTTTAACTCAGAATCTGCACATAAATCTAAGGAATTTATCATCAAGTTGTTTTTTTTTAAATTTTGGTTGGAATTTGTTTAAACAAAAACATAAATGCATGGCTTCATCCCTACTTTTCAACATTTTCTAGTTGACTCACTGCTCAAATCTTTCCATATATGTAACAACAAAAATGTGTCAGAACTGTTGTTTATTTACTCTGATTTGATTAAGACAGCTTTCCTGTAACGCTCTTAATGTATTTACTTTTATACACTTTTATACTCTTGTCATTTATTTACCCCTTTCTTTGTTTTGTTAGTTTTTTCTCTCTCTGCAATAAATGTAACTTGTCTTTTCCTTTTCTTATATTGCTCTCCCGATTGTGGTTGTATATGTATATTCATGAATAAAAATAATAATTTAATTTTAGCATATGTTTATGCATTACAAAAAGTATTAAGCAAAAGCTTTATTGACTGTTTTTATCTTTTTTTTCCAAAGCCTGAAATAAAATTATTTTATTTTGGCAATTATTTTCTAACCCTTCTTATTATTTTACCCAGTCATACTTATCATGCTTCTAACAAATGTACTTCTAATAACAAAATGTTTCTATTTTTACTTTAGCAATATTTAGTACGTCACGGTGGCTCAGTGGGGACTGTCCCACAGCAAGAAGGTTGCTAGTTTGAGCCCTGGCTGGGTTAGTTGGCATTTCTGTGTGGAGTTTGCATGTTCTCCCTGTGTTTGCGTGGGTTTCCTCCAGGTGCTCCAGTTTCCCCCATAGTCCTAAACTGAAATGAAAGGTTAAATTGTCCGTAGTGTATGTGTGTGATTGAGTGTGTATGGGTGTTTTCCAGCATTGGTTTGCACCCGGAAGGGCATCCGCTGTGCAAGACATATGCTGGATAAGTTGGCGGTTCATTCCGCTGTGACGACCCCTGTTTAAAAAAGGGACTAAGCTGAAAAGAAAATGAATATTTAGTAATCATATTCCCAAGCATAAAACACTGTAAAACCCAAACAGTTAAGGTAACTCAAACTATTTGATGAAACCGATTCCAACAAACCAGTTAAGTTCAAAAACGAATCCTAATGAGTACTGTAAACTTAATCCATTTGAGTAAACAAAGCAATTTAGGCACAATAAACCCAATAAATGAAGAGAACTCAAACCAAAGAGTACTGTAGAACACAATAAGATAAGGCAACTCAAACCATTTGAATAAAAAACTAATCAATACGAGTAGTGAACTTAAGTTGAAGTAATTAAGTATTTAAATAACTCATTACCTTCAACACCGAGTTCAAGTCTCTTCAAATGAGTAGAATTAACTTTCAGTCAATTTTGAGTTAACTACACTCATTTCAATTGATAAAGTTGACTGTTGGGTTTTACAGTGCAACTACGCTAATCTAATGAATATTAATTAGTTATACACAGATTTATATTACTAGGTGTGTTAATGAAATGATATAAAGTTGGTTATCTTGCTCACAGTTAAAAATAAAGGGAAAACACAAAACTTTGAAAAGAGTATTTGCATTTTTATATGGAAAACTCTAAATCAAAGATGACTTTGTAAATCAGCACTTGATTGTACTCTCTTTGTAATATTACAGATATTGAACAAATTAATCAATTATTGGCAATGAAGCTCTCACACCACCTAGTGGACAATCACACTTGCTACTTGCAACCAGCTAGAACACGGGTCAAACTCAGCTCCTGGAGGGCCACAGCTCTGCAGTTTAGCTTTAAGCCAAATCAACATACATGATCAAACTAATTTTAAAAAAAGAGTCCTTGAGGCTTGTTTTAAACCTCCAAGTAAGAGTACTGAAGTAGGGCTGGAACTAAACTGTGCAGGCTGCAGCCCTCCAGGACATTCGACTCCCCTGAGCAAGAGGAAATAACCTGTGGGAAATTTATCCAATATTATCAGTTAAATTCTGGGTGTATTAAAGTAAAAGCTGCATTCTGCTATACAAGAGTGGCACATAGATCCAGCCTCGCATGTTTAATTAAGAACCCACAAACTAAAATAAAGTAAAATCAGTAGTACTGCACGGGTGTGGAAATGATGTTAATGAACTGATACACCAATAAAAACACAAAGTAAACATTTCAGGGAAGATCGTTTGCTATTTAAAATGTGAACTACAAAACAACACAACAGGTATGAATAATCTCCGCATTATTAGAAAAATAATGAACAGATATTTCCAAAAACAACGCCTTTTTAATCTTTACGCGGTCTAATCTACTCCATATTTCAACCTTTAAACAAAAACAGCCAATCTCTTAAATACAAAGTATATATATATATATATATATATGGAGTCTCAAACACAGTTCTCTATTCAAGTCCTCCAGCAAAACACACACTGCAGCATGTTTCAATATTCCTTCACTTCCATTCAGTCTCAGAAACAGAAACAGTATTAACAGAAATGATGAACTCTTGCCTTTAAGACAGTCTTACACAGCTCTTCAACAACCATAACGTTGGCATGAATTAATTCTTTCCTTCACAAATAGAAATGAAAGAAACATTGAAAATAAAGGACAATGAAAGTTTCATCCTATTTCAGGACTCTAACAGGAAACTAATATTGCTCGTCAGGCATATTAAAGCTGATAAATCTGAACTCTTCGTTCACTGGAAGCCACTAAAAGCAAAATCAGGATCTTTTGTTATCATTACATTCATTTAACTCAGCCAATCAGATTTAACAAACCTCCTAATGTTTATTTCCTCCCCTTTTTGATCATGTTTACAAAAAATAAACAATTAATAGTGGTTTTCTATGCTGTTTTAGAAATTTAAACAGGAAAAAAACCTTATACTAATAAGTAAATCACATTTACTTAGAGCAGTTCTCAAAATAATCTCCTGTTGAAAATAATCAAATGCACCTTGTTATTGGATACTGTTATGTAAATGTGTATCAGGGGTGTCCAAACCCGGTCCTGGAGGGTCGGTGTCCTGCGAAGTTTACTTCCAACCTCAATGAGGCACACCTGAACCAGCTATTCAAGCTCTCACTTGGCTTTCTAGAAACATTCTTGCAGGTGTGTTGTGTAAAATCTGCAGTACACCGAGTTTGGACACCCCTGATCTATATGGATGACACTGACACATGAAGCGGACCGGGACGTATACGGATCAGTTATTGATTTCCACTAGTCAGTTTCGATGTCCTTTTATTTCCTTTGAACACAGAACAAAATAAAGTGGGTCTCGAAGTTTCATTTTTGATATGTCTGAATAGATAAGTAAAGCAGCGAGTGTCTGTGTCCTCGAGTTCACCCAGCCTGAGTTCAGTGGCGTCTCATTTTGACTCGCCGTGTGGGTGCGTGATCGTGTGTGTAGCGCGCGGCGGGCTCTCTGTCGTCTGCTCTCCTCCAGGAGTTTTCGGAGCTGCCGTCATCGTGGCGTCTCTGCCGGGACGAGAGCGAACGCCTCTGCAGCTCTTTGTCCATCTCTAAAACACGAGGCCTGTGGCAGAAACAGAACAAAGTGGACACTTTATGGATGTTGACTGGAAATACTTTGTTCAAAAAAGTTAGTGCAAATGTGAATCCACACAAACATTCAATACATCTGAGAGCAGTCCTTTTTTTAGTTTGTTTGATTTTGAAAGGGGTGGCTCAGTGGTTAGTACAGTCGCCTCACAGCAAGAAGGTCGCTGGTTCGAGTCCCGGCTGGTTCAGTTGGCATTTCTGTGTGGAGTTTGCATGTTCTCCCCAGGTTGGCGTGGGTTCCCTCCAGGTCCTCTGGTTTCTCCCACAGTCCAAGGAATAGGTGAATTGAATAAACAAAATTGGCAGTAGTGTACAAGTGTGTGTGTGAATGAGTGTTTCCCATTACTGGGTTGCAGGTGGAAGGGCATCCGTAGCGTAAAATATATGCTGGAATAGTTGGTGGTTCATTCCACTGTGGCGACCCCTGATAAATAAGTGGCTAAGCTGAAGGAAAACAAATGAATGAATGGTTTTGAAAGGATTCTTAATGTTTGATTTTGAACAGAATCCACTATAAAAGAAATTGAATAAACTGTGTTACTCAAAATGGCTATTCTTGAATGAATAAATGTAGTAGTGCTGCTGTACATCTGGATTATTGTCTGTGAATATTAAACTGCACGAGATCTGCAAGTTCTGTATGAAAGAATGATGCAGTTTGGTTTATCATGCATGATGTTGTCAGCCACTGCCATGCTATTTAAGGACAAAAACACATTATGTTAATTCCAGAGCTGACCTAAAGCTCATTTTACTGTTATTTTGCAATCGTTTTGAGGGTGAAAAAAATACAAAAAAAGTTCTTAAACAACCTTTTATTTATGTTTTAGGATACCCAAGATATAAATTTTGTTAGATTCTTTATATATTGATGTTACATTGAATGTTTCATGACCTCAATTAACTGGGTTTGCGGATTGATTACTAAAAATATAAAATTTATTAATTATTTTTCCTTCAGCTTGGTCCCTTCATTCATCAGAGGTCTCCACAGCAAACCAACATGGGGAGAACATGCAAACTCAACACATAAATGCCAACTGATCCAGCTGGGACTGAAATCAGAGACTTTCTTGCTGTGAGGTGAGGTGCTAACCACTGAGCCACTGTGTCGCCCCTGGGCCAAAAAAAACAAAACAGAAATAAACACATAATTCAGTACTTAAACACAATACTGTTTTGATTATTTATAACACACTCAAATATTCAGTAATACCACATTTATTGCAGTTTTAAATTTTTAAACTTGGCTGAATATATAATATGATATTATCATCAGATTTAATTTTTTATTTCTCCTGTCCAACATGATAATAATAGTTTGATTAAGGTGTTTGCACTTCAATATTGTGATAAATCGGCATGCTCCACGTCTTAATTTCATTTCTGTTTGGTTCAATTATGACCTTAATAGGATTAGGCATTAAGACGATAACCATTGTCAAGGTATACCGTGGTTTTAAAAAGTCAAGGTTTTAAAACAGTCAAAATTTTTTCTGCAATACCGTTTCTAAGGTATGTCTACAATTTTTTATTTACCTTTTTTTATTTTTTAGGACAACAGTATCTTCAGCAGAAAAGATATTCAAAGATCCTGTTTTAAATTGTAAAAAAAGCCCGAAATGTTTACTATTCCAAAATATTTTAAATGTTTCTTAAAATAAAATAAATTTTATTATTAATTTACTTTTGTTTAAAAGAGAAAAATGTTTTAGTTTTTTACCCAGAAATTTAAAAACAATATATTTTACAGCAGTAATCATAATACCGCGAAACCGTGATATTTTTATCCAAGGTTATCACACCGTCAGAATCTTATACCGGGGTCATGCCTAAATAGGATTAATCAAAAATCGCTGTTTACATGGTAGACTCTTAATCAGAGTATTGTCTTTACCGTATTATTGGTGTTCATTTAAACGTACTCATTAGCTATGTTTCTATCCACCTATTTTTGTGCACATTTAGTATATGCGCAAAAAAAATGATTGATAGAAATGCCAAGATGTGCATAATTTTTTGAAAATGCGCATAAAAAACATGTGCATAACCGAGTAGGATAAACTTTTTTATTCAATAAGAAAAGATGCGCATAAACTGCGATGGAAACACTTTTACTGAACATTCCAGTATGCTCATTAGCAAAGGTCATGGGATTTTGTTATAAGAGCTCATGTGATAATAAAATGTGTGCAAATGGACAAAGTATTAGTGTTATTATATTTATTAATGACCTCCAGAGTCAAGAGCGTCTGTGCTCCACGTCTCACGCCTTCAAATGCCACCGCGTTTATTAAATGAAGAAAAGCTTCACGCAGCTTCTCGTATCGCACCAATTTCCATTTTCACTGTTGATATTTGGCGCCAGTTAATCAGGAAGTGACGATTTTGTCCGCTTTGACTTGTTGGATGGAAAAGCTGCTTTATTCAAACGTCTTTTATGCGATATTCCAGTTTTGTGCATAAAGTTAATTCACATTTTTGGATGGAAACATAGCCATTGTCAGCTGAAAACAACTTCTTTATTTAAGAAAAACAAGAGTCATCTGCACCCTGAATGACCTGAGGGTGATTAAGCTAACATCAACTAATTAATTCAGTGTGAATTATCTACATGCTGGAATATGAAGGACCCTGTGTGTGGGCCTGTCATGACATCTATTTTTTATTGTAAGATAACAATGCATCAATGCATATACTGCGATAAATGATATGATTGTCGTTTTAAGGCCATTTTAAGCCACTCATGTTTTAATGCCACAATGACAATATAATATCATCACAATGCAAGAACACTATTCCAAAGAATAATATTTATAATGCATCATTCTTAAGAATATTTAATCAAATTATAGTTGTTTTAATAAGTAAGCATTGATAACTAAATGTAAAAACACATATTCTAAATAAATAAATACAAAAAAAAAGTGCACGGTAAAAAGTAACAGAGGCTGCGATATCTGCTCGCAGATCTATTTTGAGCTGTCAGAAACCAACATGAGTTTATACCAGGGCTATTCAATTGGCGGCCCGCGGGCCGAACCCGGCCCCCGAGGCAGTTTGTTTCCGGCCCTCCAAATAGTGTGACCAAGACATCAAAAATAAATTTAGTTCAGTCAAAAAACGGCCGCTACAGTTATGAAGTGACGTGCAACTGTTTAATACAGCGTGAGCTGCAGAGGCACAGAGAGTGAGTCACCATAAGCGAGTAGTGCGGACAGCTGAAAGCACTTGGATATGTTTCGTAGGAAATACCTTTTGTTCAATGCACTGTAATCATTAATAGAGATGCAACGATTAGCTTATTTCACTATTAACCGCACTTTAATACGTCAGGGTTAATGAAACGTAAAGTCTTCTCTAAGCCGCATTTCTGTTGCACGGAAAAGTTATGACAAGTTGTCACCTGTGCGCTAGTTTAAAGATCCAAGAATATACACCGATTGCTACAACGCACGCACACCGGATTAACTATAGCTGCGGCCGTTCCCATATCATGTCTATTCCGCTTGCGATTTTATTTCTAATTTAAAAATATGTGACAATATGCGCGCACAAGCGGAGCAACGCGCTTGCGTCTCACAGTGAGAGTTGTGCATGCCTTTTAGTTCAATGTAAACAAAACATATGTAAGACGAGTTATTATTCAAATGATTATGTATGCATGAACGCAGATGATAACAACAGTTAATCTAAATAGCTACTTACCTAAAATAAAGCTTGAATTGACATTAGACGTGATAACCGTGAAAGCATGATTATTCTCCAGACTATAAAATCGTACAACCAAAATCTATAAGCGTTGCATCCCTAATTGTTATGCAGTTCAAAACATAACATATGAATGTGTCTGAATGTAAAAGAAGCCTACTTCAGCAATGCACTGCTTTTGTTTTATGAAATACATTATTAAATGTTTGTTAAAAATAAATAAATAAAAAAAAGTCAATTGGACAATGCAGTTGTTTTAAAATACAATATATTAACATTTTAATGTAGAAAAAGCCAACGTGGGTGTCTTTATGAGCACAAATACAGCATGTTGGCTCTGATATGTAGTTTTGTCATCTCTCATATAGCAAGTCAATCTCTCCGGCTCCTCGTTTGGGATGCTTTTCATGAACCGGCCCCCATGACAAACTAATCGAATAGCCTTGGTATATACTATAGTAGAATACTATAGTGTTTTTCAACCATACTGATACTGACACCTCCAGTAAAGATAGAGATGTTGTGCAATCAGCTAAAATGTTGCTAGAATTGTTTATGTATGTATGAGCGATACATATTGCATCACCAAAAATAACTGAGGTCATGTCCATGTGCTGTGCGATAAGTATATTGATTATTGTGACAGGCCTACCTGTGTGCAGCATCGGGGTCAGCCTTGCGATGCGAGCGCTTGGCTTTGAGGATGTGCCGTCTTTTAGGAGAGACGATGGATGGACTCAGAGAGTTGGAGTCTAGGCGAGGAGCATCCGCCCTTGTTCTGCAATAAAACACATGAACACACCGAATATAAGACAAGCGTACACCCACACACACTTCCAGAGCTTTGAAGAAAAACCCAGAACGGCTCACTTTCTCAGAATGATGACGGCTCGCCTCTCCTTGATGTCCTGTGGGCGGATGCAGTGTGTGATGTCATCAGCTGCGTAGCCACTGAAATGGATCAAAGTGGAAAGCATCAGAGAAAGAACTTCATTTTATAACAAGTACAATTTTGGGGGACATACTTCTAAAAAAAAAAGGCTAACAACTAATTACACAATGCAAACAAATGACTAAACACATCACTTGTTTTCATGCATGTTATGTTTAAATGTTAACTTTCAATTTTAGGGGGTCGTTAAAAGAATATTTAGGTCAAAGGGCCAAAGCTGAATAAACAGATTGGAGTCCATGTCTGCATAATAATAATAATAAGGTAATACTAAGATAGTAAAACACGTTAAGCGACAAATTTGTGGCAGTACAACAAAGGAGAGGGAGTAAAATCTCTCCATGGCAGGGGCAGCTACCACTAAACCTGCCACAGCTAAGTGTGCCTGCCACAAATACCTGCCAATGTATGCACAGACAGTGTACTCTGAGAAAGTAGTTTCTAAAATATGTTGTACATTACAGGACGAAGCCTAAATTTATGGATAGTTTCAGGGCAATTGCTAGTCAATATAATTATTTTTGTAAGTATGTTATAAGTTCATAACTTGACGCTAAAATACAAGTGCTAAAGTTACCTATATGAGTCATTATACTGTGGTATTTTATATTTATATTTTTTATATTTTTAAATCTGTCCGTGGCAGGGGCAGCTGCCACTAAACTTGCCACAGCTAAGTGCGCCTGCCACTCTACCCATCACCGCTAGAGGCAGCTGCCTCTAAACCTGCCACTGCTGAGCGCGCCTGCCACGGCACCCTCCAGTTATATGCGCCTGCCACAGCATCCACTATGGTTATGCACGGCTGATACGGCACCAGCCATGGTTATACAGGTCTGCCACAGCACCCGCCACGGTTATGCGCGGCTGATACGGCACCCGCCACGGTTATCCGGGTCTGCCACAGCACTTGCCACGGTTATGCGAGACTGAAACGGAATCCGCCACAGTAATATGTGGCTGATACGGAACCCGCCACGGTTATACGGGTTTGGTACGGAACCCGCCATGGTAATATGGGCCTGCTAAGGCACCTGCCTCTTATATACGTGGCTTTTACAAAACTCATCACGGTTATATGTGCCTACTACAAAACCCGTTACGATTAGTGGTCGCGCACTGTTATGCGTTTCTGGATTTATAGATTACCTCCATGAACAAAAGACATCTGTGCAGCCAGGAAAATCTAGAATTATGAGGGAATTTTAATATCCTGATTTCAGGCCATGAAAAATCATGTACCGTAGCAGGCTTTCAAAACAGTGGCAGGTATTTGTGGCAGGTGCATAAAATCGTGGCGGGTGCTGTGGCAGGCGCGCTCAGCAGTGGCAGGTTTAGAGGCAGCTGCCCCTAGCGGTGACGGGTAGAGTGGCAGGCGCACTTAGCTGTGGCAAATTTAGTGGCAGCTGCCCCTGCCACGGAGAGATTTTATTCCCTTTCATAAATATAAAATACCACAGTATAATGACTCGTATAGGTAACTTTAGCACTTGTATTTTAGCATCAAGTTATGAACTTACAACATACTTACAAAAATAATTACATTGACTGGCAAATAGTTATGAAACTATCCATAAATTTAGGCTTCGTCCTGTCATGTACAACATATTTTAGAAACTACTTTCTCAGAGTACACTGTCTGTGCATTTAGGTCAAATAAAATGCATCCCACATGTAAATATACTTAGAGAACAGTTTCAAAAGCACCATGGTGCTCTTACAAAATAGGCACATTAACTCTGTAAGGAACGTTAGTGTTTGAAGGAAAGCAAAGAAAGTAACTCAGTGTCTGGACCAGAACCGACCTGAGGACTGTGACGCTGCCGCGGCGCACGGGCAGGTGCAGCACGGGCTCGGACACGCGGATCGGCTTGAAGAGAAACTTGCAGCCGAAGCAGAGCGCGCTGTCGCTGAAGAAGGACACGGACACTATTGGCCGCTCAAAGATGTGGATGGGATCCACGTGGGACACGATGCAGCCTCCGGGCTGGTAGTCATTGATCACAGCGCTATTTACAAAACCCTCCGGGATAACACCGTGCGTCACGAGGCGATCGATGACCAGCTCGTGCACCCAGTCCGGGATATCGTCCACCTCTCCTTTGGAGTACAGCCGCTCCTGCCCGGGTCCGCGCTTCTCCAGCTGCGCGCCGTACGTGTACCCCTCCCCGAAAAAGTACTTGTTTCGCAGGGGCGCCCGGTCCACCGTGTGCTCCCGGTACAGCCCCTTGTCTGCCTTGGCGACCACCTCGTCTATCTTGGCCTCGATGCGCGCGCACTCCTCCAGCGTGAAGATACTCGCCTGTTTAATGCCGCTCTTGACTCTGCGCGCCTCCGCGTCCCGCCGCTCCTCGTACTCGCTCTCGTCATCATCCGACTCGCGGTATTTGCGCTTCTCGCCGTTGCTGTACTCGAAAACTTTGTCCCTGTGCGGTGTCATCGACTTGAGCTTCTCTCGCAGATCGGTAAATCCGGCCATTTTCAAGAGCAAAGTCCGAAATATTGCTGCAAAATGTTGTTGAACCTGAATTCGCCTCAGGTCCCCATGTTATAATATTAGTGTCGGTCACTGGAGTCGTGCGCGACGTGACCGAAGGCCCAGAGCGGTGCCGCCTGCTTCCTCTTCTCTCCTGGTACAAATTTAAGCCAACTAAAGTTTCCACTGCCCCATTCCAGGAGCAACCCGACTGAATCAGCAACGCAACGCGGTGAGTGTGCTGTCAATCACAGGCGGCGTCTCCCTGCGCTTCTGCCCCAAAACATTTAGCACGTAGCACAGCTACGCCACCACTAGCTTCGAGAGGATACAGGCTTACAAGTGCTTGTTGCTTGAATCGCTCGCCTTTAGCTCACCGCAATCGCTGATTATCCTTTTTTAAATGTGTCCAAAAAAAAGAGTACTTATTCCACTGCAGCAAAATTGCACGGTTCCGTGGAGAGAACGTAAACTCGTGTAACCAAAACTGTTTGGTGAAGTGCGCATGCGCGTCCTTTCTGCGCGTAGGCATGAGCATATGGGCATGAGGGTCTGGTCCTGTGACAGCCAATGAGCGCCGCGATCAGCTGTCAGCAAACCCTGCGGCTATAAAAGGCTTTTTCAGTTGTCTGAAAACTTTTTATTCTCATGATAAAATTGTGTTATTGTTATTAAATCATTTTAAACATACTCTGTTGAGATCAAAAGCGTTTAAGAGCTCAGCTCACCGAACGTGCATTATTACTGTACATTTATATGTTTATATATAATTCCATAAATATTCATACAACTAGAACTGAAGACAAAGTATTTATAAGAATTAACAATTACAATGGTGTATTATCATAATAATAATATTTATTATTATTATTATTACTATAAATACCAATTTGTTTACATAACAGTTTTATCATAAAAACTAGAATTTCCAAATGTTACCAAACAATATCTTATCCTCTGCATCCAGACAAACAAGTGCATAAGTCAGGATTATTTTATATATACTTACTGAGTTTAATGCATTTTCCTGGATATGCCTACAGATGTATTTAGCCATAACAGTATAACCATTGATCATTTCTATTTAAATAAATACACATTTATTGTTTAAAGTGGTTTTGTTCGTTTGAATGCAATCAATTCAGATTTATTGTTTAAAAAAATTGCTCATTTAAACTTAATCAAGAATTGTCCTTAAAATATGCAACAAAATAATCCAAATGCACAACTTGCAAGCTAGTTTAAACCCCTTTTTATACAAGAGACCTTATTCAATAACTAGATCATTATAACACCTATATGTGCTTAATATACAAGCTTCTCCAAAAATACAGCAAGAGCTCTGGAAAATAACAGTAGGACAAGTTACTGATGTGGGCTTTAACCAACAATATTTATTAAGAAAACTGTAAAAAAAACAACAAAATAATTATGAATAAAAATGTAAATACACGTAGGTCTCATGATAATGAACAGCTAAATGAACAAATTCACAACGAAAACAAACAAAAACTACATTTAATTACCTTGAAAACTACCCTTTCATCCATTTCTGAAAAGGTGCATTCATCCCGTGTTCTCCTGAGTAACATCTCTCTTCATTCTAACATACAAATTCAAGTTACAAGTGAAAATAAGCATTTAACACTTGATTACATTCACATTTCAAGTCTCAAGAAACAAATTGTGTATTCCAAAAGCAAGGCAAACAATGATTCATATAAGTATAAATAAGCATTCAGTACAAAAATAATGATTTTCATTCACTGCTTGTCTTTACGTAATCACAAAAAATACACATGATTAGTGCAAACATTGCATTAAGAGGTTTGGTGTAGACATGATTAGGTGATGGAAATAAAGCATCGTAACTGTGCGTGTGGTTTTGTTACAGCATGGTGATTTCACTGGGTGGCAGAGTGAGTCTCTTCTCTCGGACAGAAAGCATATTCTCGATGTGCATGGCGATAACTCGACACAGCTCCAGACCCTGCCAAACAACATATGCAGTCATAAATCTCTCATTCATATGTAAAGGAATTCTGCAAGTCATATGAGGGGTAAATTAAAGACTATTTAAGATCTTTTTAATACCAACAAAAAAAATGAGGAAAATAATACAGCTATATGTTGAGAACTACGTATTAACTCCAGCTCCTCATGTGCTTCCTAGACATTATACATTAGTGGTGTAACAGATGACAAGTCTCATGGTTCGGATCACATTGCAGTTTTTGAATCACAGATCGGACCATTTTTTTGGATCAGCCAAACCAGGAGACAAATTTATTTTGCTTTCCAATTATTTCAAAAACAGTAAGACATGAAACGTTTGGTTTTACAAACAGCTCAGAGCCTGTAATTTTAAAGAGCCCCTATTATGGGTTATTGAAAATGACCTTCCTTGCAGTGTGTAGCACAGCTCTAAGTGAAGTGAAATATCCAGCTAAGTTTTAAATCTGAAAGTGTACCATGTTTAAAACTATTGATTCATCTTTAAAAGAGTTGACTCAGAGTGGTTCGAATGAATCGCACGATAACGAGTCTTTAGCTGTGTCAGCGTGACGTCGAAACAGAACTCAAGCTCCGCCCGTTTGTTGCACGCGCAGACCTGGGAAAATCGAAACCCCCGGCCCCGCCCACAAACACTGTAGAAAGAAAAGGAGGAAGAAGAACACTGTAGCAGATCCCGGCTGAATCAAGTCGAATAGACCCTGTGCTCTGAAGTGTGAGGGAAAGTTACTGTTACTTTTCTCTAGCCAAAGATGAGGCTGGCAAGAGTCAGTGGTTTAAGTTTATTTTTGCAAAAACACCTTAGCATTACAGCCCCAGCCTTGTGTTGTGTTCCCGTCCTTTTTCTGACGAGTGCTTCAGCAATCTACACACTTACAATGGAGGATTCATCAGCTGTGTGTTAAAGGATGGGTCAGAAAAGACTATTGATGTATGGGACTTTGTCAGAGCTTGACAGGAACTTTTCAGTACACAGTTCATGGACCAGTTCCTTCCTCCATTTCACAAGTGTAAGTAAGTGCGATTAAAATGGTTGCCTCCTTGTTTTCTCTAGCTTGCAAGTTATGTATTTTATTGTGTTTTGTTACTTGTAACCGCTTGTACTGTTTTTGGTAACTCTTTATTTTCATATATCACGTGTAAATCCACATTGAAAACGCGTCACGTGCCACTTTGTATCAGGGGTGTCGAAACTCGATCCTGCATATTTTCGTTCCAACCCCAATTAAAGACACCTGAACCAGCTAATCAAGCTCTTTCTAGGCATACTAGAAACTTCTAGGCAGGTGTGTTGAGGAAGTTGGAGCTTAGCTATGCAGGACACCGGCCCTCCAGGACCGAGTTTGGACATCCCTGGTTTACAAGAATAATTCTTGAAAAACTGGGTCAGTGGACCAATCAGCGCAGATTAGCTTCGCTGAACAAGATTATCATGGAATAATAATGAGGTAAAAATAAATGCATATTATAAGACAATAAAAGTGTTTTTTGAGCCTGCATGCATATCAGCCTGTTGTTGGAGACCCTTAAACCAAAATATTCTCTTTTAAATGCAAAATAGGGGCTCTTTAAGTGGCATGTTTTTGGTGGCTCTAGGTTAAATAATGTAATTGCTACAACTTTCATTTTTGAGCATCAAGTGAAAGGCATATAACAGTGATTGAACAGTGATTTTTAGGATGCACACATGAACAGCAAAGTTTGTAGAGGTGAAACTTCACACACACACACACACACTCTCTCTAGATACTACAGAGATTCATTTTGCATCTTGTAAAAAGGGGCACAATAGGTCCCCTTTAAGACCTGCATCAAGCATGCTTCTGATGGTGTTAAATGTGTTACCTGTTCCAGCTGTAACTGCGTGACTCTGTGGTTGGTCAAGTCTCCTATAAGGACGTCTACATAAGGGTAACTGGATCCAGCGCTGGGCCGCTGTGTGTGAGCTGACTGAACCTGCTTCAGCTGCACCTTCACCTGCACCTCCTGACAATACAAATTCAAATGCAAGTCTGATACCTTTGGAAGTCTTTGCCACTGAAAAGGGGCTGTGCAATATTATTAGCCCCCCGTTCATTTTTTTCCCAATTTCTGTTTAATGGAGAGAAGATTTATTTAACACATTTCTAAACATAATAATTTTAATAACTCATTTCTAATAACTGATTTATTTGATCTTTGCCATGATGACAGTAAATAATATTTGACTAGATATTTATCAAGACACTTCTATATAGCTTAAAGTGACATTTAAAGACTTAACTAGGTTAAATAAGTTAACTAAGCAGGTTAGGGTAATTAGGCAAGTATTGTATAACGATGGTTTGTTCTGTAGCCTATCGAAAAAAAGTTAGCTTAAATGGGCTAATAATTTTGTCTATAAAATAGCTTTTAAGAAATTAAAAACTGCTTTTATTCTTGCCTAAATAAAGCAAATTATACTTTTTATGGAAGAAAAAATATTATCAGACATACGATGAAAATTCCCTTGCTCTGTTATAACTCTGTTAACGTCATTTGGGAAATATTTAAAAAAGAAAAAAAAAATCAAAGGGGGGCAAATAATTCCGACTTCAACTGTATATCATATGGACAAAATAAAAATGTCATTGTTTCATATTATGAATTATTGTTTATTTTGTTATGTACGAGTACTTTTTCATCATAAACATGGTATAATGATGGTGTTCAGGGGGTAAAATCATACATTTTCATACAAATGAAGTTTGTACAAATTAGTCACTTTCTGAAAATACATTACAAAAAGTTACATTTCCTCATGAGATCGGGCTGGTTATAGAGGTCTATATGAGATGATAAACTACAATTCTTCTTTTTTTATTGAACAAATGTCATTTAAAAGGTAACAATTTATAAAACTGCTCTGAGATCACTGGTTTATGGTTTGACAGGATTCATCATGATCATCTTCTAACAGTGAAGGTGAACCACTGAAACTACAAAATGTTTAGAAATACTTATCATTTATATTTTACATTCTTTTTTCTCTTCCAAATATGGTTACATTTAAAGCATTTAGTGTTTTTTAACATTATTTTCTTAATTAAATCATAAATGGTTACTTACAGTTGAAGTCAGAATGATTAGCCCCCCTTTAAATTTTTTCCCGTTTTCAAATATATAACAGAGGAAGGACATTTTCACAGTATGTCTGATAATATTTTTTCTTCTGGAGAAAGTCTTATTTGTTTTATTTTTATTTTGGCTAGAATAAAAGCAGGTAATTTTTTTTTAAACACTTTAAGGTCAAAATTATTAGCCCCTTTAAGCTGTATTTTATTTCGATAGTCTACAGAACAAACCATCATTATACAATACCTTGCCTAATTACCCTAACCTGCCTAGTTAACCTAATTAAGCCTTTAAATGTCACTTTAAGCTTTATAGAAGTGTCTTGAAAAATATTTAGTCAAATATTATTTACTGTCATCATGGCAAAGATAAAATAATTCAGTTATTAGCAATGAGTTATTAAAACTATAATGTTTAGAAATGTGTTGGAAAAAAAAATCTTCTCTCCGTTAAACAGAAATTGGGGAAAAAAATAAACAGGGGGTCTAATAATTCTGACTTCAACTGTATATGCAAATCCACATTTTATTTAAAGTTTGACGTAAGGAGAATTCCAAAGTAAATTTAAACACAGTTTTTTCATGGCATGCGTATGTGTGTTTGTGTCATACGCACATGAGTGTCTTTGTGCAGGAAGTGCAGTCCGTTTTGATTGACAGCAAGGATGCATGGTGCTGATATGGTGTTGTTGCTGCTGCTTTGGATGTAAAAGAAGGACGAGCCAAACATGGGAAAGGCACAAACCAAACCTGAAGTGCACACAGAAACAAAGCACAGTGCACTTTTGTCATATCTGCTAATAAAAAGGTAAGAAGTGAATAATGTTTTGAGCGTAGCAAGAATAAAATACCCAGGAACTGGGATCTGGCCTGGTGAGGGTTCAGGCTCTGGACAGCATGCACATGTTGAGCAACCAGTTGCATCCACTGCTGAGGGATCTGCCTGCCAAAAATCTCAACCGGGATGTACTCCATCAGCTCATGACTAGAGGAAGAGAAAGTACAGAATCAATATGCTCTAAATGAAAATAAATGGAAAGATAGTTTTCTTAGAAAAATCCCAGAGGAACACCAGAGGTTACTCTTCGTTAGCATTTCAACTTTATCTTAGATGTTACTTGTAAAAATACCACAGGAAACATGCATTACTAATCAAAGGTTTGGAGTCAGTAGTTAGAAAATGTATTCAATTAATCTGAAGTGAGGGTGTCATGGTGGCTCAGTGGGTAGCACAATTGCCTCACAACAAGAAGGTCAAGCCCCTGCTGGGCCAGTTGGCATTTCTGTGTGGAGTTCACATATTCTCCCTGTGTTGGCGTGAGTTTTCTCCGGGTGCTCCGGTTTCCCCCACAAGTCCAAAGACATGCACTATAGGTGAATTGGGTAAGCTAAATTGTCAGTAGTGTATGAATGCAAGAGAGTATGGGTGTTTCCCAGTGTTGGGTTGCAGCTGGAAGGGTATCTGCTGTGTAAAACTAATGCTGAATAAGTTGGCAGTTCATTCCACTGTGGCGACCCCTGATATATAAAGGGACTAAGCCGAAAAGAAAATGAATGAATGAATGAATGAATCTGAAGTGACATTATTAGTGTTACAAATAAAAATCTAATAATATTATTATTAATAAAATAATACATTTTTTTATTTTAGTGACAATAATAATAATAGAATTTATTCAGCATGTTTGCAATCAATTAATCTGAAGCAACAATAATAGGTGTTTCAAATTATCTCTATTTCATATTAATGCTGAAAATGTAATAATAATAATAATATTAATCATATTTTTATTAATGTGAATAAGAATAAAATAATAATACAATTTATTAATTTTAATGACAATAATAATAATAATATAATTTATTCAGCATGGATGCATTCAATTAATCTGAAGCAACAATAATAGTGTTACAAATAATCTTTTTTATATTAATGCTGAAAATATATTTTAGAAACTCCTGAAAAATGTATTAAAAAAATCCTGAAAAATATTAGATAGCAAAAAACTGTTTTTAACTTGAATAATAATAAAAATGTCTAATGTTGCATGAAATTTTTATTGAAAATAGTCATATATACATCGTATGAGTCAAAATGATGGATTTTTCTTTTAAGCTAAACATCATTTGAATATTTAGTCAAGATCATGTTGCATGGAGATATTTTGTATCTTTCATATTGTTAATATAAAAATAGTTTTTTGATTAGTAATGTACAAAGTTAAGTACTTACCAACATGGGGAAAACATGCAAACTCCACATAAAAATGGCAACTGGCCCAGCCTGTACACAAACCAGTGACCTTCTTGCTGTGAGGCAACAATGCTAACCACTGAGCCACCATGTCACCCATCATGTGACATAAACCTCAATAAAAAACCCTGATACTTATGACTGGTTTTGTGGTCCAGGGTCATATATCAGAATGATTTCTGTAGGATCATGTGAGAAAGACTGGAGTATTGAGGCTAAATATTCAACACTGAATCACAAGAATCAATGACATTTAAATTATAAACTGTATACATTTTTTTACAATCTTTCAATTTTTGCTGTTTGAGACATTGCTGATCCTAAACCTTTAAACATACAGTAAAATCACAGAACTGTAAAATCTTGTCTAAGAAGAATCTGAGAAATGTGGACTGATGCTGAAATTCTATTGCGGTGGATTGCCACAGTCAGAATGTACGCGTATGTAAGAGATGTTCAGGTATGTTTATACAAATAAAGTCAGATAAAGAACGATTAAAAAACATACATAGTAGGAGTGTAGAGACTGTCTTTGGCTCGGTGTTGAAGAGCAGCGAGTTTGGCAAACTGGTTAAACTGCTGTTCGCTGATCTTTCCCTGAGGTACAATATTCAACAGACCCTTCAGATAGTCTGGCAGAACCTGCGCAAACACAAACACACACAGTTTAATAGGATTGTACAGACATATATTTGACATTTTTTAATAATAATGTGCTGTTCAGCATTTCAATAATGTTGACACACACAGTAAAATGTGCTCCAGCAATCTGATGCATTTACATCACTGTTCTAAAGCTTAGGGTTGTAGAAATTTGACCAAAGATGCTGTTAATGAATAAATATTATTATAATTTACAAGAATTTCTATTTCAGAATTATCAGAATCAGTTTTATTGCCAAGTGTACTTCACACCCGCAATGAATTTCTTTTGGCTACAGAAGCTTCCAGTGTACATAAAGTGACAAGTGACAACACAAAATAAATATGAGAAAAAAAGATGATAAACATTAAACAGAGATGCAGTTAGTCAAAAATTCTGGATGTTGAATTGTATGTAGAGATTAGTTATAAATATACAGGTTATAAGGTGCTGTGTACAAATGCGTATGAGAAAGTATTGCACATTTATTGCACAGTAGGGGAATATTTAACTGTTCTTGAGGTAGAGATGGCCTGAGGAAAGAAACTTTTCCTGTGTCTGGCTGTTTCTTTGCTTGGTGTTCTCGAGCGCCGACCAGACAGTAACAGTTCGAACAGGTAGTGTGCTGGGTGCCATGTAGGAAGGATTAGCAGTCCGGATTATTCGCTGTAGTCTACGGAGGATGGTTTAGGTGTAACCCCGCCGGTTCTACACCGCCCAACCTGCTCCGAGCTGGGATCGAACAAGCGACCTTCCGCATGGGAGTCAGTTGCTCTACCAAGGAGGCTAAATACCATGGCCTCTAGCGTCTGTTGCTAGAGCACCTTTAGAGGTCAGAGGAGTGAAGTTTACCTGCACAGCACACACTAGCTGGCCTCCGTTACATAGGCAGCTGAGCTGAACCAGACGGTGATTGAAGTGCAAAGTATTTAATAATTATACTAATTATTTTATTATTATATTTTAGCATTATCAATTCTTTCTCTGTCACGTCTGTACAATTTAATGCGTTCTTACTTAATGAAAATGCTATTTTCCCCCAACTTTTAAACAATAGTGTACTTGATATGTCATGATTATTTTCTTAAAACTGTGCCTGAGCAGATGCAGTGCCAGAACATGTCTAAAGTCAGCTTTTATTCTTCCCTCAATGAAAGTTAAATACTGGAGTATGAACATTGACAGGACAATGTGGTGGCTCAAATGAATTATTAGATGCCCTGCCTGGTTATAGTGCATGGTGACACAGAGTTCGTTGTCAAACTTGAGCGGATGAGCCCAGATGACCCGTCTGAACCAGAAGCTGTAGTTGGCATCGATCTGCTCTGCCTCTGTTGCGATGTCTAATATATATTCTCTCTTGTTGAGTGGACGCACATTCTGACCTGGATAAAACACCAAAACATACGAGTTAATTATATAGATACAGTTAAAGAATTATTATCCCAACTGAATTATCAGCCACTTTTTATTTTTTCCCCAATTTATGTTTAATGCAGAGAAGATTTTTTCAACACATTTATAAACATAATAGTTTTAATAACTCATTTCTAATAACTGATTTATTTGATCTTTGCCATGATGACAGTAAATAATATTTGACTAGATATTTTTCAAGATACTTCTATACCTGTCAGACCTTATCAGACCTTTATAGAATAAAACAAAAACATTTCATTCAAACCCATACCTAATGAAACAAGCTAAATTCAGAAAATATCTCAAAAAAAGTGTTTTTTTTCTGCAAAAGCTAAAGATATGTTTAACATATATATTAGGTGTAATAAAAAAATCATATGTGTAAACTGTAACAAACCCCTCTCAATTTTTGTTTATAAATATATGTGCATCACAAATATGAGAACTATGGCTCATTGTGCCTGAACATGTTTTAACCAAGCCGCAACCTCCCGCTCTCCCTTGTGAAGCCAATACAGAAGAACTGAAAATGCAATTCACTGACTCTCCTTTGGGGGCTGGATCCAGGAAATTCAGATATTCTCTGAGTGCAATACCCTAGTAGCAAAGAATTCTGGCCCAGATTTGTCAAAAAGCTGGCACAGCAGGCATTCATCTGGCCCTGGCATACAGCATGTGGGCCAAACATGGCCCGGGTTTGGCAGAGGTGGCACCGTTTTTAAGGCGGCACACAAGATTTGGGCCAGATGAAAAACGTAGTATTTGGCCCAGATTAAAAAATTTGATAAGTGGGCCATGTGAGTTTGGCCAGTCTTGACCCACATTTAAAATACACTAAAATCATTTTTGAGTAAAGAAAAAAAATTCTACCAATCAGGTCACTTTGAGAAAAAGCGTGCCCATAGTGTGCCTAAAGCGCATCACTCCATGGGTTTATCAATTTCATTGCAATCGTGACACACCAACCTATCTGGCCCAGTTCAGGCCCAGTTATGAGTTATTAACTTGGCTGAGACTTGGCCCAGATATGGTCTGTGTTTGGCCCTTGTCTGGAAGCCAGATTTGGTCCAGTCATGTACCGTAATTCACTGCGGCATGTGGGCCAAGCAAAACCTGATTGTGTGGGTCAGAGCTGGGCCAGAGAAATTTTGCTATGTGGGTAGTAAATTGGCTAATTTTACAGCTGATAAAAACATCTTACAGCCTGGTATAAAAAATGGTTTTGGTGCAAATAGCTAATATTACCCTTCATGACAACTGTGAGGGGGTGAATATTTATAACTCATCCATTTCGTTTTTATTAAGTTTTATTAAGTCTGCATAATTAAGGGCGTGGCTACTTGAGTGACAGCTAGGTCTCGCTGCTCACTGTCTCATCTCCTTAGCTGATTAGCCGTTAATTAGTCGTGCGTTTAGTCTATGCTTCTAACCACTGAACCACAGGATGTACAATGCAGAATAACACACTGATCAATATCCAGTTGTTAGTATTGACCATTATAGAGATGAAAAATCATCATCTGTACCTCTGTTGGTGACTATGAAAACTGTGTATTCATCCATGGCCTCCAGCCTTTGTAAAGCCATCTCATAACACAACTCCTCTATGACATCCAGCGCCACCTGAACACACACCCATCACGTCAACATCGGTATTAATCTTAAAAAACAATCACATGCAGTAACACATATGAGGAGACCTACAGAGCAAGTTTTGATCTTCAAATGTCTCTCAATTCCTCCTGGAAAGAGAAAAAGCTGCCGCTTCGAGCTTCGACCAGCCTGAAAACACACATAAGAACAAAATAAATGTCTAATTCAAGCACATACACCATACCTGTCAACCCTCCCATCTTTCCCGGGATTCTCCTGTATTTTACAGTTCTATCCCACTATGATCCCGTAAAGATATTTGTCCCGGATTTTCAGTCTTTCTCTGAAGGGTGGCAAATAAACATTAAAGAGTCGAGCCTCCCTATACGCAACCCATACAGCCGAAACACCAGGGGCCACCCCTTGCTCTTAAATGTGAGTCTGTTCTGTCCTTTCGCTTTGCTTAGGCATAAAAACACTTTGAAATAGACATAAACACGGCGCGATTCCCTTCCTTTTCATTACAAGTGTCGTCTCCCCATCATATGCGATCCTCAAAACAGTCATAGCGCTGCATGACTGTCAGCTGACGCGCTCCAAAGTGATAAATAGACTGTTTCCCAAGCGGATTCTCGTGATTTGAAGCGAAGCAAAAGTCAGGGTTTTGGGTGCGTGTTTAAGCAGACATATACACATAATTAATAATATTAATATCTAAAGATGTTGATCTTGGTGTTTTTTTTTTCAAATGCAAGTAATTTCATCCTAAATGAGCATAAACCGTTCGAATGCTAACCGTAAAGCAGTCGAATGCTTTCATTTTAATGTTAGATGTGTGCATTTTTAAAGTGACACCTCTGTTATTAATGTAATTAAACGAAAAAATCTAAATAAATCATTCATTTGTTGCTCTTTAATCATATTGTGTAAGTTATCCAGTGAGGAAACGGCTAAAGAGATTTGATTCTATTTCATTATAATAGCTATTCATTTTAATAAGCTCAACTGTTTGCTAATTTATTTGCTGCTAATGTATACTATTTATTTTTTCTTTTGTAAATAATAATAATAAAACATATTACTGACCACTTAACTGTTCATTTACAACAAAACAGCTCCAAATGAGCATATTTAGTAATTTGGCGATTTTTTTAAAGGGGGTCATGGGGAATTCCTCATTTTCACATCCCAATGTTGACAGGTATGACATACACTACTGAACAGAAGACTGGTAAAAATGGTAAAAATAAGCTTTTGGTATTAAACCCTTAGGTATAATTTTTATATATATATAAATTACAGTACAATACAATACTACTGTGAACAAATAATACAATTTTATTACCATACTAACAAAATAAAAATGAGAAAAGTGTAAATTGTAACTTTAAATCACATCATTTAGACATTTCTTATCTCAAGATTTGGAACTTAACTCACAATTTTGAGTTTGCATCTGGCAATTCATACTTGCATTTAATTTATTTTTAATCTAAGAATTGTGGCATAAAACTGCAATTGCCTTTTTATTTTTGTATTCTGTAGCAGAAACATGCTTCTACAGTGTTCTACAATGTAATTTATTCCTGTGATGGTTAAGATTTATTTTTAGAAGAAGGATCATTCAGAAATCATACTGGTGTGCATTTTATGTGCAATTGTTTTTATGTGCATTGTTTCCATGTTTACATGGACATCAGTAATCTAATTAATTGCCTTAATCTGAATAAGGCACTAATATGATTAAGATGGTTACATGAGTTGCTTTTTGAATTTTCCTTTCATGACTGCATTTTACATGTTATAGCACATAATTCGATTACCGTCATTGCGTCACCACGCTATCCACATTTCCTCCGGACTTCATGTAATTTTTTTATTTGTCACCTTTTACTGCAGTTTGCCACTTTCACTTTTATTTAGGAACATTTCATGCCTATGACAAACGAGATATTGGATGCGACTGTGAACTGCTGGAAGAGTGTTGTTTTAATGGAATTTGATAGCTTACACCATATGGGAAAAAAATTCAGCATTTCGTGTGTCTATGATCCTTCTTTGACTCGGTAGGTGTAGAATATAGTGTCAAACAGCCATGTGTGTATAGAATTTCCTGTCACAAAATGCGGCAAAAATCCTACTCGATGATAATAGTTTAATTGCGATGTTTACATGTCTGTACTGCACGTCAATAATGCAACTAAAACAGACATTCTCCACAGTCTTAATACGATTTCTGTTTAGTTCGATTATGACTTAAGTTGGATTAAGGTAATTAAAAATCGCTGTTTACATAGTAGACTCCTAATCAGAGTATTGTCTTAATCATATTAAAATTGGATGACTTCCATGTAAAGTACTCACTGTTTTGTGAAAAATGCAATACATTTTCTCAGGATTCCTTGACTGATAAAAACAGTTTTTTCTTGGTAACAATGTATAATTTAATTTCTAAACAAATATTTTAACATCTTAAAGTACCCCAAACGATAGTGTCAGTAGTTTGTGTAAACAAAACAGAGGTGAGGTGGCATATGCAGGGATTTTTGTATTCATTTACCATGATGGCTTTAAGCTCCATGCTACTGGGGTAAACACTCCTGCCACCGAACTGAAACGTCTTCCTGAGGTTCTGCTCACAAGTTTTAGCAATTCCTGGAGATAATAAACAATAAAGGGGTAATATTAGATGATTGCTATACTATTTGAATATAGTATAGTTTAATATAGTATTATTGGATTGAAAATAGCTCACATATCATGCATTATAACAACACTGTAAATGCCCTTTTTTGATAGAAACAAAAATATACAATTTTCATGTGTCACTTATAATGCAAATGAGCTGCTTCTCCCCGCCCCCCGTTCCTCAATAGGGTGAAGCCTTTATAGCTTGTGCCTCTGTTACTCCATCAGTAGTAAACAAAACATCTACATGGGTTTAAAGCTGCGTCAGATTAAGCACCTGATAAATGGTGTTCTGATCACACAGGCATGAAATTGTGCGTTTATATTATTCTGTGAAACAGCTAAAACAACGTACACAGGCTCTTTTCTAATGGGCAAGTAATTATTTAAATTTGGAATATGTGTGTGTACATTTCCAGAAGAAAACTCATAACTAAAAATCAAGGTGTTTTTGTGTGCTTAGAAACAGTTCCCAATTACTGAAATGACTAGAGTGATTTGTGCTATCTATTGTTGCAGATTTTGTTTATGCTCCAATGGCAACATTAAGTACTGAAAGTGTACAATTCATAGAAGGACAATCGTGTATAATTACCATGAAAGTGCACTTCTGGACTCCTGCAGACGTCTCGTAGGAACTTGAGTAGGAAAGGCTTGAGCACTTCAGAACAGCGGTAAAATGCAGTGAGAATGTAGAGCAGGCGCCAGCCTTTCTGACAGCTGTCACTGCAATACAAAACACATGCAAAACACTCACATTCTCAGGCCGACACACAAAACAGACTCCAATCAAACAAGCAAAAGTGTAGCTCACGGTTTCGAGCTGGTATTGGCTGTGATCTGTTTGAGGACCTGACAGTACGCCTCATCCTTCATCAGTCCATATTCACCCGTTAACTACAAAAACAGTGAAGTATTTTAGTAAAAGTCAAGCTAAAACTATTGGTTACACATATCAGTTTCATTACTTAATGTTAATTTATTTATTTAGTAACATGAACTAATAATGAACAATACTGGTTCAGTATTTATTAATCATAGTTCAACATTTACTAATCCATTGTTAAAATCCAAAGTTGTGCTTTTCAAGAAAAAAATAAAGTACACCTAGGAAACAACCTCCTGGATGTACTTTATCCCACTTATTACATGGCTATTTCCCACAAAAAAATAAAAATTAGACACAAAATTACTGTTCTGAGCCATAATAGTTTATTAAACCTTTCAATTAAAGCAAAGCTAACAGAAACGAAACAGCTGATTATTTAGTCACAAGATGGCACCAAAATTGACAGAAACTAAACTAACCTAATAAAGCACATGTGTCAAACTCAGTTCCAAAAGGGCCGCAGCTCTGCACAGTTTAGTTCCAACCCTAATTAAACACACCTGATCAAACTAATTGCAGACATCCCAAGTCTCCCGGAAGTTGCAGGAGTATCCCTGAAATGCATAGACACTCCCGGATGCCCGCAAATGAATGATAATCTTCCGGAAATCGCATGTCTCCTGCCCGTACCTTAAATATGTGGCCCACCCTTCCCTCCACTGCATCCCTACTAGCTTTTCAGGTACGTCGTGCGCAACTCACCCCCACCGCTCTTCAAGTACGTCTCGCGCGCGCACACGCCCCCCTTCACAGATACGTCACTCACTACCCCCCACCCCCCTTTTTGAGCACACACTAATCCGCTACCTTAAGCAAATCAACTCTGTATCCCCCGGAAATGACTTTTTACTAACTTGGGATGTCTGTAATTGAGTCCTTCAGGCTTGTTTGAAACCTACAGGTAAGTGTGTTGGAGCAGGGTTGAAACTAAACTGTGCAGGGCTTCGGCCCTCCAGGAATTGAGTTTGACACCCCTGGAATAAAGCATAGACAAGCTACATATTATTCATTCACAAGATGGCGCCAAACAGTTCAAAACAGTCAAAAACAATGTTGTGACAGACAAGCAGATACATTTGAATGTGGATAAAGTATTTATATATTTATACTTTATTAATTCAATGCCACAAGAACAAGAGGTATTACATATTTAAATAGTTTTTTTTGACAGACAAAATATAAAAAATAGAAATTTACATGAATTTCTGAGCATTACATTGTTACTAATGTATACTAACGTGGATGTAAATATTTTGATTTGAAGTTATTCACTGATGGTCAAAGTGATTGAAGTTCCTAGATAAGCCTGCATTATTTAGAGGTTGTTAACCGGGAATAACATATCTTTGAAATGTCACAACTGACCAATCAGATGCTAGTATTCAATACAGCCTTGTAATAACATTAATTAATGCATAGTGAGTTAACATAAACTAATAATTAACTTTATTTTCATTAACTAATGTTTAGAAAGATTATTAAATACTGTGTTAAATGTATTGTTTGTTCATGTTAGTAAATACATCATCTAACATTAACTAATGAGCATTAACTAACTTATTGTAAAAATGTTACCCAAATATCAAACACAGCTGATTTTTACCTTCAGGAAAGTGCAAACCACAAACTGCTCTGATTGGCCTCTGAGAGGATGATCTCCCATGAACTTCATTATGGCTACACACAAACCAAACACACACACAAATAAACATTGAGATAATAATCATCATCTAACAAACATAATAAAACAGGCTGAGTAGATGTAAAGTATCTCTCATCTCACCTAGGAAAATTTCAGAAGCAACCCGGTTCATGTTGGGGTCAGTGAAGTCTATGAGGGATTCTAGGATGGGGTTCTGGAGAAAAACAGCAGCCATTTAAATGTTGAGGAAACATTTATTATTGGTTTAAAATTGTTAATATAAATTGGTGGAATACAGTGATACATTTTTCCATTTCTTTCATTTATTTTTTCAGGATTATTTAATAAATAAAAAATTAAAATAAGTAGCATTTATTTTAAATTAAATAAATAAATAAATAAATATTGTCTTTAGTTTAACTTTTGATCAGTTTAAAGCGTCTGAAATATATTTTTACCCCTGAAAACATTTTCTGACCCTAAACAGTAGTATTTCCACATATACATTTGCAAATGTATTATTTATTTATATAATATTTATTGTAATTTATGCTATATGTATGTTAAAATATGTTACATAGTGGGCAGGAAAGTACCTTGTTGAATTTCACCATCTCTGCAGGGTCTTTGCTTCCTTTACCTTTTTTGGACTTATCCCTGAATGAATCACTAATCAAATAAAAGAAAAGGATCAGGATTCAGTCGTGTGTTTAACTGTGCTGGGCTGATTTTGAATTAATAATTTATATATGTATATTATTATTACAGCAGCAATAGCACCTTTTGCTTCCATCTGATGTTCTAAAATATTTCCTGGCAAACTCCACCATATTGTACTGGCTGTCTAAAACAACATTTCCTTCAGCTTCAGAGTCACCGAAATCCCCGAATCCATCAGACTGGCCATTACAAAACACACAAGATTATTAATGCATGATCGGTCAAACATGTCAGTCAACTCCAATATCTAAAATCAGCCCTTACATTTATTCAAAGACTAAGCAAACATTGTAATCTGAGCAAAGTCCAAGATTTCATTTCAGCACTTTCATTAGCTGGGTTTGCATCATATCCAGTTGAAATAAGACTTATTAAGCCTCTTGAGTTATTAGTTAGAAGTATTAAAGAATTTTTTAAAGATACTACTGTGTGGAGTTTGCATGTTCTGCCTGTGTTGGTGTGGGTTTCCTCCAGGTGCTCCGGTTTCCCCCATAATTCCAAAGACATGAGCTATAGGTGAATTGGGTAGGCTAAATTGTCCGTAGTGTGTGTGTGTGTGTGTGTGTGTGTGTGTGTGTGTGTGTGTGTGTGTGTGTGAATGAGTGTGTGCGCGTGTTTCCCAGTGATGGGTTGCAACTGGAAGGGAATCCGCTACGTAAAACATATGCTGGATAAATTGACGGTTCATTCTGCTGTGGCGACCCCAGATTAATAAATGGACTAAGCCGAAAAGATAATGAATAAATAGTTTTAAGGGGGCTAATTATATTGACCATATTCTGACTTCAGCTGTATTTACCTCTAGTGAGGGGTCTAGCTCATGTGCAGCCGCAGTGGAGGCCACGGCAAGAGCGATTGCTCCTGATGCTGCCACTCGGCCCTGTCTGTCTCTCGGCTCATCTCTCCTTTCTGCCGGGAGCCCCAGGAAATCAGGAGCAGCTACAGGAACCACACACTCCATGGGAAACGCTCCACTCCGACCTTGAACCGCCCCATACCTCCAGCCTGAAAATAACATCCAGAACTAATTTACAACTAGACATTTTAGCAGAGGCTTTTGTCCAATGCGATTTACAATTGAGGAGGTATTCAGCGATTCAACAAGAAGAGGCAAAACACACAAGAAGTGATAATTATACACAGAAACTGCTAGTACTCAGAGAATTTAGCACTAGAGTAAGGAGGGGGAATTTTTTTTTTTTCATTATATTTATCATTAACAAGCTTACGTTGACCGTAAGTGTGGGGTTTATTGTGGTGGATTTATTTTTTCCCTACCAGACATCCTCTGTCATTTTACAACTGATTTAAAATTTTCATTTCTTTAATGATAAAAAAAAATTATACAGTGCATATACAGTGCTCTGTATATATGAGTACACTCCTCAGAAATTTGTCATTTAAATTAATTTTTCCTATAGGAAGTTTTGCAATATTATATTTGTGCATATGCATTAGATTAGTCAGTACCGAAGACAAATCTGTAGCTAATCTAATAAAATAACTCATGATAACGCTCCAAAAACTAGTCGCACAAATTTATATGTAAAGGAAAAATATATAAAAATAAAAAAAATAAAAAATAAATAAATAAATAAATAAATAAATAAATAAATATATATATATATATATATATATATATATATATATATATATATATATATATATATATATATACATACATACATACATACATACACACACACATATATATATATATATATATATATAAAATTTTATATAAATATATAAAATTGTTTGATATATATATATATATATATATATATATATATATATATATCAAACAATTTTTAAATATTATTTTTAAAAATTTTGTAGTTTGTAATTTTTTTAGCAAAATTTGTGCATTAATTTAAATGTATTATCTTTATATTTATAAAGATGTTTGGGAACTAAAATATCATTTTAATAAATCTATTTGTTTAATAAATCTGTTTTGTTAAAACGCACCAAAATACATTGCATATATTCACTGAGAAATGGATAAAAATATAAATTTTTCAAAATAGGGTGTACTCTTTTATTATATATATATATAGTTGAAGTCAGAATTATTGGCCCCCCTGTTTATTTTTGTTCCAATTTCTGTTTAATGGAGAGAAGATTTTCTTCAACATATTTCTAAACATTATAGTTTTAATAACTCATTTCTAACAACTGATTTATTTTCTCTTTGCCATGATGACAGTAAATAATATTTAACTAGATATTTTTCAGACACTTCTATACAGCTTAAAGTGACATTTGAAGGCTTAACTAGGTTAATTAGGTTAACTAGGCAGGTTAGGGTAATTAGGCAAGTTATTGTATAATGATGGTTTGTTCTGTAGACAATCAAAAAAATTGCTTAAATGTCCTAATAATTTTGACTTTAAAATGTTTAAAAAAAAAATTAAAAAACTGCTTTTACTCTAGCCAAAATAAAGCAAATTAGACTTTTTCCATATTTATTTATTTAAAAAGAAAGAAAAAATCAAAGGGGGGCTAATAATTCTTACTTCAACTGTATATATAATCCTGAATTATGTTTTTTAACATATTAAAGTGTTCTGTTATGCCCTTCATACAAGGTTAAATGTCTCACACGCCATTTATTGTACTGTGCTGTAAATGCATATTTGTATTTTTTTATGTCTCCTTAATTACAGTTAAGCTTCTTTTCCCTGTCCCAAGCCTTTACAGCTTGTGCCTCAGTTACACATTGTAACTCGTGCATCTTTTAAGCTTAAATCTTTTGTCAGCTTTTTCTTGGTCAAACAGCAGCATTACACACTCAAAATAGTGAAAGCTTAGAGAACATAATAGGATCCCTTTTTATAAAGCATGTATGAAATAAATATCTATTTTTATCCCCTGAGAAAATATCTACAGTTTGGTTACACAATATAAGACATAAAAAATAATAAAAAAGTCTTGTTAAACGTCAAACCAAAGTCTGGTGTGCCTCTCTTCAGCTCCTCGAGGTAGATGACCTTTTTCTTCACAACGCAGCCGTAACTCTGACCTGAAACACAAACACACACGCACACCATGAAAATGTCACAGTTCTTCCTTTAAAGTGCACGCACAGCAGTTTATGTATAGCCATGATCGTGCACTTTACAAAAGCTCCACAGCCTCTCACTGACTTCCCGCAGTATCAGAGAGCCGATTTCCAAGGCTAACAGCGGTTTCTGTGATGAAATGTAAATATTTTGAGCTCAATTCTCGAATCTTTCACTGCACGGTCATTTTTAAGTGTTTGCTGACACAAAATTAAACAAATCAGGGATAAGAGCTGAGGCTTGTAAGCGTTTATAATGTGTAAAATTGTATTAAATTAATCAACAGGAGGCGACGCAGTGGCGCAGTAGGTAGTGCTGTCGCCTCACAGCAAGAAGGTCACTGGGTTGCTGGTTCGAGCCTCAGCTCAGTTGGTGTTTCTGTGTGGAGTTTGTATGTTCTCCCTGCGTTCGCGTGGGTTTCCTCCGGGTGCATCGGTTTCCCTCACAGTCCAGAGACATGCGGTACAGGTGAATTGGGTTGGCTAAATTGTCCGTAGTGTATGAGTGTGTGTGTGTATTTGTGTGTGGATGTTTTCCAGAGATGGGTTGTGGCTGGAAGGGCATCCGCTGCGTAAAAACGAGCTGGTTTAGTCAGCGGTTCATTCCGTTGTGGCGACCCCGGATTAATAGAGAGACTAAGCCGACAAGAAAATGAAACAGATCTAATACAGAGGGGCAGAGCATTCCACAACCTAGGACCAGCTACTGCGAAGGCACGGTCACCTCTGCATTTCATCCTCGACTTAGGGATGCATAACAATCTCTGGTTAGATGACCAAAGAGACCGACCAGGCTATATTGTATCTGCATGCAACATTTTCAATATGTACTGTATTCCTTCATTCATTTTCCTTCAGCTTAGTCCCTTATTTATCAGGGGTCGCCACAGCGTAATGAACCACCAACTTATCAGCATATGTTTGATGCAGCGGATGTCCTTCCAGCCGCAACCCAGTACTGGGAAACACCCATTCACACACACACTCATACACTATGGCCAATTTAGTTTATTCGATTCACCTATAGCGCATGTCTTTGGACTGTGAGGGAAACCAAAGCACCCAAAAAAACCCATGGGAACATGGGGAGGACATGCAAACTCCACACAGAAATGACAACTGACCCAGCTGGGACTTGAACCAGCGACCTTCTTGCTGTGAAGCAACAGTACTAAATACTGAGCCACCGTGTCACCTCATACTGTATTTTGTATTTTTTTCAAATTAAATTTGAGTGCATTTCTCACCCTCCTCTAATCCATCCATTGCCTGCAGACGAATGATATCTCCTTTATGGAAGTTCAGAAGAGATCTGTCCTCTGTGATGAAGTTTCTCTCTGCTACAACATACTCCGAGTCCTGTGAATGAGGTCAGAAGTAAGACGCTGTATGTTAACCCAAAATCAGAGGCGTCTTTGGCAGTGTAAAAGCACCTTAGGAACTGAGGAGAAGAGAATTCAAAGCCTCCTCTGTACCTTCTTGAGGTGAGAGATGAAGAGATCGACCATCTGTTTGATCTGAGGAGCTTTGGCGGAAAACAGAATCAATTTCTCATTCATCAGATTGAACTCCAGCATGTTTGGAGAGGGGATGGTCACAAATAAGATGTCCAGGTAACTGTGGGAGAGAGAGCCAGAGTTTATTAGAGCTTTTTACAAACGTAGCATATCACCTGTTTAAAGGCTCTACCCAGCAGGCACACAATGTCATACTTACTTACTCCTAGGGCCATTTTATATCAAAGTTGATATTTAGCCGCACCATATTGGTGTTTCGTAACATCTAGTTTTTATGAGGTGAGCTATTAGCCCAACACCCAACCACCAACCTGGAGGACCAGGACATAACACATGCACTACGTACAATTTAGCTTACCCAATTCACCTACAGTGCATGTCTTTAGACTGTGGGGGAAACCGGAGCACCTTGAGGAAACCCATGAACATGGGAAGAACATGCAAACTCCACACAGAAATGCCAACTGACCCAGCCTAGGCTCAAACCAGCAACTTTCTTGCTGTGAGGTGACAGCACTACCCACTGCACCACCGTGTCGCGCTAGATAATGCCATAAGGCGTTAATAATAGGTTAGATTTAGATTGGGACATCAGGTGACCAAAATGTCTAGCAAGCATCTAGGGACAATGTTATTTTGATGTCCTATACTGAGGTTAAATAACGTTGATATTTGGTTGATTTTAGGTTATGTTGGAAAGTGACCAAAATCCAACGTCGAGCAAACACCTTAAACCAACGTCATATTGACATCAAATACGGACATCTATTTGTCAGGTATGACAACTAAAATCCAACAACTGATAGATGGAATTGTGATAACATCCACATAATGTCAAGCTGTAACATCATTAGACATTAATATTTGGTTGATTTTAGGTTGGACGTTGGGCACTGGACACGTTGGACATGACGTCAGCCTGACGCTGGGTTCTGACCCATAACAAAATCCTGATCTAAGCGTACAACGTCAACCTGAAGTCATGTTGAAGTCCTGTGCCTGCTGGTATATATTGCAAACTGTTAAAAGTTTTCCTAAATGAACTTTTCGTATTATAAAGGGAAGAATGAAACCATTTGATAATTCTGTCACAATTGGATAATTTCCCCCCATCTAAAGTGACTGTTTATATGCACAATGAATATGAGGCAAGCAATTGCCTGTTGGTTTTTAGCAATATTTCTCCCAAAAAAATAAAAAATTCATTACAATCTCACACTCGTGGTTCTAAACTTTTAATCATTTATTTCATCTGTTGAATCAAAAAAAGATGTTCCGAAGAACGCTGAAAAATGCAGCCATTGACATCCATATTAGTTACAAAAAATATGAAAGTCAGTGGGTTTCGTTCAATAATACTTGCATACATGTTCCATATTTATGCTTCTCACAAAACATTTTTGCTTAAGTCACAAAATGTGTGTACACACAAGTTCTTTTTTTCATTAACAGGTTTTTTTCTCTCTCAATGCTGAAATAATAATGATTATTGAGTTGACCTTGTGTTCAATATAGGAATTATTTAGATATTTTAATGAGTAGGGCCAGACAGAAACAGATTTATGCGGAATGATTTTAGGAGTATCATAACTAAAAACTTAATATATTAAATAAAAAAATTATACCTTTTTTTAATTTAATGTTTACAATGCAAATCCAGTTAGATGCACTTATTTGGTAAACAAAGCAAGTCTCTTATATAATAAAACTACTAAAAGACAGAAAATATTACTTTACAAACTGTATTGTAAATAAATCATATGAACATTTTAATTTTACTGTTATTACAACACAATAATATTAGTGAAATTTATAAAAAAAAAACTGAATAAATAAAAAAATAAAAGTAAATACATAGACTAAATGATGGGTTAAAAATCTGCAGAACTACTCTTTTCATGTTTTTGGGCTGACTCACCTGTATGGTCGGAGCACTCTGAAGTAGTCTGGAGCTGCAGTGCTGCTTTTCACAGTCTTGAGTAGTTTGATACCAGTGTGTGACACTGCCAACACCTGCACCCCAGTACCAACACTGCCCTAGAAACACGCACACACACACACATACAGGTGACATATCAGACACTGCTGCATTCTTGCTAACAGTCCACCAGGAAAAGGAACTCACAGAGGCAGGAAAGAGGCGGGAAAAATAAATCTCCCATGACTCCCTGGCAGCTGCAATCACGGTTTTCTTTACACTCTCATCCTGAACATCTGTGTTTGGCTCAATGCCATATTGTGCTGTGAATCAAACATGAATTCAAAAAATGATTTAAAAGCAAATACAACACATTATTTGAATTCATTTACATTCCCTTCTCACCAAACAAGGACTTCATCTTCTGTCTCTCCTCTTTAGTAATGCGCACGCAGGCCTCTGTAAATGTGTCATTAACAATCTGAAAAAAACACCATTTAAACAAGGTACAAAATTACAGAACGGAAAATGAAACAAAATGTATTCGTGAAATGGCTAAATATTTGAATACAAAATTCTGTAATCTATATATTTTTTAATTAATTATAATATGCATAAAATAAACCCAAAGGAACAGTAAATACTTTCACATAGTTCCAGTATATATAAATAAAATGAATGCTGCTGTTTCAAATGTAAAATTCATCAAAACATTCAATATGAAGCAGTACAGCTGTTTTCAACATTTCTAATTCTATTTAATGTTTTTGAGCTTTGAATCAGCATATTAGGATGATTTCATATTAAAATAATGTGACATTGCAAACTAGAGTAACGGCTGCTAAAATAACAGGACAAAATAAAATGTAAAAAATAATGAATGTAACCACATTTTAATATAATACTAATAATAATAATACTAGCTCACAATGTTACTGTTATTTATAGCACTTATTGTAACACAACTTTGGTAAACATAAGAAAGAAGTAAAAATTAAACACGAACCAAAACTTTCGAACGGTAGTGTAAAAATCCCTTGTAAATAATAGTTGAAAAATGCATTTTTTATTTATGACATAAAATGTGTATAATATTGCAGATTTTTACAAATGTAACTTAAATTGGTCATTTATTTATTTTTTAACTCAATATTAATATTGATGTGTGTTTTTATTTGTTTAATTGTTTTTGTAGATAGTAAGAACATGTAGCATTATTTTGGCCTAATGGACTATTTATGTAGTTTGTCCCACCTGTTTGAATATGAGGTCCAGAACTAGCAAATGGTTCCAGCTGTCTTTGGGGTAGAAGACCTAAAGCACATGTACAGCAGCATTAGTCCTTCATTAACAACAAGTTAGACTAAGAGATACAAAGACAGAAACACACACAGACACACACATACACAGGAGTGTAATTTCCACTGAGGACCCCACAATTATTAAGTGTCTCCCCACTTTTTTTTTTTACTGCGCATCCGCATATGCGTCCAATAACTTGCATGTATGGTCTAAAAATATCTCAGTGAAAGTTCTACTGAGCAGGTACAACAGATGAAAAAAGGAGATGCAAGTTAGTTGATAATATCACTACAAGATTGTCATTGGTTCTGTCAAAGTCTTTACCTGGCCAAGTTGACATTACTGTGTAAAGTTTACATGTTCCCCCAGGATCTCCGGGTGCCTCCCACAGGCAAAAGACATGTGACATAAGTAAATTGACCAAACCAAATGGACCCCATAGAAGAGCGCCTAATCAGCAGTATATCACCCCAAAGTAATTCCTACTTTGACATTCGCCATACACAAGCAAGGGGGTTCTCGAGATCAACCTGAGCTCAAACTCCTCTATCGCCCTGCAAACAGGAGGGAGCCCAGGGCTCAAGGTTCTTATGAGCTCAGGACTCTCTCCTGGGACGGCATGCCAAACATGCTTCATAATCATTAATCAGCTAAGTGTGAACTCATGAAATGTATGTAAACTAAGGAAATGCATTTCTTTTTTCTTAAACTTAGTCCCTGATTTATCAGGGGTCGTCACAGTGAAATGAACTGCCAACTCTCACCCATACACCCTCACATTTACACACGCATTCATACACTATGATCAATTTAGTTCATCCAATTCACCTGTAGTGAATATGTTTGGACTGCGGGAGAAACTGGACCACCCAGAGAACATGCAAACTCCACACAGAAATGCCAACTGGCCCAGCCAGGAGTCGAACCAATTACCTTCTTGCTGTGCTAAAAAACTGAGCCACCGTGCCACCACAAATGGGTTTTAAATCAAAATAAATTTCCCCAATTTTCTGTCGTCCATTTCTCAAACCAAAGTAAGACACTTGCAAATACACACCTCCTTCCTAAGGTAAATTTTCCAGGGGACATTTGTATATGTGTAATGCTCCTCAGTGCCGCTCCGGTGCAGCGGTGTTTGGATGCTCTCAGTTTCCACTGGAAGATCTCTGGACACTGATCAAAAAGGACACATGTATTTATATGCTAATGTCCAAATTTTGGGGTAAGTATCATTTTAATTTTCATATATATTAACATAAAATAAGTTTCTGATATGCTGCTCAAGAAACATTTCTTCATCCTTTATCATTCCTAACACCTGCTTAACATGTTTGTGCTAACCATGAAACATATTTTTCTTAATTCTCTGACAAATACAAAGTGCAACCGCCTTTGGTGACTTTATAAATATATCAACAGACACTTTTAATTTGATTATTTAATACAAGTTTTAAAATGACAGAAAATAAATATAGGAATAACCTTACTTACCCTAAATATATAACGTACCACAATACTGTATCACTGCCATTTTAATATTTAAAAATAAAGATAAAACCATCATATATTTCTAAATGATATGCATGTTTGTTGCTTACCAGGTGGTGGTAAAGTCAGAGGAGGTTCTGGGGCTTTCTTCTTGCTGCTTTTCGTTGGTTTAAGGCCTTCATCTCTCGACACAGCAGCCGGAGTGGGAGCATGTCTCTACACAAAATCATTACACATGACGCAGTGAAAATTTCGGCCAGTAACAAGACAGATACTGCAAACCTAAAAGCAGTGCAATGCAAACCTTAAAGCCGAAGAAGAGCACACTGATGCCCCTTCAGTCAGCTAAGAAACTGAGGCTACAAATCACATGGGACCACCAAAATTGGACTATATAAGATTACTTCTAAATTTGTCCAGCCTTATGATTTCTTCTTTGACATTTGCATGGTAGGGTCAGAATTTGACTTAAACATTAAAATATGGACACATCTTGCCTTGTATCAGTGGTTTAATGGTGGTACTTGGTTTTCTTGGTACACTTTTGGCCCCTTAGTACCAACTGAGGATGTATTCACAACAGGAGACTTGGTAAATTCACTTGCTTTAGTCCAGACTAAACATGATGTAGATTTTTTTTTTCATTTGGAGCAGTTGTGTTTTACAAAGCTATATTTGTGTACCAAAAATTGTAAAGCGTCTGCTAAATGACTAAATGTAAATGTAAACAGAATTGCATGTGTGCTAAAATCAGCTGTTTATTGGACAGAATGCTTGTGCTCCTGTGGCAACCATCAGCTGTGCGAGAGACTGGGGTTTGTTAGTGTTGGTTCATTGGAAAACAGGGCTAATGGTTGCTTAGCAACAGCATACGCTACGGGCGCATAACTCAAACTACAGAATCCTGATTACGCAAAATGTGCAAGGCTTTCTCTAAACGTGTCGGATTGACGTCAGTTCCTAATCACACCTTACACTAAGCATACCAGAGTGTGCACAGAAGTGGACAGAGACCAAAAAATCTGCACCAAAGTTGTAAACGAACTTGATTTTGACTCATTCAAACCAAGCGTGACATGTGTAAATACACACTCTGTTTTGTTGTTAAGCACACCCTTAGCCTGCCTGAGTAATGTTGCGGACCAAGTCTATCTATATATGACCACCATGAACCCACAGTTTATAGCTACATTCAGCACGAAACACACCATGTCACAAAGCTCAAATCATCTCACACTCAAACATCCTCAACAATCACCAGATCTCAATCTAATAGAGCAGCTTTAGGATGAGTGAAAATGGGAGATTGACACTATGGAGGTGTGCAGCCAACAAATCTATTTGATGTTGTTCTTTTAATATCTACCTAAGACTCAAGACAGTTAAAACGGCATCCAACCAGGTACTAAAAAAGTGTACCTAATAAAGTGGCCTAATAAATACAGTTCTATGGAGTTAGGCGCCCCCTTGTGGAAAAAATATCTGATAAATGATTTAAGGTCCAGTGAAGGGCTTTGAAATGTGCAGTTTTATTCTATTTTTGATGAACATTCAACTGAAACATGAAGAGATGGTGGGGCATAGAGCAATAAATAGCGTTTTTGTTTTATCTTTTTAACTTTATTTTGATTTCATAGGACCTCGGTTAAATGATCATTATTAATGTCTGTCAGCTCAGAAATATTAATTGGTAAGTAGATAAGCAACACAGAGAAAAAGAGTAAAAGCATACCTGGGGAGGAGGAGGATTGTCCATCTGTGTTTTTAGGATCTGCATTGCCTCGTCATGTGGGTTCTTCTTCTTTACAAAACCTTTACCATCTCTCCTGTCAAGATGCAGGGTATTATTTGAGTTAGTAGAAATGACAATAAAATCATCTGACTGTATGATAAGCAGGAGTAAATAACAGACTTCTGTTTCAGCGGCGCAGGCTCTGGGGTGGGTGTTTGATATTGCTTAATGATATCTTTAATGTTGTGGCTGGGAACGATGTGCTCAGAGTTGGAGACTGAATATTTGACCACCTCTGTGCCAGGAGCTGGAGTCGAGCGCATGGGACCGGTGACTGCAACTGGAGCTGAGAGATGGAATGAAAAATACACAGAAATTACATCAAATGCTTTGGTTTAATTAGTTTTGAAAACACAGTAATATATATGAGTAAACGTAATTGATATACCATGTCTTTTTGCAGGCCTGCTGTCAAGTTTGATTGGTGCAGCAGGGGCTTGTTTCTTCCCTAATGAGCCTTTAGATGGAGTAGCCTGAAAATCAGTTTGCCAAAGTAAAACAAAAGGATTCTTACAATAATATAAGAGCAAATAAAATAAAGGCACTGGAATTTACTAAAGTTGATTAAAACGCAATTTTATTTGTGGCATTGAAAATACAGTATTAATGAATACTAATTATGCATAAGAATAAAAAAAACAAACATTAAATGACCTTCTAATGTACAATTTACTCAAATAAAAAGGCACAAATCATTCATATGTGATTTGTTATGTAATATTGTCACAATAGTCAGCGATCTATTCCAAATAGATTGCTGGAGGACTACAAGCCCGTCATTATATGGACTACAAATCCTGTCATGCACCACACACATACACCTGTTCCAGTTCTCCTTTGATTACACACACACAGCTGGGAACTACTCAAGAACTGATTACACAGACTATATATACAACACATACACACACAGACTTTGCTGAGTCTTGTTTGTATTAACCCTGTAACTTTACGAAGCTTGTCTCTCTGTCTTATCCTTGTCTTGTTTTATTGTTTACGTTGTCTGCCGCCTGCATCGTCCATCTCTTTCTTGACTACGCTTCTGAATGATCTTGTATGTACCTGTTTGCACCGGTGAATGACCATTGCCTGCCTGACTACACTTATTAACAAAGAACTGCTCATGAATCCTCAACCCCGTTTTGTAGGACCCTTGTGTTACAAAAATACTCATCATTTTGTATAGTCTTTAATTACACATGTTTTAAAATGTTTTAAGAATCTATTTGTTCAAAAATACAATAAAATGAGAAATAAAGTTACAATTTGTTTCTGTGAAATGTAAAATAAAAAACATACTGTGATGTATTATAATCCTTAAGTCATCATTACTGCAGTCTTCAGTGTCACATGACATTTAAGAAATCTTTTTTAATATGATGATTTACTGCCTAGTAAATATTTTGTATTAGTAACTATTGTTAAAAACATTGTTCCGTTTCTTAATTCAGAACAATGTGATAATTTATATAGATATGTGATAATAACTAGTAATATCAAAACCAAATAGTCAAAAGAGGCAACAAAACTCAAATTGTAGTTTACAATGTTAAATTTCAGCTGTAAAGTTATGGAAAAAAGTACACTAAAATGTTTTGTTTTCTGTCTGTTTGGACTACTTATTTAAAATGAGCTGAAACAACTCAATTCTTGAGGTTTTTTGGAGACAACTTAATTCATTTATGTTTAATCCACTTAAATTTGTAAAAACTAATACGTTAACTTTATTCCTTCATCCTGTCCCCACACAGATCCATTGTGTGGAACCCAGCATGTTTTACAGTGTGAGAGACCACTTTAAAAGATATTACTGGTTAACATGAAATATTTCAGATTAACCAACTGTCAATTTATAAAGCTTAAGTAAATATAAATCATAATACTCATGCTTAAAAGTTTAAAGACATGATGTCAGTAGTACACTACCTGACAAAAGTCTTGTCACCTATCCAAGTTTTAGGAACAACAAATACTAACTTGACTTCTAGTTGATCATTTGGTATCAGAAGTGGCTTATACAGTATAAAAGGAAAAGACCACTAGATTTACCAAAATAAAATATGATCATGCCTTGATTATTATTCATTTATTTAGGACAGTAAAGTCTGTATATGCTTATATAAAGGTCTGGTAACTGGGCTGGCCAATCCTAGAGCACCTTGACCTTCTTTGCTTTCTGGAACTTTGATGTGGAGGCTGAAGTATGAGTGCTATCCTGCTGAACAATTTGCCCTCTCCTGTGGTTTGTAATGTAATGGGCAGCACAAATGTCTTGATACCCCAGGCTGTTGAGCCATCCACTCTGCAGAACTCTCGTACGCCCCCATACTGAATGTAACCCCAAACCATGATCTTTCTTTCACCAAACTTGGCTGATTTCTATGAGAATCTCAGGTCCATGCGGGTTCCAATAGGTCTTCTGCAGTATTTGTGATGATTGGGATGCAGTTCAACAGATGATTCATCAGAAAAATCTACCTTCTGCCACTTTTCCAAATAAATAAATAGAAGTCAAGTTGTTATTTGTTGCTCTCACAACTGGGATCGACGACAAGACATTTGTCAGGTAGTGTATATAGAATAAAACATGAACATTTCACTTAAAAGGCATACCTATTAGTGGCAAATATAAAATGATAATAACTTACATTCACATAACAAACAATTCAGTCACCTGTGTTTTTGTGTTGCTCCGCGGCTGTGTGTTTGGGGGGCTGCTCTTCTTCTTTAGGGTCTCACTGCTGGCGTTGTAGTTGGGGGTGGAGGCGAAGGTCTGTGTGGGCGTCACTGGTGGACTGCTGTATGCAGACATCGGGGCGTAAGGACTGGGAGGGATGTTTGCGTAGGGGCTGGGAGGGATGGCGGGGTACGGGCTGGGTGGAAGAGTGCTGTAGGGAGTGGGTGGAGGACTGGTTGGGGGACTGGTGAGAGGAGACATTGGTGGACTGGACACTGGACTGGTCACCATAGCCATCGCCTGCATAGTCATCTGCTGAGCCTGAAGATGTGGAGAGTCAAAACCTTTATTAGTGTTTGTTTGTAGTTCAGTTCAACTCAATTCAAGTTTATTTGTATTGTGCCTTTCACAATAATTATTGTTTCAAAGCAGCTTTAAAAAAGATCCACATTATTGCCTTACAATCAAATTCAGAAAAAAGTTAAGGTTTTTAGCTACCATAACTTTATTAGTTACTAATAACTCTATCTAAAAAGTCTGTGATAAAAAAATTAACTACTGCTATTATCGCCAACCTGATTTCATGTTTGTCTACATTAATGTTGATCCTGGATTTCCATTCCCATCAGCCATTCAGAATTAAGGGATACGCTTACCGTCTATGTTTAAGTCCAAGTTTAGGTTTACGGTTAGGTTTATGCCCTTCTACATAAGAGTTATCCAACTATTATTCCTCTCTTTTTATGAATAATTTACAGTTATGGTTGTGTTTAGGGGTAGGGAATAGGTATGGATAACATTTTTAAACAAAAATAATGTTCCAGGATCAACATAGATGTTAATCCATGATTGCATTGACCTTGCCATAATCATGACATGCATGCTATTATGCTACTTTTTTCTATTGTCTTTCAATAAAATTATAGTTAATGTTTTTGTCATTTTGTTGTGCTTGTAATTTTTTTAGACTAATTGTTAAAAGTATGCTTATATACACACTGCACAAAAAATTAAGGGAACATTTAAACAACACATTGTAACTCCAAGTTTTCCCTTTATTTTTTACTTTTTTTGCAGTATATTTTAATCATTTTTTACTTGTTAGTTTAAGTACTTAAGGTAATAAAAAAAAAACATGAAATTTGTTTTTAGCTAGCTAAAATAAAGATGAAGCTTTTTGAAAATATTAGTTTCTTTTTATTTTACTGAAACATTTCATTTAATTTGTTCTATTCATTTATTATATTCATATTGATTTATATTTGCAGCCATATTGCAGCCGTTTATATTGATTTATATTTGCAGCCATATTGCAGCAGTTTATATTCAGTTATATTTGCAGCCATATTGCAGCCGTTTATATTCAGTTACATTTGCAGTGAGCTGAAATAAAGCTATATATATATATATATCTTGGAGAAAATCTTATTTGTTTTATTTTGGCTAGAATAAAAGCAGTCGTAATTTTTTAAAACCCATTTTACTGTCAAAATTATTAGCCCCTTTAAGCTATATATTTTTTCTATAGATTACAGACCAAACTATCATTATACAATAACTTGACTAATTACCCTAACCTGCCAAGTTAACTTAATTAACCTAGTTAAGCCTTTAAAAGCTGTATTGAAGTGTCTAAAAAAATATCTAGTAAAATATTATTTACTGTCATCATGGCAAAGATAAAATAAATCAGTTATTAGAGATGAGTTATTAAAACTATTATGTTTAGAAATGTGTTGAAAATATTTTCTCCTTTAAAAAGAAATTGGGGGCTAATAATATCTTTTCTTAATTTTTGTAAAACTAAACTAATGAATGAATGAATTATAAAAAGCTTATTTAGTTATTTATTAATTTAAGGTTTAATATTTTATTTAAAAAAATGTACCAGTTACCATTTGTTTCAAATAATGTTTTTATTAGTAGTTTTGGTTAATAATATTAACTATTATACTACTATACTATATTTTACAATACTAAAAATACTTAATACATCATTGTTATGCAAAAATAGATATTCTGACAAAAGCTATTCTCTTTTAATTAATTAAATTTATGAAATAAAGTATGAATAAAATAAATCCATATGATAAGATGGATGATACTGATTTAATAAAGACTGTAGTACCATAATGACGGCTTGCTGGTTGAGGATGGTTTGTTGCTGTTGAGCGAGCACCGCATGCTGCTGGTCTGAAAGGCAGAATAAAAAGATATAATACCAAATACTTGTTCATCACTTCATTTCAAGCCTGTGAAGCTTTAGGCATTTTTATAAGAGATACCTGGCACAGGCACAGGTGGTACTGCTGGCAGACTGGGCATGATTGGAGAACCAGGCATAGGTGGCATAGGTGGTAGAACTCTCACTGCTACAAAATACATACAAAAAAACAAAACAAAAGCATATCACACACAAACAAACCATCATTAAATTATGTATGTTAGTATTCATATTTCTACATCAAGAGAGTCAGTATATATATATATATATAGTATATATGATTGTATACTTGGCTGTATACTCATTCATTCACTTTCCTTTGGCTTAGTCCCTTTATCCATCAGGGGTCGCCACAGTGGAATAAACCGCCAACTTATCCAGCATATGCTTTACACAGCGAATGGCCTTCCAGCTGCAACCCAATACTGGGAAACATTCATACACACATTCATTACGGCTAATTTAGCTTATTCAATTCACCTATAGCGCATGTCTGTGGACTGTGTGGAAAACTGGAGCACCGTGAGGAAACCCTTACTAACACGGGGAGAACATGCATCCACACAGAAATGCCAACTGGCCCAGCCGGGACTCGAACCAGCGACCTTCTTGCTGTGAGGCAACAGTGCTAACCACTAAGCCACCTTGTCGCCTGGTTGTATAGTATAGTATAGTATAGTATAGTATAGTATAGTATAGTATAGTATAGATGGTTGTATACTATACCAGTGTTTCTACTTCACAGTACAGAAAATGAAGTGAAAGTTTAGAATACCTCAGAATTTTATGAAAAATTACATTATTAAATTTATGATAGCCAAGAAAGAAAGAAAGAAAGAAAGAAAGAAAGAAAGGGATGGCCTGTACAGTACAATATTGTTTGGTATTTGTTAGATAGTAGCCTATTAAAACTAAACTAAAGACACACAATAAAAAAATTGCAATAAAAGGCATTTTAATGAGATGTGTGTATGCAGAGGAAGCTGATTAAAACCCCCGTGTACTTCAAATGAAATCAAAGAACGAACTATAATGACTGAAATTAATAAAAAAGACAAACAAAATCTGTCCGGAAGAAAGTTCTTTTTGAGTTTGTGTTTGCTTATTAAAGCAAACATTTGGGGGAAGTTCATTTTGGCTCCTAAACACCTTTGAGCGACCATTGGTCCATGCCGATTTAACAACCAATGGGTGTGTTCTGGAACTCCAATTCTTTGACATGCAATTTCACATTCAGCCATTCAGAGATCAGCCAACATCCAAAACAACAACACTGGCCACATAAATACACTGAAGAGTTGAGTAGCAGAGCTGGTCCGGATGTAACTGCACGCTTGCGGAGAGATTTTAAAGACTCAGAGGTGGCTCACACACACGGATGAGAAGCCCACCTCATCAATACACACCTTTTCTATAAGTTTGTGCATACCGACGCCACCAATCAGTGTCTGACAGAATTTCTTTTTGCCCTCAAAGGAAGAGTGAAAAATATCTTTCCTTTGAAGTACACTGGGGCCTTAAGTTTTGCTGTTCATCCAGCACCAAAACCAGCAAGGGTGAGCAAAAAAAAACAGCTTGTACCTCCAGGCTGAAGAGCAGCTAAGGGAGTGACTTTAGCAGTGTGCTGTGCTTCATCTCCACCTACACCTCCTCCACCCTTCATCCTACCAGACAAAACTGATGCATCAAAGTCCTGAAATTAAAACGACAATCCCGTTAGTGACCAAAACTGCATGAAAGAAAAAACTTAGTAGCTAATTTTTACTTTGATAATATAATGTATTTCTATGTGACAAGATACTCAGTGACAAACAACAATGCAGTCAGACCACATGTCTCACATTTTTTTTCTTGTTTATCCAATTTAAGTAGATAAATCTAATCGATTCAACTTGTGTCTGTAGTTTACAGCATGACTCTAGGTCTCTGTCTTTCTCGGTGTGGGATTAGCCTCATTAAAAAATTACACCCTCATTTGCTTGCTTATTTCCGTGTGCTCGGTGTAAAATAACCACACAAAGCTTAGCCAAATGCACTCCACAAACCCACAATAAGCATTCACACAAATTATTATTACTTTCATTCATTCATTCATTTTCTTGTCGGCTTAGTCCCTTTATTAATCTGGGGTCGCCACAGCGGAATTATCCACCAACTAATCCAGCAGGTTTTACGCAGCGGATGCCCTTCCATCCACAACCCATCTCTGGGAAATTATTACTCTCATATTATATTATATTATATTATATTATATTATATTATATTATATATTATATTATATTATATTATATTATATTATATTATATTATATTATATTATATTATATTATATTATATTATATTATATTATATTATATTATTTTATATTATATTATATTATATTATATTAAATTATATTATATTATATTATATTATTTTATATTACATTATATTATTTATATTATATTATATTATATTATATTATATTATATTATATTATATTATATTATATTATATTATATTATATTACATTATATTATTTATATTATATTTTATTATTTTATATTACATTATATTATTTATATTATTTGTATTATTTATATTATATTATATTATATTATATTATATTATATTATATTATATTATATTATATTATATTATATTATATTATATTATATTATATTATATTATATTATATTAATTATATTATATTAAATTATATTATAAATTCTATCAGTAATAACTCATAATCTCACTCTTTGCAAACAATAAGAGTGTGAGTTCACATGCATATGTGTGAGGTAATCAGGTGTCACCGTACCCCAGCTGCATCAGACAGAACTGGGTCAAACAAGCTGTCCAAATAACGATCCATCCCTCTCTGAGTGGCATCATAGGATGGTTCTGAGTCTGAGAAAGACAGAAGAAGACAGAGGATTGGAGAGAATGTGAGAGAAGTAGGGGCAGGAATTCGAATATAATAACGTCAAAATAAAATCATCTTGATTTCTAGTAAAAAAAAAAAATTGCACAGTAGGCCTACCTTGTGTTTTATTTGCTAATGCAAGCCATGTTGTAAAATATAAATATAATGTATAAAACTTTACATTACCTATATTACTCCAATATTTTTTTTTTATTAATGGACAATGCAGAGATATTGATGTTTCACAATGTTTTTACACTACATTATTTAAAACTACCAAGCTTAGTTTACAATGTTTACATTGCTCTACATACATTAAATCCAAATCCCAAATATCAGAAATGACAACAGATTGTTAAGATTTAATTAATGTCAGTTTTCATGTTATTGATTAATGCACTTGACAGATTTCATTTATTAATTTTCCTTCTGCTTAGTTCCTGGTTTATCAGGAGTTACCACTGTGAAATGAACCGCCACTTACTTGACAGATGTTTTTTTTAATTATAGGTGGTTTGTGTAATGTTTTATGTTTGGTAAAATAATCTCTAATTGCATCTTTAATGATTTTCATCTAATTACACTGTCTTGTTCCAATAGGTGGATTTAGAGGTTTTTGCATAAAAAGCAGACAAGAATTTAGCTGGTTTTGACACAAAAGAAAATTTACCTTCTTAAAAACCAAAGAATTACCTAAAGAGACATTTTCGAAAGAAAAGTATTTTATTTAACAACTAATAACCTTATCATTAGCAATAACATGAAACTTTTAAATCTAATTATAGGAGCCTGATAGAAAATGCTAATTTACAAGAAAATAGGTCTGATGGATTTAGAGGTTTTGCATCTCAACTCTTCACTTATAGCTAACTAAACCTAAAAATCTGTCAATTTTACATTTTCTGTCACTAAATAGATGCAAACACTAGCACATGATCCTTTACAAAAAAAAGCTTTCTTAGGATCAAAGAAAATGGTAATGACAATATAATTTTTAATTTTTTATTAAGTTCAAAATCAAGTTTCATCAAGTCAAAATCAAAATATGGCACAAGAGATACAAGCCACAAAAAATAATGATCAATGACCTGTGCATTTACCCATACAAGTCCCCTTAAACATGTATAATGTTACCCATGCTCGGTTGACACACATAAAGGCTACAAGAACACTCTTGGGGTTAGTTCAGCTGTATGTAATCTAGCCATTCTCCATGTATCTGTTTCTACTTTACATGCAGGCTTGTAGATCTGCTACTACTGATTAAAGCAGGTTTAGTGTTTCTTAAGGTAATGTTCGGTTATTCATGGGACTGTCTGCCAATCTGATTGGGAAGGTCAATGACTTCATATGTTCTTTCAATTAGGGACTAAAATGTTGTGGTGTATTTAAAAGACTGAAAAAATGCTACCCAGACTGTAGTGGCCTTCAGAAATGGGTAGACTGTTGGTTGGAACGGCGCTCATTCGGTTGGCATATGAAAGTGGCCCATCCTCATCCTCGTCAAATCCACTGCCAAAAAGACTTCTGCATACAAACATATATATGTGCATATACAGTTGAAGTCAGAATTATTAGCACCCCTGTTTATTTTTTTCCACAATTTCTGTTTAACAGAGAGAAGTCACATTTTTAAACATAATAGTTTCAATAACTAATTTCTAATAACTGATTTATTTCATTTTTGGCATGACAGTACATAATATTTTACTAGATATTTTTCAAGATGCTAGTATTCAGCTTAAAGTGCAATTTAAAAGCTTAACAAGGTTAATCAGGTTAATTAGGCAAGTTAAGGTAAATAAGCAAATGAGTGTACATTCTCGAGATAATCGATAAAAAAAATATTGCTTAAGGGGGCTAATAATACCGACCTTAAAACGGATTTTAAAAAATTAAAAACTGCTTTTATTCTAGCCGAAATAAAACAGAAAATGAGAAACAGAAGAAACAATATTATAGGAAATACTGTGAAAACATAATATGGGACATAATTGAGGATGCATACATGCTGGCGTTAGGTCGAGCCTTGCTGGGGTCTTCAGTAGAGATGATGAAGTATGTTTTCTGTTTAGGGAAGTCTGGAAGCAGCTCCAGGTCGCACACCAGATCCAGAACATAATCGTGACCTTCTAGCTCCACCCACTGCGCAGGCTCCTTCATCAGGACTGACCAACCCCATCGGCTCTCAGCAGACACGCCTCTGCAGGATGACCAGTATTAGTTACTGACTCTGAAGACTGCAATATATTAAACATGAACACATATTAAACATTCGGCCTCATGCACTAAGGGAAGTTTATTTATAAACTAATTTCGAGAGGATCACGTGCTTATGATTGCTTGCAGCCGGCTTCGCATTATTCAATTTATTATTCACCAATCAGACGATTCCTAGGCCACTATAAATACCCTAAGTTCCATATTACAGCCATCTTCGTTTTGAAGAATCCCGCTTCCACCCCTACTCCTCCTCTATTCCTAGATGGGTGGCACGGTGGCTCAGTGGCAATCACAGTTGCCTCAGGTGGAAAGTTTTGTGTTTACCTTATGATTATAGTTGTTGCACGTCTGCTGGTTCTCGCCTTAAATGAGGAGTTTGAGCTACTTGTACATTAAGGTAGCGTTCAGAAAAAACAAAACACCAGCAAAGAAACTCGACACAGAGGAACATAAAAACCCACTGCCAGCTAGCGCTTTGAAAGTGTTATTGCAGAGCAATATTGCAGAGCAAACAGCGAGCAGTAGTATAAATGCACGACAACACGCAAGGCATGCCCTGTGGCTCACGGCGATCACTCAACGCAGGAAAATAAATCAGCCTTTATTGCAGAGCAACACAAACAGGACGCAGAAGTATAAATGCACAGCATCGTTTAAAGCAGGTGCTGTGGGTCATGCCGATCACTCGACACAGAAGTACATTTACATTTAGTCATTTAGCAGACGCTTTTATCCAAAGCGACTTACAAATGAGGACAAGGAAGCAATTTACACAACTATAAGAGCAACAATTAATAAGTGCTATAGGCAAGTTTCAGGTCTGTAAAGTCTAAGAAGCAAAACATTAGTAATTTTTTTTGTAATCCAGTTAGCGGTAGAACCAGAGAGGCAATTGCAGATTAGGAAGTGAAGAGGAGACTAAATAGTTGAGTTTTTAGTCGTTTCTTGAAGACAGCGAGTGACTCTGTCGTTCTGATGCAGTTAGGGAGTTCATTCCACCAACTGGGCAGAATGAATGCGAGAGTTCGGGAAAGTGATACTTCCCTCTTTGGGATGGAACCACGAGGCGACGTTCATTCACAGAACGCAAGTTTCTGGAGGGCACATAAATCTGCAGAAGTGAGAGCAGATATGAAGGAGCAAAGCCAGAAGTCGCTTTGTAAGCAAACATCAGAGCTTTGAATTTGATGCGAGCAACAACTGGCAGCCAGTGCAAACGGATGAGCAGCGGAGTGACATGTGCTCTTTTAGGTTTATTAAAGACCACTCGTGCTGCTCGTTCTGAAGCAGCTGAAGAGGTTTGATAGAGTTAGCTGGAAGCCCGGCTAGTAGAGAGTTGCAATAGTCCAGTCTGGAGAGAACAAGAGCTTGAACAAGGAGTTGAGCTGCATAGTATAAACTACTATTAAGTCTCAGCATGATCAGTGGAAACAACAACAATAAAAAAAAATAAAAATCACCTGTGTTGTAGAACATCTCCAGCAAGGCCCTCTCCGTTGGTCCAGGAATGGACAGGACACAGGAAAGACACACCTACAAAAGAATGATTAAATATAACAAGTCAAAAATAAAAAAGCCCCTAAATTCAAGTCTCTCTAATATTCTAGTCTTTATACACAGCTCAGCGTACAGCCTCAGTTAAATCTATGCTTATGACATTTTTCTAAACAAAGCATAAAAACCATGCTCTCATTTTAGGCAAACAATGAACATGTACTAATTTGTTGCTTAAATCTATTAAATTGCTTTGTTTAAATTAAACTTTAGCCACAGACCTGCTAATATAATGCAAGTAAACAGTGCCCAAGATGTGTTATTTTTCTTAAAACCTTCCAAACAAACTCATTTGGGACAGCATGGAGGTGAATGAATGATGAATTTTCATTTTTGATTGCATAATACCTTTTTTATTTAACACTCTATGATCAACACAAAGAGGAAAACAAATACAAGAAGAGGTCATTAATATCTCACTAGTTATCCAATAGTATGAGAACTGACTGATCGGTGGAAACAACTAGCACGATAATACAGACAGATGACTGTTTAAATAACCCAGTACTATATACTATAATCACTGTTGGCTGTAAGCTGAATATCTTGTTCCTCTTTGGTAAGTTGTACTGATAAAAGTGTCCACTAAATGCATTAATGCAATTATATCTCCTATTGCCTAAAATCTGACTTTCCACAATCTGTGTTGACTCATCCAAATGATCGCTCTATGCAAAATTATTTTCATTTTTCAACAAACTATGACTTTAAAAGCCCCTATTATGCAAAAATCACTTTTCTAAGGGGTTTAAACATGGCTGTGTGGCAATAGTTTGTGTATATAGCCAGCCAATAATGGTAAAAATTGATTCACTTTATTTTTATAATCACACTTAATAAAAAAAGTCTGCAGAAGCGCTTTGATTGACATTCTGCCTTTGTACATGTCTTCAAAGGAAGAAAGTCCTGCCCCTTAATGACAATCTCTCATTTTATAAGCATAATCTGGCCTCAGTGAGAAACAGCCATTTTGAATAGGCAATTTTAGCTCCACCCTTTTTTTCAGAAGAGGGCCGGGATCACAATCTCATTTGAATTTAAAGTGAAGAATGGAACAATTCGGATCAAATTCTAAGAGGGGCAGTTTCAAAGAGTTATAAAACAATATTTGTTGGGCATTTTGTGCTGAAATTTTAAATACACGCTCTAGGGACATGAGAGACTTATTTTACGTCTTGCAAAAAGACGCATAATAGGTCCACTTTAATACTTCAGATGATGCAAGGGATTTACAGGAAGAGGTCAATAATACCTAGCTAGCGATGGTTATTCAATTGTAAGAGAATTGATGGGTGGAAACAGTAGTCAAGATAATGCAGACCGACTGTCTTATCACCAGCACACACGCTCATCCACATACACACTATCACATATCGACTAATCTGCTTCAGGCCAAACAGGCGAGGACAGAGAGACAGTGTAACTGGATGAGAGAAGGAGTGAAATAAAGCAGAGAGAAAGAGAAAGCGAGCGAGATTAGATGAAAGAGGAGAGGCTGAAAGACAGATATAGGGAATGACAGAAGAAGAGATTAAATAGATGCGAGGAAAGAATGGACAGATGACACCAGCCCTGATTTGCATCCTGACCTGATAATAACATGCATTATTTGACAGAGTGAGCAGTGAAGAGTGGAAGAGAGAGAAGGAGAGAGATAATCAGCACCCCCTATGTCTCATTAAGAAGTACTGTGAATCAGTTAGGCCACAAATCAAGTTTAAAACAAAGCTATAAGGCAGCACGGTGGCTTAGTGGCAAGCACTGTTGCCTCACAGCAAGAAGGCTGCTGGTTCTAGTTCCAGCTGTGTCAGTTGGCATTTCTGTGTGGAGTTTGCATGTTCTCCGTGTGTTGGCGTGGGTTTACTCTGGGTGCTCCGGTTTCTCCCACGGTATTGCGCTATAGGTAAATTGAATAAACTAAATTGGCCATAGTGTAAGAATGAATGAGTGTGTATGGGTGTTTCCCAGTACTGGGTTGGAGCTGGAAGGGCATCCGCTGCGTAAAACTTATGCTGGAGTAGTTGGCGGTTCATTCGCTGTGGCGACCTCTAAAACAAAGACTAAGCTGAAGGAAAATTAATGAACGAACAAAGCTAGATGCAGATAGTGAGGAATCAATGTGTTCTTGACAATGCAGATTTCTTTAACCATTGTGTGATTGTAGAAGTCTGTATATTCTGTTTTTCCTATGTCTAATGTTGGTCCAATGACCCGCCATCATGAAACCTCTAACATAAATTATGTATGATAATCCATTCTTCACAATTTTAAATGCATTAGGTATAAAGTCCATGTAAGAATACATTATTAGGGGCTTCTTACCATCAAAACAGTGCACCTGGAGCACCATGTGTGCCTTCTTGCGTGTGGCAGTCCACTCTAGCAGTGATGGAGGGTATGTTCGAGAGGCTTCAGGGACCAGGTAAGATTTCTGCATGGCTTGGAGGAGTTTGTGTTGGCACAGAGCCTTAAAGCCATTCAGAGCGTAGTCTGACACAAATCTGACAGAGACAGAGGAAGACAGTTTTGTCGTTAAATCTTATACTGGCTGTAGTACAATGGTGACCGATTTTATTGCTGTACCAAAATTCATCAGTGATGTGGTCATGTCATTCACTTTCATTAGATTATTGGAAATACACTCACCGGCCACTTTATTAGGTACATCTAGTCCAACTGCTCTTTAACGCAAATTTTTATTCAGCCATGCATGGCAGCAACTCAATGCATTTAGCATGTAGACATGGTCAAGACGATGGGGAAAAAAGGTGGTTTAAGTGACTTTGAATGTGGCGTGGTTGTTGGTGCCAGACGAACTGGTCTAAGTATTTCAGAAACTGCTGATCCGGCAGTTCTGTGTGTGCAAATGCCTTGCTGATGCCAGTGGTCAGAGTAGAATAGCCAGACTGGTCTGAGCTGATAGAAAGGCAACAGTAACTCAAATAACCACTCATTATAACCAAGGTATGCAGAAGAGCATCTTTGAATCTCTCAATCTAATAGGGAACCTTTGGGATGTGGTGGAACGGGAGATTCTCATCCTGTATGTGCAGCCAAAAAATTTGTAGCAACTGCGTGATGCTATCATGTCAATATGGACCAAAATCTCTGTGGAATATTCCAGTAACTTGTTGAATTTATGCCACAAAGGATTAAGGCAGTTCTGAAGGCAAAAGGGGGTCCAACTTGATACTAGTAAGAGGTACCTAATAAAGTGGCCGGTGAGTGTAAATTAATACTTTTATGCATCAGCAAGGATGTATTAAATTGATCAAAAGTCACTGAAGACATTTATTACATTACAATAAACTCTTATGTTGAAAAAATTCTGAATACGAACATTATTTCTAAAAATATTTAGCAAATTTTTTTTTGTATTGAAAAAAATTTAAAAATGGTAAACAAGTACCAAATATGCATATTAAACTGCTTTCCAAAGTCATTTTTAAATTGCAATACGATTTCACAATATTACTGGTTGATCAAATAAATGCAGTGCAGGTGATAATAAGAAAACTTTAAACAATATTGTACGTGTTTGTGTGATCATATGGTCTTACTTCAGCAGATATTTCTCCATCTTCTCAGACGGGGCAAATGAACTCAAACAGGCAGCCATCAGCAACCAGCCTCTCTCGGCATTTCTACTGTTTTCATTCCGCCACACCTGATTGGCTATCTGAGCTAGGATCTCATCTCTGATTGGCGGAGTGGCAAGGCCTCTCTGAATGATATAATTTCCAAAGAGGTTTTCCTGAGCTCCGTTCAAATTCGGATCTCCCATGAACCTCAAAATCTGTCAACCACAAGAAAACTCACTAATAGCATACAAAAGGCAGGTTATTAGAGTGAACAATCATAGAATAGTGATATAATGTTACCAGTATGAACACATCAACAGCGTCTTGTTTCAAATCATCTTCTAAACGGGTCAGTGAGTTCTCCAGCGGTGCTGTTAGCATCCCAAACAGCAATTCCTGTGGAAAATAATAATACAAAATGTACATATGTTTAATGTAAGTTGTGTGTATTGTGCATATATACGTGTTAGTAGAAAAAGCATTTACCCTGAAATGTGTGCGGATGTATTTGGTCATCAAATGGTTGTTGATATCGAGTGGAAGAGTGAGCTGAGGGTCAGTCTGTATTCTAGGAGCCTGAACCAAAGCCAAGCAGTCTGAATGACGCTCCCGACCACCTAAAAACAAACCAAACATTGCTTTAATATGGTTTAAGATTCGTTAGGTGAATTGCTACCTATTTTGCAACATGAATGCACACCATTTTTGGATTTCAAATTAAAAATTTGAAACGTTTGTTGAATATAATGGGAGAACGTTAAAGGTCTCGTGAAGTGCTTTAATATGTGCATTTCTTATTCAATGTTTGACGTAATCTTAACTGAAACATGAAGAAAGTAACAAGAAGCATCTTGACGGGCATGGGACATAACAGAGACTAGAGAGCATTTGATTGGTCAAGATTTGATGAGAAACCAAATGATGGTATGAGGTGATGTAAAAAAAATTCATTGATCCATTTAGGCAGAAGTGACAAACTGCAAGCTTTGGATGTTCATATCAGGTTTATATTTCCTAAACGTGAATTCTGTCACAGATTTAGAGCACACTAGATTACAGATATCCTAAACCGATAAAACCAAAAGACTGAAACTACCATCTAAAAAGTTTTATTTTAATTTCACCAGACCTTTAATGTTAAATGACATTGTTGAAGTGTTAATAGTTGAGGTTTTTTAAAAATGTAGTTGTGTATTTTTGTAATTACATATCTTTTTTCTGTTTTTTTTTATAATTATATTTATTGGATTTTCACTATAATACAGACATAACAACGTCTTTAAAAGATACTCACACAACAACAACAAAAATAATAACAACACAGAACAATGTAAAAGGAAAAAAAAGGCTCAGATTACCTATAAAACAGCACTACCCCACATTAAACAGATCAGGAAAAAAGGGATAATATTAACATTGTATGTTTTTCAGAAAACAATAGTTACAATTTTCCTTTCAGCATGATAGGGCAAAGACTAGGTTCCAAATAGTCCAAGTATGGAGTCCAAACTTTGAAAAAATGTTCTGTTTTTTGTGTAAAACATGGGTAAGATGTTCCAGAGGAATCAACTCAAAAATGATCTTGTGCCAACCTTTAAGTGATGGAGATTTATCACTAATCCAATTAAGTAAAATATTTTTTCTGGCAGCAAAAGTCAGTATATTATACAATTTCTTATTAGCTGATGACAGAATGCGTCCATTAGGTATACCCAAAATCAACGAAGCTGGGTCTAAATCCAATGGCATGTTAAAGATCTTTTCCATTTCCCCCAGCACCAAGGACCAGAATCTTTGTAGCTTGTTACATGACCACATACAATGTGTTAAAGTACCTACATAAGTCTTACATTTTAAACACATAGGTGAATTAGAAGGGTTAAATAGATGTCTGCGGTTAGGGGAGATTTTTTTTCTGTTTTAGTTTAAGTTAACAAAGGGCCTCCTCACACTATGCTCTCTGTACCGTGCCCAGGCCCGTTTCCCGGATCGTTTGATAAGTGTGAGTGCTCTGATTCGGTTTCAGGCACGGTTCACTTGGCCGGCACTGGCCCAGTTGGAAGAGGGAGAGATGGAGAGAGCGCAGTCCACTTGGGCTTAGGTGCGGTACGCTTGTGTGTGAGTGCAAAATGCGCCAAAGCCTGAAACTGAACGCGAGAAATGACTTTTAAGGGACTGTTTCATATGGATTTGTTGGTCATTCTTACTGTTCAGTGAACGCAAACTGCCGTAGTTTATTAAAGACGCAAACCCCTCACTGCACAACAGCTGTGCACCTTCAGCAAACCTCCTAATTCCTGCAACACAGGGCTTTATGACTGTTTATGAGCGTCAAAAGTGGCAGATCTGTTCAGCGAAATATCGGACTGCGTGTCACTGAATCCCTAAAGAATAAAGAAATATAACTAGAGAAATCTCCACTGTGCTGAGCGAGAGTCCTTACTGAACAGCGCATCATCGATGACGTAAGCGTTCCCAGGCCCGATTGTAATGTGAGTGCGGGCCGTCGGGGGAGACGGGAGGGGGGACAGGCCGGCTTTGGCCCGGTTTGAGGCAACTGTACATAGTGTGAGTACACTCTAAGGCAAGTCAAGGTGTCCTGGGTGGTTGCTTTCCAAGTTAAAAGTACTATTCCCATTTTGATACAATTTTATCCTTTATGTGTAAGGCAAAAACTGCTCAATAAAGTCTGACTGCTCCTTAAAAAACAGTTTCTTTATTCACAAACCTTTGGCAACAGTAAAAATGATGATTTTAAACCCCAGCTCTCAAAACTGTGAATAAAGAAAACTGTGAATAACCTGCTGTGGCCTGTAACAATCCTCCCAGCTCCGCAGGAATAACCAGCTGAGTCACGTTTACCACCTCCCTGCTTATTCGCTCCTTCAGAAAAGAAGAAACACAAACTCTTATTCAGAAAAGGGAAATGTGAAATCTGAAGAACACAGAGTGCTCTCACTTTGAAAGTTTAATATGAACATTAATAATTGTAAATACAATATAAATTATATATTTTAAAAATGGAACTATTCATAATTGGAGCCTATCTAATAATGAGCACACATTCTTCTTTTACCAGTTCAAGCCTTCTCCTCTCCTCCTCTGCTCTTCTCGCCAAGAGTACGTTGATCTGTAGCAAAGCCAAGAGCAAAAGCTAAGCATTGAAATGTGAAATTCTGAATCTGAACTAATATTACAACTTATTTTAATTGCTAGAGAAGAAACATTTAGAATGTTACAATATGGTCCCATTAGCTAATCCCCTAACTAGAATTAACTGACTGTCTTTGTTAACATGAGTTAATTAAAATACAACTGTTAGTTGTTAGGATAAATCAGCTTTTGTTTGTTAATTAAAATAAAAAAAGATATAGCAATACATTTTAATTATGCATTAATAAATTATTGTATTAGCATTTATTATTATTTGCTTCACAAATGTTTTCATTGTTTGATTATTATAACTGATAACTAATGGAACCATATTGTAAAGCGTAACTAACAAACATACCCTGATGTATCTTTTGCGATTGACGATAAGTCGGATCATTGCGCGGTGCCTGATTAGGTTTATACGCATCCGTAGAAATCGTTGCCTGAAGGTAAAAAGATATTGGGAGAAATTTTAGCCATTTCAGTAACACTCTTACCTAGCTTTCTTCCTAATATAACCTACTGAACCTTAATTAGTTTAACCAAGGTGTTCAATCAGACTGAATTCATCCTTAATAATCCCTAAAATTAATAAAGAGATCGCTCAAAAACCAGACCAGTGTATCCTCAGGAGCCAATTTAAGTAACTTAGCTTTCGCTTTTCTTTTTTAACTTTAAATGCGGTGGTAACCATTGGCTTGCATTGTATGAATCAGCAAGGTTTCATTGAACAAATCTTCTTAATAATCTCCTGGAGATAAAAGGTTACTGGAAAACTTGAGGGTTTCATTTTTGGATGAACTATACCTTTAAGATAACTTGGAATTACAACAGGAATTAAATGCAAGTTTCAATATTCATTATAATCTATTTAAAACCAAATTTGGAAATAGCTCAGAATGAATTTGGTGTCATATCTTGCATATTTTTACGTTCAAATGTGTACAACAATATACAGTTGAAGTCAGAATTATTAGCCCCTCTTTGAATTTTATATTTTTAAATATTTCCCAAATGATGTTTAACAGAGTAAGGAAATTTTCACAGTATGTCTCCTACAATTTTTTTCTTCTGGAGAAAGTCTTATTTGTTTTATTTCAGCAAGAATAAAAGCAGAATTGTATTGTTTTAAAAACCATTTTAGGAACAAAACCGTCGATGTATAAAAACTTGCCTAATTACCCTAACCTGCCTAGTAAAACAAATTACCCTAGTTAAGCTTTTAAATGTCACTTTAAGCTGTATAGAATTGTCTTGAAGAATATCTAGTCAAATATTATTTACTGTCATCATGACAAAGATCAAATAAATATGTTATTAGAAATGAGTTATTAAAACTATTATGTTTAGAAATATGTTGAAAAAATCTTCCGTTAAACAGAAATTGGGGGAAAAAAATAAGCAGTGGGGCTAATAAATCAGACTTTAACTGTATATTTCAGAATCAAAAGCATTACTGTCATTATATAACAAGTATTTATTGCAACTCTTAGTTTGCATAAAGAATATTTATGCAAGAAAATACAAAAGTCAAAAAAGTCAACAAAATAAATAAAAAGATCAATTGTCACAGTGTGGTTGGTGTTATTGCATCTACAATGCTCCATAACTTATGCGAAAAGACCAAACCTGATCTCACCGGAAATAAAAAAAATGATTAAATCTGTCTCAAATGTGAGCAAAATTAACTTTTTTGTCAGTGTAAATGCAGCAAAAAGTAGATGCTAAAGTGTTTTTCCTTCAAGGTTTCAATTCAAAGATTACAGATATACCAAAACGGTTTACTCAAACTTCTGCAAATTAAAGAAACAGCAATAAAACAGTCAGTCACCAACTGGTCAAGCCATTGCGTCACTTTAGCTCCCAGTAGAAGCTCAGGTCACGGGAGAAAACTGAGACTGCCACTTAGCAACAGACTGGACTAACCTGAAATATATGCATTTTTAATGTGATTTCAGAGAAAGGAACATTTGTGAATCAGCTTATGTTAGATTTCATTGATAATTGTGAGTTAGTCAAGCAGTTTTTTGGAGATATTACTATTTCATCCACCCTTCCATTCTCAAAACATGGAAATATATTTTCTTTAGAATAACATTTCTAAAGGAACTGTTGACATGGAATTGAAGAAGATTTTTGGTAAAAACCCAAACCATACAAACAAAAATCTGAAAAAATTGTCATATGTAGTAACAATAAATTGACACAAGGAGAAAGTGCTGAACTACTGAAACGTATTTAACACTTTATATAAAAGGCTTTTTTGGTAATGGCAGCTTAAAGACGCCTCTCATATGGAGAATGAAGTCACAAATTGATCAGGTGTGAGTTTTTCACAGACTTCAACAGAGTGTCAAAATCTTGATGGCTTAGTGGGTCTCGTTTGTCAAATCTGAGCTTTAATTTGTATTTTCTATAGGATTCAAGCCAGGTGATTGGCTGGGCCATTCTACAGCTTGATTTTCTTTCTCTGAAAGCATTTGAGAGTTTCCTTGGCTGTGTTTTAGATCATTGTCTTGCTGAAATGTCCTAGTTTCATCTTCATCATCCTACTTATGTAGATGTTGGGCTGAAGCAGCTAATATTAATTTACACTGAGGAAGGGCAGACGGTTACTGAAGAAATGCTGAGAGATTTCAGCTGCTGTCTGGGCTTTCACTGTCTTTCTACACTTCTCTTCACAGCCCCTCCCCACCCCCTTCATTTTTTTACACATAACCTCATTTGTAAACTAATTAGTTTTGTTTTCTTTGCATATATGGATTTCTTTGGTTGTTATCAACATCTGTGACATGTTCAATACTTATTTCCTGCACTGTAGGTCAAAATGTGAACAGACTTCACATGAAATAGACTTTGCTTTACATTCCTATACTTAAGCTGTAATTCCAAATAACAGAGCATCAGTTACAGAGCGTCCTGTAATTTCTTACCTGGCCATGAAGCCTTTGCAGTGAGCCTGAAGATGCGTCATAGTCAAACGGAACTTAAGAAATTTCCTCCGGGCAAAAAACATCCGTACGTAACGCTGAAGGGTCAGTGCAGCTATATGCATCACACGATCACGTTTACTCTCCAACAGCTGATACACCTCCTCTTTTAGAAAGAGCTGAGAGAAAAAAAACACTGTTAAAATATACAGGACATAATGTAAAGTTGTCTGACTTAAATTTTCATTTAGTCATTTAGCAGACACTTTTTTTTCAAGAGAGTTTGTTTCTACAGGTGGTTTGTTAAGCCCACTCACCTGTAAAAAGCATACTTCATAAATGCACAATGTTTTTTTTAAATATATTTTTTCATCTTTTAAAATAATTGGTTTTTTAATATTCTTCTTACCTTTGACACACCCACTTGATAATCTCCTTTGTTGATTGGACAGAGCTTCGTTAACATCATGACACAGTTATCGCCATCTGAAGGTGGTGGCTTTTTCATTCCCAGCAGAGCTTTGTACCTGGAAACACATTGGTCATTTACTTTGAGGTGCTGTATTTTATATATTGGCTATTTATAGCACTAGACTGGATTATACACCGTATAGCACTGCCTTCATAAGTAACAAGCACCAACCGTTGAGTAAGATACCTGTTTAAGAATTTATGGAAAGGCACTCTGATTGGATAACCCTCCTTCCTGATGCGGATTGTGTCCAGGATTCCTGAATATCTGAGCTGAGTAGCAACCAACTCAGGGTCAAAGATACCAGGTTCCTGAATGGACATGCAAATATGTTTGATTCATTTACACATTACAGTGATTTTACAGGAACATACACTTACAGATAACATTGTTATGCTGAATCAGTACTCAAAACATTTATTGTTGTTATTATCAAATTTGAAAACACTACTACATGACATTTTTTGTGCCAACGTTTAAATGTTTGGGCTAATTAATATTGGGAACAAAAAAATAGTAAACACTTTTATTTTTAACCTATTAAACTTAATCAAAAGTTCCATTTACGATGTTTACAATGTTTAACAAAATTTACGTTTACACTAACACCTAAAAATCCAGAAAAAATGTCTCAGTTTTCACCAAAATATGAAGCAGAAATAATAATAAAGATTATTATTAATATAACAATACTAATGACACAGTTTTCCCCAAAATATTAAGCAAATAAGATATTAAGGATTAATAATACAACAATACGAATGCCAAAGTTTCCCTCAAAATATTAAGCAGATAAGATAATAAGGATTATTATTAATATAACAACATTAATGCCACAATTCCCCTCAAAATATTGAGCAGATAAGATATTAAGGATTAATAATACAACAATACGAATGTCAAAGTTTCCCCCAAAACATTAAGCAGATAAGATAATAAAGATTATTATTAATATAACAATATTAATAATGCAAGTTTACCCAAAATATTGAGCAGATAATATAATAAGGATTATTATTAATATAACAATATTAATGCCACAGTTTCCCTCAAAATATTGAGCAGATAATGAGGATTATTATTAATATAGCAATATTATTAATGCCACATTTTTCCAAAATAATGAGCAGATAAGATAATAAAGATTATTATTAATATAACATTATTAATAATGCCACAGTTTTCCCCAAAATATAAAGCAGATAATATAATAAGAATTATTATTAATATAACTATATTGGTAATGCCACAGTTTTAACAAAAATTGAGCAGATAAGATAATAAGGATTATTACAAATATAACAATATTAACAATGCCACAGTTTTCTCCAAAGTATTAAGCAGATAAGACAATAAGGATTATTTTTAATATAATTATATTGCGTGAATGTTTTAAAATAAACTGACCACTGAATGTTAAAAAGATTTCTGCTTATAAACACATTTCAAAACATTAAATTACAAAAATATTAATTTTTTATTTGAATAATATTTCCCAAAACTACTTTTGTTGAAATACATGCAGTCTTAGTTGAGGAAGACTTCTTTCAAAAACTTTTTTAAATCTTTTCCAAATTTTCTAACCAGAAGTTTAGACTAACTAAAGCACAAGTAATTAAAATCTGTGAAACAGTAATAATAATACTTATATGCCTAATGATGATTCATACCTTGTTATTATTTGGCTTTATGCAGCGCACAAAAAATGGGTTGCACCTGAAGAAGGTAAGATGCACAAGACGCTAAATTGACTAAATTAAGCCAATCAAAGTAACACAAAAATCAGCAATTACACATATGCACAAATATACATGTGTAACATTGTACATATATCTGTGTATGTAATAATGTATAAGACCTCTCCATCTTGTCTAAGAGCTCTTGTAATGACTGCTGAAACTTGGCGGCCACGGTTGAGGGTTGATATCTCCGGGTCACTGTGCTGCTCCTGTTCATCGCTCCTTTTTGCTGGTTCAGCATCTCAGAATGCTTTATGAAGAGATTGGACACCGTCTAGACAACACACCCACATATGCAAATTACACAAGATACATATACATATGATACATATGTACAATCAGAGGAAATACAGGCTAAAGTGGTGTAGTGGTATAATTTATAGCTTCACGGAACAATTTGTATTTTTAAGTTTATGTCAAACAACAACACAATTTTACATGATGTCTGCCTGTGAATGTAAACTGCTGAAGAAGATATTACATTTGTCCATCAGTATATTAGCTTTGTGAAATGGCATCTCTTGGACATGGAAAAACACACTATGGACAAAACTTAACCAATTTTTAAATTCAGTATGTTGCCATATGTTTGTTCCCACAAAAAACAATGGTCTACAATGGAGGAATTTGATGGAGCTTAGAAACTCCCTACTGATTTAGAAAATAACTCCCTTTGGTGCAACTTTGTGCTTTGTAAATCCGTTTCATGCTCTAACATCAACATTACACACAAGCTAAAAGTATATAAATCATAACAGGACTCCTTTAAAATTCTTTGAAAAAAGCAGAATAGCACAGATACATGTACTCACTCGGTTCTGGCTCTGCATAAACAGATCCAACACTTCCTGCCGAACCTGATCGAAGTTTTTATCCAGGAATTTATGGACCTGAAATCAGTAAATTCTTCTTTGAGCTTCTCTTTAGACAGGCTACTAACATTAAATCCTATTAATTGGAAAAGAACCTTGATTTCTCTTACATTTCCACCCCAGGCTCATTCTGAAAACGTACCCTTATATACATTACTAAAGAGCGCCAAATATGTCGCAGGAGGTACGTTTTTAGCAGTTTTTGTTCACCAGAGGCCACTGTGTAGGTTTTTTTAGATCTCAAATTTCTCTCTCAAGTACTATTCGCGCCTGACTGACCAATCGGCTGACCCACCATCCTCCTTCCTTAAACCCACCCAATAGCAGTTTCATAATTGACCCATGCCCCCTCACTTTCCTAAACTCAACTGACTGTTTTAAAAAGCAATCTAGAAAAAGAAAAGCCCTTATCTGATTTCTTACCACATTTTTAGATTTTGCCACATTCTCACCCTGTTATTTACTAGTTTATTTGATTATTTGGCTTTTGTCTTACTGATTTTCTGGAACCATTCTTTTCTGGACTCGAAGCCAGTTGTCGTGGTCAACTCCACTCTGTGTCACAAGTCTGTCGATGTATGCAGCGAGCTACTGGACAAACTGGTAATAGCGGGAAAGCCATTCATATGTAGGTAATCGGTCAACTGGTAAGTATAAAAAGTAATGGCATCATGCCGCCAACAGCATTTACTTTAAAGAAAAAATGCAGCCATATCTACTTCTGGCTACATAATTCGCTCTCTTCAGAAATGTATAAAGGGGTACGCTTTCAGAATGAGCCTATGTTGCCCCATTTCTGACCCTTGGACCACATGGTCTTATGTTGTCCAGGTATATTGACAAATACACATTGTATGGGTCAAAAGAATAGATTTTTCTTTTATGCCCAAAATAAACATATCAAAATTCAATTATTGATTAGTAATGTGCAAGTCTAATAACTTAATTTGTTCACATTTAAATGCAGTTTTCTCAATATTTAGATTTTTTTAACCATTTGATTCCAGATTTTCAAATAGTTGCACCTCAGACAAATATTTTCTATCCTAACACACCACAGATCAATGAAAATATTATTTACTTAGCTTCCAAGTGATATATAAATCTTAATTTCCGAAAATTGAAACCCCTTATGACTGGTTTTGTGGTCACATTTGTTATTACATAACTATGTATTTAGAATCCTAAATTTGCATTTTGGGATTTTTATTACCTGGTAAGTTACTCGACCAGCATAGTGATAGACAGTGAACTCTGGCAGTGGCATTTTTGGCTTGGAGTAAAGAGGGTTGTTTCCATGGTGATAGTGGCACTTCTGAAGGAAGGTATTGTCAGTGGCCTGTCAACAGGTGTTAAAACATGTAATGTAATTATAGCAGGTATATTCATTTATCTGCATGCATGTCTAAATGTAAGCATGTGACCTGTGGAAAGCAGCTCTGGTCATCAAGGATGCGGAGTAAACCATGAGGCTTTGCAGAGATGAGGTCTATGCACGCCTGGTTGTCAGTGAATGTCAGTTCTTTCCAGTTGATTTGTTCTCGAATGTACTCTTCCTACAGAGATACATACACTGGAATAAACTTTTAAGCCAGTACAAAAAAAAACAAACAACATAATCCTTTCATTTTTTATTGTTCACTCAACTTTTGCTGCACTGACCTAAAAGTATTATTAGTTTTCTGGAGAGGTGAACTACTTTAAAACTTTAAGTTGTGCCAACTCAAAATTTTTGGTTTGCAGATCTAGAATGCCTGAAGTTGAGTGAACAAAAAAAAACCCATAATCCTTATTTCCTTTAGTTTTTTTTACTTTGTAACAAAACTTTAAGTTGTGCCAACTCAAAATTTTTGGTTTGCAGATCTAGAATGCCTGAAGTTGAGTGAACAAAAAAACCCCATAATCCTTATTTCTTTTAGTTTTTTTTACTTCTCTTTCAATTTTTTTAAAACATCAGTTGCACTGACCTAAAATGTCTGATACATTATCAGAACAAACAAACATAGTTCAATTGAAAAAACAAAACAGAGACAAAACATTTTTTTAGACAGAATTTGAAACAGGACAGGAGGTAAAACAACAGTAACTGTAAACAAGACAAGGATCAAAACATGGCAGGACAAACAGCGAAAAATGCTTTGGATTGCTTTACAGGGCAAAACAAGACTCAGCAAAGAGTCTGTGTGAATGAGGTGTCTTTATAGTAATCAGTCTGTGTGTGTTATCAGGACTGGTTCCTCCATTTGAACTATAGTTTGAGCATTTGATTCGTCATTTTAATTACTAAAGTAATTTCCTGAGTTGTTCATAAAAATTAGATATAAAATGCAGTTGATTTCTCATTTGAGAATGCATTTTGATTTATTATTTGATCCTTTTAGGCATTTGAATTTTGTTAGACAAATATATATATATATATATATATATATATATATATATATATATATATATATATATATATATATATATATATATATATATATATATATATATATATATACAGTTAAAGTCAGACTTATTAGCCCCCCTTTAATTTTTTTTCTTCTTTTTTTAATATTTCCGAAATGATGTTTACCAGAGCAAGGAAATTCACAGTATGTCTGATGATGTTTTTCCTTCGCAGAAAGTCTTTTTTGCTTTACTTCGGCTGAAATAAAAGTTTTAATTTTTTAAAAACAATTTTAAGGTCAAAATTATTAGCCATTTAAGCAATTTTTCAGTAGTCTACAGAACAAACCATCAATATACAATAACTTGCCCAATTACCCTAACCTGCCTAATTAACCTGATTAACCTAGTTAAGCCTTTAAATGTCACTTTAAGCTGTATAGAATTGTTTTGAAAAATCTCTAGTCAAATATTATTTGCTGTCATCATGGCAAAGATAAAATAAATCAGTTATTAGAAAAGAGTTATTAAAACTATTGTTTAAAAATGTGTTGAAGAAAATCTTTTCTCCATTAAGCAGAAATTGGGGAAAAAATGAAACAGGGGGCTAATAATTCTGACTTCAATTGCACATAACAGTTAAGTACAAATTAACAGTCCACATGTGCCAAGCATTTCTTTGTGGAGTGAACTACTGTAGGTGAATGTGAGATGAAAATTCACATTAAAAGTCTTTCTGCAGCTGACGACTGGAGTAACGATGCTAAAATTCAGCACTGAAGGAGGATTAAAATAAGTTTTTAAATATACTGAAAATAACCATTTTGCATTTAATTCGTATTTCACAACACTGTTGATTTTTTAATCAAAAAAGTCTCACCTGTTCCTGTTTGAAAATGATTTTGCTGAAAAAAAACTGCAGGGTCTCATTGGCATAGTTGATGCAGAGCTGCTCAAAGCTGTTGAAAACCAGACTCTGGACAAACAGAGACAAAGATAAGATAGAATTATATGCGACTGATAACGAGTTCATACTGTATGCAGGGGGAAAATGTTTTATTAATTTAGAATGGTCTAAATTCCTATACAATTTTAGACTTTAGCTATTGACCTTATTCTAAAATGTGGAAGTGCGCTAATTTTTTAGGTTGTTTTAGAACTTCTTATTCAGTTGCCTATGAGACAAATGACTAGAAATAATAAACCACAGAAAACAGTCAAACTACGTGCTCTGCAAACAAGTGCTTGCATGACTATTCAGACAAAGCAGAAAAATATAATAAGAAAATATCCGTTAACAACATCAAGCAGCATAACAATTTGTTTTTAATGTCTAAAAATGAATGGAAGTGAATGAGACCGAAAGTCTCGAGCCAAAAATGTTCAAATAGCTGCAGCCACTCATACAGGAAGAATAAAGTGAATAAGGTAACGGATGTACTGTTGAAGTCAGAATTATTAACCAATTGAAAAAACAATAATATAAGGGGGCGAATAATATTGACCTTAAAATTTTAAAAGGTCAAAAGTAAAAAAATAAATAAATAAACTGCTTTTATTACAGCTGAAATGAAACAAACAATACTTTCTCCAGAAGAAAAAAAATTATAGGAAACACTCAGGAAATCATGAGAGGGTTAATAATTTGACTTCCACTGTATCTATTCAGTAATTCTTTTCTGAGTGCAAGGGGGTGCTACTTTATACCTCAAACCCATATATATCCAATAAAGATATGGACAGCGCCTCATTTCTGGGGTAGACCCGACCATTGATGCGATCTGTCAACCAGTTAAAGAGCAAGGAATAAAGGATCTTGGCAACTGCATCTCTGTGATTGAAGTAGAAAAAGACAAACTTATCAAATGCTATGAAAAATCAAGCTATTGAAGATAAATAGTAATTAAGATGAAAAGGCTTGTGATGTATACCTGGCATCCACGGCACTTTCTACTGAGAGTGGAGTATATATCTTCTCTCTCATTGCCTCCTGTGACAAAAAACAAAAAACAAATCAAACATCATACTATGTCAAATTTTGTTTTTTTGAGGCCTCCTGCAATTGGATTATCTAAAATATCCAAATAAACATCTAGTGTGAAATGGTTGGTTCAAGAATCTGCTCTCTCTAAACCCTGCCTTTCCAAGAGTATGCACTGCTCGGATTGGTCTATTGTGAATTATATGGTTTATATGTTTTCTCCTGACCTGTTTTTATGTAAATTAGTTTTTCGAGAAAATTATTAATCAAATTAGATCCTGAATTATTCCAAGAACGTACAAGTAGTATACACTACCTGACAAAAGTCTTGTCGCCTATCCAAGTTTTAGGAACAACAAATAGTAACTTGACTTCTAGTTGATCATTTGGCATCAGAAGTGGCTTAATGAAAGGCAAAGGCTGCTAGATTATGCTTATTTTACCAAAATAAAATATGATCATGCCTTGATTTTTCATTATTTAATTAGGACAGTAAGGTCTGGCTTTGCTTAGACAAAAGTCAGTCACTGTCTCCTCAATGACTCCCATGACCTTGGAGGACTGCATCCATACATCTCTGCAATGACTCAAATAAAGTCATCTGGAATGGAAATGAAAGCAGTCTTGCAAGACTCTCAGAGTTCATCAAGATTATTTGGTTTCATCTTCAATGCCTCCTCTTTCATCTTACCCCAGAAATGCTCAATAATATTTATGTCTAGTGACTGGGCTGACCAATCCTGGAACACCTTGACCTTCTTTGCTTTCAGGAACTTTGATGTGGAGGCTGAAGTATGAGAAGGAGCGCTATCCTGCTGAAGAATTTGCCATCTCCTGTGGTTTGTAATGTAACGTCTAGCACAAATGTCTTGATACCTCAGGCTGTTGAGCCATCCACTAAGCAGATCTGTTGCATGCCCACAAACTGAATGTAACCCCAAATCAGGATTTTTCCTTTACCAAACTTGACTGATTTCTGTGAAAATCTTGGGTCCATGCAGGTTCCAATAGGTCTTCTGCAGTGTTTGTTGTGATTGGGATGCAGTTCAACAGATGATTCATCAGAAAAATCTACCTTCTGCCACTTTTCCAAATGATTAAATAGAAGTCAAGTTATTATTTGTTGCTTTTACAACTGGGATCAATAACAAGACAATTGTCAGGCAGTGTATTCACACATTTTATGCCAAATTAAAAGATGCTGTCATACTTTTTTTGTAGTATTTTGGTCTCTACATGCTGCTTTATTTAAATCTGTACTATCTAAACTGTATTTTGAGGTTGAGTTTAAGTCCAAAAATACTTAAAATTGGGTACGACTCATATTGCCCAGAAGCCCTGGCCTGGATACAGTTACACCCACACACACACACACACATACAAGGACACTATGTCTCTCACACAGTCACAGTCAGCATGTGCAACTGATACAGCATTATGTGACAGCTGATCCAAGTAAGCAGGAGTGTAAACACCAACCTGCGAGCTCTGGATAACAGAGCTTTATTTATTAAATGAGCAAGATGCTCAACATGACACAAACACACTGAAGATCTCGCACTGTATTCATGTAACACCTTCATTTGATTAAAGCTAACATAAAAAAAGCTAAGAGCTTGCTAGAAATTACATAACGGTGAATCTATAGGTGAAGAAAAAATTTTAAATGCTAAGAAAAATGATTTTGCTTATATTTGTTTGTATTTACAGACTAAACTGTTGCATTTAAAACTTTTTAAGTATTTGTTATGATCACCATCTATCTAGCAGTTGTAGATTGCTGGAGAACTACTGTATAGATCTGCCGCTGATATGAACTACATTGTACTATCCGACAATCATTTAGACACTGTCACACAAACACACAGCTGAAGCTCATGATTGACTCATTACTGGGTTTATTTATACACCTCACATTCTCACACACTTTGCTGAGTCTTATTTCCCTGTGAGCATGTTCAAGCAGTTTCCTTGTACAGTTTTTCTGTTTTTAATCCTGTGTTTTGTTTATTGTTCATGTTGTTATGTCAGCTGTCCTGACTATTTGCCTGCTTTTGACTACACTCTTTGGATTACCTGTTTGAGCGTTGCCTACCTGACTATTCTCTAAATCAGGGGTGCCCAAACTTTTTCGTATAAAGGGCCAGACACCAAATATCATTGAGAGCCTTGGGCGGAAGGTAAATATACAAAACTATATTACATTAAATTTGCTATGTGTATTTCCTAATATATTGGAAAGCATTATTTTAAATCATATTAACTAATGCAGTATAATGTTTAAAATGATAAATTTTGGCTAAAAACAATCCTATTTATAACACGGTGTAGTTCAATGCTGAATGTCAAGCAGAATCTGGCTGTGCCTTGATTTGTCCTCTATCTATTAGGTGACAGTATGTACATTTAAACTAAATCTGATTAATTAACACAATTTAATTTAAACATTTAATTTCAGTTAGCGTTTAACACTAAAACATACAAATAAAAGGTTACATTAGATTTGAAATGACAATCTCTGAACCATCCCTATTATTCATCTTTTCTTCTCAGACGTGATGGCGGGCCAAATCAAAGGTTACTATGGGCCAACTTTGGCCCAAAGGCCCTAGTTTGGGCATCTCTGCTCTAAATAAATTGCATGTGGATCCTCACCTCCATTGTCCCCAACCCAAATGTTGCCAGACTCACTTTGTTGCAGTATATTTTAGGACTATAGGACTATTTTGATCTCTCACATCTCTTGAAATATTACTTCATAATGTTTTTTAAATTCTTTATTACTATCACCTATTATCCATGACTATCATTCATGCTTTTTTAAACTAGATTACACAATCTGAATTTATTATTAATGAATTAAATTATTAATTATTTATTAAATCTGTGCAAATAATAAAGAGTACATCGAATACAATGTTGTTTAAATAATTAAATGTATAAATTATGTTCTTCAATGATCATAAAACTTTACAAATAATAATTTAATTCATAAATATCTTTCCTGACAGAATACTTTTACCTTGTCTGTCCTCCTCGCTAACCTGCTTTGTTCCCTGTGTGATGTAATTTTCAGCTGGCAGTGAGCAAGCTATTAGGTGTTAAGATTACTCAAGCTCTAAGCAAACCCTGATAAGGTTACTGTGGTTTCCATAGAGCTGAACTCAGAATAATTAAATTAGGTTACTGGAACTCATTAACTGCAACCTGCTTACATGTCATTACAATGTCTCCTTTTCGCTCTCCGTTTTTTCTCTTTCTTTCCCAGATGTTTGTCAAGGCCCTGACACACTAAAAACAAAAAACTAACAGCGAGGAAAGTTGACCGTTTTGTCCCCTCATGTGCGACTAAACAAAAAAAGTGCCACTTGAACACAATGGAAAGGCTACAACCATCAGCCAACAAGCAGGTACACTTTGTGTCTGCGTGAGGGAAAATAACTTAATATATGAGTAATAGTCTTGGACAATGGAAATACAACAATGGAAATCAAAACTTTGGCAAAGTATATACAAACTTTACACAAAGCAGCACTTGCTTACCATTATAACAATAAAATAAGTTCATTACGAATGGACAAAAATGATTTGTTTTAAGAATTATATGTGAAGATGAAGTTTTTCCTTAAAACAAGCAAATTAATCTGCCAAATTAATCTGTTTTAAGGAAAAACTCACTTCATTTTGGCATATTATTTCTAAAAACAAGACACTATGTTTTGCTTGTCTGGAAAATGCTTCTTGATTTAGGAGTTTGTAGATATTTGGACTAGAAACAAGACAAAAACTCAAAGTAAGAGAAGCATTTTTTTCATTATTGTCATGCACACTGCGTTATTAATCTGAAGAGCCAATCAGTTCTCTCATCACGGATGTCAACGGATGGAAATTCAAGATGGTCTGAACACCAAAAAAGTCTCTGACTAGAGCTATTTGTTAAAATCACAAAGCAAAAACCTAACTACTGACAGTCAACTTGGTGTGTTGCGGCCTTAAATGTATACAAACATAAATAAATCTAAAAATGTAGATTAAAATATCTTGAGCCGAGGTGCACATGTGGGTAATGTGAGTCTGGCTTAGTTGTGTGTGATCATGACAATTATATATAAAATATATGCACTGTTTAGCTTACCCAATTCACCTATAGCGTATGTCTTTCGACTGAGTGCAACCCACACCAACATGGGGAGAACATGCAAACTCCACACAGAAATGCCAACTGACCAAGCCGAGGCTCGTACCAGCAACCTTCTTGCCGTGAGGTGACACCACACTGCCCATGTTTTTATTGATGTAATATAAATTTTTATGTTAAGTGTAATATTTTTGGACTATCAGTACGTGATTTTGGGAGACAAAGTGACATACTGGATAATGTGAACTCGCACATTGTTAAAATATATACTATCAACTACTATTGTAACACACCCCTGGCCTGGATGTCTGTTACTGTAAAAGTACACGTACCGTCACTTTGAAGGTGATGGCTTTCTGCAGACCCTCTGGAGAAATCTGCAACAGATCTGCTACTGCACGAATCTCTTGAGTGCTCACCACACCGGCCGTCTCCTGCACTTCTGTCTGAGACAGTCAATCCAAAGCACATGGTCCACAAGACTGTTAACTTTGTCCATATGTGTGTATTATATTTGCATATAAATGTATAGCTGGCACACTGTTTATATCCACAATACCTCCACTCTGTGGAAAAAGACATTTCCTAGGTGAAGTATGGATGACAGCACTCTGAATATGCTGCTCTGGTCTTCAGTACTGAAGTGAAGAATGTCCATGGCACTCTGTAGCCTCCTGAAGTCCTCCCCATCATCCTTTCCAGTGATCCCACAATTACCACCCTAATGTAACATGATCCCATGAGCCCATGACAAATGACATAGTTATACTTTGAATAAGATCTCTTATAAAATAAAGGTTCACTTCTGACCATCATCTGATCATTACCTGATCATGTGATACAGAAAACTGTAGTTGGCTGCTAAAAACAGCTGTGCCATCATAGGAATAAACCTCATTGTACATTCAACATTAATAAGCAAAAAGATTATTTTATATGACAGAATTGTTTAAATATATTTAAACCTTTTTTTAAACTATTTTTAAGCCTTTACACTACTGAGCTGTTGAATGTTTGATTCTTACTGAATAATGACAGTTGGTGCAAAATTGTGCAGTTTTTTTGGCTAAAGAGTTTTCTTTGCAATTGTTTTTAATTACGGCATCAAATGTTTGAGTTACTGAGTATCAGTTTTTATATACTGCACACTCAGCATTCATACTGGTTGAATTTGTATGAAAACACAGTGCTCTTCAGTGTCATTTTTAGGCAGCTCTCCAATTACAGCGGAAGAGAGGCGAAAAAATATAAATTTCACAAATTTACAATGTGTTATTTTCATACATTTTATTTTATGAAACTTATGAAAATGTTTTTTTTTATTGTGTTCTGTTCCCTTATAGTTTGTAAAAAAGATAAATGTTTAGCCATGGAAAATGTACACTCTCTTAAGTAAAATCATTGTATTGTATAGATTGCAAGTATAAATTATATATAAATAAATAAATAAAAATGTCCAAAAAAAAAGTTACAATGTAAACAAGAACAGCCTCAGAAAAAACTGAAGAGAATATTGCTCTGCATTATAGTGTCCTATCGCAAACTGACTGTGTTGTCACCTCGTATAAATCTCATGTAGGTTTGGTGTCCTAACCATCATGATTTTGCCAAGTACGCTGCGATCCTAGATTAACATCTATGTTGATTCTGGAACATCATTTTTGTTGGAAAATGTAATCCATACCTATTCCCTACTGCTAAACCCAACCATACTTGTAAATTATTCCCAAAATCAGAGGAATAATAGTTGGATAACAATCAATTAGAAGTGCAAAAACCTAACCATGAGCCTAAACTGAACATAAACTGTAAACATATCACTTAATTTTGATTGGCTGATTGGAATGTTGTTCCAGGATCAACAAAGATGTTAAATTCAGGAACATGTCCTACTTAGTGAAATCAGGTTGGTGTTGGTGTTCCAGCATTTAACCTTTAGAGAAAAGCTCTTTGGTGGACATAAGCCCTAAATGTACAACTAAAGAAGTTGCAGCCAGTTCTTGGCTTCAGTTCCATATCACTATTAAACTATTAAAAAAACAACAACAGCTGCCTGTGTTGCATATGGATGTGTTTGGCTTCATGTCTGTGTATTTTTCACAGCATCTTCAATCTATCATTTGTAATTGCTCTGTTTACCTGGTTCAGGTAGTAGTAGGTTTCAGCTTCTTGTAGATAGAAGGCCCGCTTCGTGTGAGAAGGAAGTCCAGCTAACATCTCATAAAAGATGTGGTAGTTTCTCTCATCTTTGGCCTGCACACACAGACACAGGTAGACATAAATGCCAGTGATCAATACAAAGCTCCTTAAGTCTTCGTCAGTTTAAGAAAGTAAACAGCCAACCTGAAAAACGATCCTGGACTTCTCTAGTAGATACTGCGAGGTTATGGCACCACTGATCACCCCTCTGATAACAACAACAACAAAAATACACACACACACACACATCGGTCATGGGTATGAACTTTCCTTGGCCCTGCCTCAACCCTCTCGATTCTCTTTCCATCTCTCATTCGCTCTTAAAGATTCAGAGGTTAAATAACCTTACTGCTCTACTTTCACACAAGGCCAGGCGGCACATATCTAGTTCCTTTGAAGCCTCCCTTGTCATTCAAGCAACACTTTCAGGCTTGACAGACGTTAAAGAATGACGCTCATTGCTTTAAACAGATAAGGAATGTAGAATAAAAATACTCACTCCTCCAAGAAGATCTCCACAAACTTTCCAAAGCGACTGGAGTTATCATTTCGGACAGTCTTAGCATTCCCAAATGACTCTAACAGAGGAGTCGCCTCTAGAATCTGGATTTTGACAAAAACGTTATCTCCAAATGCATTTCTTATATATTTTCTACATAGGCTGAAGTGTTAGACTATAAAAAGAAATGTAAAAGACACAAATTTACCTCAATCTGTATAGAGGAGAGCATTAAATAGAAACAGAAAGACAGATTATAGATTGCATAACATACAACACTGTATAATTTATATAAGAATCACAATATTTAGTACTTTAAGATATCCACATCTTTAAACTTCTGAAATACAGTAAGCACACATTTTGCTTGTGATTTTGTGAGGAAGGACATGTTCCTGGATTCAGGTACTTTACACACCTAGTTTAATTTATTTATATTTGATGGTGCAATATTTTTTTAACTGTTTCTAATGAATCTTTTCATACGCTTAATATTAACACTACATTTTTAAAGATAATACATTTACTTTTGCTGTTCTAGAATATTATAGTCAGTTTGAGGTGAAAGTTGCTGAGACTTTTATCACTGTGTTGATGTAGTTCCAATTAATACTTAATATTGAATAGAGTACCTGGTTTCCGCTACATTCATTCCTTCATGGCGGGGCACCACACCAAAATTCATTCGGTACGGCTACATTACAGCTTCTTATTCAAAATATTCAGTCGTTTTTTTAAATAGCGGGTTAAAATCACACCGAAAACGTATTAATAGGTAAGTGAATAATAACAGCGCAAACTTTTCTGTGACCGTAGTAGTGCTGTGCATTCTGTTTAACCCTTTAAGGTGACGTGCTGACTGACTGATAGGTGCGTGATGCTTGAGGCCAGCAAACACGGCGTAGCTTTCAGTTATGATGAACACAGTTTTCATAATTATACTTTATTTATAGATAAAGGTCTGTGGCTCTGCATATAATGACTTTATCTTGCTGGAGTTTATAGCCGTTTCACTTTACTTCAGGACGCATTGATGCCGCGGTCCGCTCCCAAGTCTATCGGAGACATTCATAAATATTCCTAGCAAATCTAATAAATGTTGGCGACATACTCGGTACATAAACGCACTAAATCATACTTCAGCCACGTTTATTTGAGGGCGCGCAAGAAGTTTTGTGCACGAACAGAGGAAATTGACAGAAATTGACATGCTCGTAGGCTATTACATGAATGCGATCTCGACTGAATACTGCACCCATGACATTTGTCAGTGAAATAACGCCACATGTAGTGGTAGATCTTTGTAAAATGGCCAACAGAGTCTGCCGCCACAGCTGGAAAAAATTCTAGAGGAAACACTGGAGTGGGGGATGTGGCTTTGCTTTGCTTTTTGCACATTATTCCCTCATGGCAAACTAAAGGTGCGTTTACACCAGATGTGGATGAAGTAAAAAGCACGAGTGATTAACATGTTAAGTCAACGTAAAGACACAAATAGACATTCAGCTGCTCAATTCATGCGAATGAAGTGGAGCGAGTTGAGCATTTTGCGGTTGAGTTGGAAAATCTGAACAGTGGACATTCATGCTGCGTTAACCAATCAGGAGCTTTCTATCGTAGGGGCATGATTATGACGTAGTGCCTGTTGTTGTTGTCGTGAGGGGAAATCCTTTTGCCGACACCAGACAACAGCTCATCAAACTAGGCTCGGCACAGTAAGAGGCACCATTGAAAGCCTCAATCATCCAGGTACAGTTTCTGGAGAAGTTGATGAACTCACACAGCTGGGAGCACCTCTGAAAGGATCTAGTGGACTCGGTGCCAAACGAAAATACGCAGTTTTTCAGTTTTCCTAAAGCACATAAACACAGCTATTCTCTCAATAAAATCCATGTTAGCCATTTAGTAAAGAAGCTCATGACGCAAGCCTATGATGCAAATCCACGTCTACTGTGAAGTGAATTACAGGTGCGAATGAAGCAAATTTGCAGTTCAAATGTCTCGAGTAGGGCGACGCAATGGCACAGTAGGTAGTGCTGTCGCCTCACAGCAAAAAAGTCGCCGGTTCGAGCCTCGGCTGGGTCAGTTGGCGTTTCTGTGAAGAGTTTGACTCAGCCGAGACTCGAATCAGTGACCTTTTTGCTGTGAGGCGTCAGCACTACCTACTGCACCACCGCATCGCCTTTCATAACTTTTATTATGTTATATTTGGTTCTAGTATTTTGTTTACATAATTTCTTGTCGTTTTATTAAAGCCGTTTTCATTTCATGTTTTTATCTTACTTAACAATAACAACATGATCCTTATCCTTAATGCTAAATAAGAGAGAAATTAAATGATCTGTAAACATCATTTCTTTTATTAAAACTAAGTGATTGTTTTAGATGTTGCTCCAGAACCAACAAAGACATTGAACAAATCTGACATGGTGAAATGAAGGCAAGTGTACAGATCTGACAATTCTGTATGCATGTGTGTATGTGTAATTAGAGCCACATACCTGTTGTGTAATGTTTCTCTTATGGTGAATTGCAGTGAGGTACCTCAGAACCAGTTTGGTTGCTTCTGTTTTTCCAGAACCACTTTCCCCACTACAAAACATACACTTCCATAACACAAAGTTCTAGAGACATACAATAATACGTTAATGCTCTCAAATTCTCTACAAATGGCAAACACATATATTTTCATCTGACCTGATAATGATACACTGGTTTTGTTTGATGTCCATCATTGTTGTGTAGGCAACGTTTGCAATTGCAAAGAGATGACTGAAAAAAATGTATAAGAGGATGTGTTAACATACTGTGACTATTTAGAAGTAACAACAATCTATAACAGAGTTTTGTAAAGGGATGATGATATTTATCTTAATTTTATTTGCTAATTTGTTTTTAGTTACACATTTTATTAGAAAGCATCCTAATGTGCTGTATAAAAATAATTATGTTAAATGTTTTTAAAAAAATCTGTTTAATATTGTTGTTTATAAATAGTTAAAACATTTAAAACTTACGGTGGGTTATCTGCCATGGCATGGCCTTCGTACTGCAGAACCATATCTGTGCCATAGATGTTAAAAAGTTGGTATGGGTTCACAGATACCAGAATACTGCCAATGTAGGTCTGTTTCAAAGAAGAGGGAGAAAATTAAATATCTATTTACATTTTGTAGAAAAAAAGTAATTTTGCTAAATAATCTAACCAGTGAAGTTGTTTATTACTATAATCCTCAACTGTAGACTCACATATATAAGCTCTTGATCAAAGCGAATCTTCAGGTTTATCAGTACTGCAGGCTCAGTAAGCTGTCTGCAAGAAAGGGAAGAAGAATGATTTAATATCCAAAGATCAACACTGCATATACGGTAGATATAAATATTAATGATAACATACTCCATTTGTGTCATGTCCTCAGTACCATCCCCTTTTCTTTTCACTCTGTAGCTGACAGTAGGCAGGCTCCTTATAGAATACATCTGTTTGACAAATAAAACGTACGTTAATTAAAAGCATTAATGCTATCAAAAGCCATTCAAAGAAATCTGAGAAATAATTTCAGCCTATTTGAATGTTATCACTCGATTGAATGGGCGTTATCAGCTGATAGATATGGGCAAGTAGGGGGCTTCTGTGCCTACTGTTAGACTCAGAAGGCTGTTATCATCCATATACATGGTAAATCAGCTATTGATCACATACTGTTGCGGCCATAAGTTAACGAGAATTATTTAGTTATTAAATGTCCCATTAATTGTATTTTAATTATGTCAACCCCTACCCCAACCATAAACCCAACCGTCACAGTAATGTAAAACAGATCTAGGTCTGGAGTATTCTCTATTAGTATAGCTGATTAACCATGTGGTTGAATAATAACAGCCTTCTGAGCTTACCCATATCTATTAGCTGATAACCGCTGATAACGCTCATTCAATCGAGTGATAACATTCGAAGTGAGAACATTTTCAGTTTATTAAATTACATTAGAGAATATCTTCTATGATGAATTAGGTTGAATTGTCTTTTTTAGGGCCTGCACTACAATAATGCAGAGATGATTATCACTGGTCAGCAAGGCAACCTGAGAGGAGTTATAATCGGCCTTGTAAATCTCATCTGACATCCGATGTAGTTCAAGACTGCAGCTAAAACCTGATGCAGATAGGTGAGCTTGGTTGGCCCTTTTGTTAAGGCTTAAAGCCTAACAGACTTGTTAGCTCTTACAACGGCATCACTGTCTACTTGACAGCATTGCTCAGTGGTATGCTTAGTCTAATTAAACCTACTACTTACTTATCCCTAAAGGTTTAGCAAACTGAATGTGTTGCTCTACTCTATTAAAGAGATACATTTGTTTGTGTTTTCCTATATGCAACGCCAGAATTAAACCAAATGAAGAAACTGAAAGATAAAGAGTTGTCTCTAGAAAGAGAAGACACTGCATTTGCAATTTTCTTACCATTAGTTAAATACATGTCAACAATTCAGCATCTTGTCTTAAAAGATTACCTTGTCATACCATGTTCCTCTTGGCTCCCCTTCACGATCTGGAACCCACTGTGGTTCTGTTTGCCCAGGCCGAAGAACGGTGGGTGGTGGGGTGAGGAAGTCCATCATTTTTTCATCACGGTACATAGACCATTTAATGAGGTTCTGTACTGTATCATGAGGCAGGACTTTTTCTGAAGCCCATAGGTCCTCTGCAGTTTGTCCCTCTCTGGCATTCTGTGCCCAATGTTCTTCTGGACCTGGACCTTTTTGCCGTGGTGGAACAATAGCATAGCGACCATCTGGTCCAATAATCACCTGCCCAGAGGATGTCATATAACTGGAGATCCCTGAGGGTAGTTGGTAAGAGGCCTTCTTGAGATTAGGATTCTTTAGTGCATCAATTAAATCTGGTGAAGTGGGTACTGCAAATCCTTGAGTGAGGACTGACCCATCAGGTAATCTGTATCTGGCATTACGGAGGTTTTGATTTAGTAGTGCTGCTGATAAATTTGGACTTTTATTTCTTCGAAGATCTGCTGAAAGAACAGATCCATCTGGTAGCTGGTAAGTCGCCCCTCGAAGTTGTTCATTCTGCAAGGCATTTGAAATATTTGGACTGCTTGGTTTATATAAAGCTTGTGAAATAACAGATCCATCTGGGAGCCTGTAGGACACATTCCTCATATCCTCATTTCTTAGGGCAGAGAGCAGGGATGGGGATTTAGGCTTATATCTTGAATCAGCACTTATTATAGAGCCATCAGGTAACCTGTAGGAAGCACCACGGATATCCTGATTTCGAAGTGCACTTGACAAATTTGGAGACTTATCATAGACTGGTCCACTTATAATTGACCCATCAGGTAACCGATAAGTTGCCTTTCTCATTTGCTGGTTCTGAAGGGCTGCTGATAGATTTGGCGAGATAGGTTTGGACTGCCCATAGTCTGTTACTAATGTGCCATCTGGAAGTCTATATGTTGCTTTCCGAATGCTTTGGTTTTGAAGTGCACTGGCCAGATTTGGAGAAGTTGGATCTATTGGCTGATCAGTCGTTATTATTGTCCCATCTGGCAATCTATATGATGCCTTTCTGATGTTTTCATTCCTAAGTGCATGTGATAGATTTGGGGAAGTTTGTGGTTGCTGTCTTGCGTTTACAAGGGTCCCATCTGGAAGTCTATAAGCTGCATTTCTCACATTTGGATTCTGCAAAGCATTGGACAGGTTTGGTGAAGAAGGTTGCTGTAAATGGGAATCTGGGTATATTATTGTTCCATCAGGAAGTCTGTAAGAGGCTTTTCTTAGGTTTTGGTTCTGCAAAGCATTTGAGAGATTTGGTGAGAAAGACTGTTGTTGACGTGGGTCCATTCCCATCATGGATCCAGCGGAAAGTCTATATGAAGCATTTTGTAGCAGGGGATTTCCAATTGCATCCACAAGCATTGGAGAAGCGTTTACATTTAGTCCCTGATCACCATATACTAATGACCCATCAGGCAATTGATAAGTGGCATTGCGGAGTTGGGGGTTGTGCAATGCATCAGACAGAAAAGGAGATTTCCTAGGGTCCTGTCTATAACCCGGCACAGGTGCATAAGGAGAAACCATTCCTTGAACAGGTGATCGATATGATGCTTTGCGAATATTTTGATTCTGCAAGGCTGATGAAAGAGCTGGAGATCCCCTTGGACCATAGCCAGATGGAACACGGGATCCCCTGCGGCGTAAATGTGTTCGGTAGGAAGCATTGCGCACATTTGGATTTTGAAGAGCACTGGAGAGAATGGGACCAGCACCTGGATCTTCAACATAATCATAGCCTGTTTCTACCTGAGTGTAGGGTGAATGTGGTCTCTGAAAGGATGATCTGAATGATGCATTGCGAAGCTGAGGGTTGTGAATTGCATTGGACAACATGGGTGACACTGGCTGACCTGGAGCTTGTTCAAATGCTTCCATTTGAGGAACATATGGGTAAGACAAAGGTGGTTGTTCAGGGACCTCACCAAACTGAGTCACCTCGGGAGCATAAGGTGAGCCTGGTCTTTGCAATGGTGACATGTAAGAAGCTTCTCGCAGTTGAGAATTTTGTAAGGCATTTGACAAAAGTGGAGATGCCATCTCTTCTGTATGCTGATGCAGTACAACCATTTCAGGGTTATATGGTTGCAATGGGGAGACCTGTGCAGCATGGTTTTGCAGGGTAAGAGAGGGAACTGGTGAAGGTGGCTGTCCAGGAACCTGTGGAACATTAATGATCTCAGGAGCATAAGGCGACATAGGCTGTTGGAAGGATGCATTATAGGATGCATTTGGAGGGACACTTTGGATTTGGAGGGAACTTGTATGCATTGGAGACTGCGGGGCACCAATAAACTGATCAAACTGTACAGGCAATGGCTCTGCACCAATGGGTAGAGGAGATCCATATATTGGAGGACCAGAAAGTACAGAAGTAGGCGGAGACCTAGGGGAAGCGGAACGCATTGGTATCGGTGAGCCATGTTTGATAGACGGATGAGGAGAGACTGGCCTGGAAAGGTGTCTCACAGAAGGTTGAGGTGAAGGAGGGGGGATGTTTTTTTGAGAAAACTGTGGTGAAGGGGGCATCATGCCAGGTCCACGCCTCAGTGATTGTCTAGCCATGAGTGGACGGCCACGGCCTATGGGTCTCTGTGGGTTTCTCATTGCACCAGGTGTTCCTGGAGGAATGAAACGACTTGGTTCCCTTCTCCCCATTCCAGTGTGGTGACCTGATAATTGTGGGGAGGCTGTGAAATCCTGTGGCATCATAGATCTGTTACTACGTATAGATGGTCTAAAAGGTTGTACATTTTGTGTTGGAGCACCAGAATGACCCCCACGACCAGGATATGGTTTTACAGCTCCCATTGGGATATTTCCACGGCCCCTTCCTCGCAGCCGACCTCCAGTGGATCCAAAAGGTGGAGAATCCTTCATTAGGCGAGTGGATCTGCGGGAGAGAGTGGGAGATGGTGATCTATGTTGTACTGGTGATTGTTGAGAGTCTGCTTCCATAGTAAAGCTTCTTCGAGAGGGAGTAGGTGATGCTCTTTGAGCCATTGATGGTGACTGGGGTCTGTGAAAATCCCTAGGTTTAACACTGGCCATGGTTTGCATTCCCATCTGAGGGGAAGTTGGAGGACTCATTCGCCTAAGTGGAGATGGGGAGGCTTGAAATTTATTGCCACCAAATGGACGATTCATTTGTGAAGGTGAAGAGGGTGGACTTGGTCTCCTAAATGAAGCACGAGGGGACTGTGGTGGGCTTTTCCTACGGATAGATGCACGAGGTGAAGCTGGAGGACTGGTATAGAGAGATTGAGCTCGTGAGGGAATACGGCCAGGCATTTGCTGGGGAGATTGTGGAGGTGGTGCCTCTCTAAAAGATGGCTGAGGCTGCAAACGTCTGGGGACTGTTGGTGAAGCAGGTGGACCTTCTCTGAATGGAGTCTGAGGCTGGAAACGTCTTGGGGCCATTGGTGAAGTGGGGGGCCCTTCTCTAAATGGAGCCTGAGGTTGAAAACTTCTAGAAAGTGCTGGTGAAACAGGTGGGCTCATTCTGCGTGCGACAGGAGAGGAAGGTTGTTGAAAATGACTTATTGGAGATGGCCCACCCCTAGCTAGTCTTGGTGATGGAGGTGCTCCCATGCCTCCAATGCCACGCATAGAGGGCTGTGGGGATGGGCTTCTTCTAGGATGCATGGATAGCTGTGGGGAGGCATGTGGGCTCGGTCTGCGCATAGGTAGTGGGGAATGCCTAACTTCCATTACCGGTCCTCCGAAATTAGACATGGGATCCATGGATGTCATGGGTGCAATAGGCATAGACAGAGGAGAAGTCATCCCTACTACAGACCTCCTGCTTGGTGTGGGAGATGGTGGAAATCCACCAGTTGGAGCCATATATGGCATATGTTGATTGACGAATCCCTGAGGATTATTTGCTTGCTTAATCAGCATGGCTGTTGGTGTGGGCAATTGAGGCATTGTGGGATGAAGCAACTCATGTGGAGGCTCTGCCTGTAAATAAACATCATCCATTGGGGCTCCAGGCATATATGGGTAATTTTCATACTGTATCTCTGACATTTCTTCAAAATCATATTGTGTAGGGAAAGGAGGAAGCTCAACATCAATTCTTTCCTTACCAAAAAGCTTAACTTGGGGTCTTGGAACTCTGAACTCCATATCTCCATGAAGGGCCATACCCTCCATAGAGAAATCGGCATTCTTCTCACCATACATTCCATAAGCTTCTTCACCATCCATTATATCTTGCATTGGATAACTATAAGGATCATACATGTTATAGGCAGACTGCAGATATGGATCAACATCTGATTCACTGTAATTGACCTGATAGTCCTGAAGATAAAGATTTTCATAGTCCCCATATGCGTCCATGTACGGATCACCTGACATTTCAGCTTCATATGGGTCACCATAAAATCCCTGAAGGTCATCATAATATCCAAACTGTGCCTGGGAATATGGATCCATTTCATTCCCATAGAGATCATAAGCATTCTCCATTGGATACTGATCATCATAGTATTCCATGCCATCATCAAAATAAGGATCCAGTGGATGCTGCTGACCATAGTAGCCCATTTCTTGTGGATAATTGCCCATCTGCTCCTGAACTCCATATGGGTCACCATAGTCCATACCATCGTCATAATATTCAACCTCGTCCTCCATGCCATTGTGTGGCTGATAGTATCTATCCTGCATGTCATAATAGCCTTGATCATGTGATTCCAAGTCATAATAGTTATTTGGTTCTTCATACTGACTGTACTGCTGTTGAACTGTCCTTGAATAAGATGGTCCTTGCATCTGGGCATATTGTTCATCATACCTGTTAGAATGTTTATGGATTGACTGTCTTTGGAAAGCACTCCTTCCACCCCTGCTCTGATTATTATAATCATAACCTCCAGTGTCATGTTCATATCCATAATTGTGATACCCAGGATGAGCTCGCATGCTAGCTTGGCGACTTTCAGCAGGAAATGAATAGTTTTTGTTGTTTTTCTGGCCCCAGCCATTACGGTTCCTTCTGCTTTGACGCCCCTTTATTGAGAGGAACCTCTTGGTGAGCCAGTTTGTTGCCCCAGCAATCTTACCTAATACCTGGCTTCTATATTTAAATCCAGACCCATCCCCTGCATTCTTCTTCCCAAAAAGCCCTTTAAAAAATCCTGGCTTTTTCTCTGCTGCTTTAGAACTGCCACCTAATTTAATAAGCATATATGTTGGCTTTGGCCCTGATGAATCTTTTTTTTCCTTTTCCTTTTTCTTCTTGCTGTTTTTGAAACGCATCATGAACTTTGGAGCATTTCTTAAGAGAGATTTCCTCCTTTTTTTCCTAAGCAAACGATTCTTTCTTTTGCCAAGTCCAAGAAAGAGCTTGGAAGTGTTTTTAAGTCGTTTCTTTGAGCTCTTTCTCTTTCTAAATCCAGAGAACCTCATAAAAAGTTTAGAGGTATTTTTCAGCCCCCTTTTCTTTTTCTCTTCAGGTGGTGGCTCAGCTGGTGGCTCTTCCTTCTTTTTTCCCTTCTTCTTCTTTCCATCTTCCTCAGCTCTTGATTTATGATCTTTGGCTTTCTTTTTTCCTTTTCTATCCTCCTCTTCACTGTCCTCCTCATCTTCTTCCTCCTCTTCTTCCTCCTCATCTTCATCAGAATCAGGCGGTCTAGATTTGGACTTTCCCTTTGCAGTTTTACCTTTAGCATCTTTTCCACCACGCTTTTTCTTGCCTGCATCTGACTCTTCATCCTCATCCTCCTCGCTCAAGTTTTCATCCATCAACTCAGCATCTGAGCCCTCGTCAGTTTCAATAACTTCTTTCTTTCCTTTGCCTTTATCCTTTCCCTTCTTTCCATCATCTTTTCCTTTACCCTTGGGTGGCTCTTCTTTTCCTTTCTTCTTATCATCCTTTCCTGCCTTCTTGTCATCCTTTCCACCCTTCTTGTCATCTTTTGCTCCTTTCTTATCTTCTTTGCCTTTCTTTTCTTCTTCCTTTGGTTTGCTTTTTTCTGGCTCTGGTTTTCCTCCTTTCTTGGCTGCTGATTTTGAGTCTTTTTTGGCTGGCATTTTATCCTTTTAAAACCATGCTACTGTACCGCCTTTCTGTCAAAATACAGAAAAGTGTTTAAACAACAAAAACATTCTAAAACAGTATTGCTTATGTACAAACTACATTCAAAGGCAGCACATAACACTTTAAGGATTTTCTAATTTGCAAAACAAACCAAACAATATGGACTCTCACTACAGACTTGACCACCTTTTGCATATTTTGGGATAATAACTGAATATAAGACTTACCTGTTGCTGAATTTCTTTTATCTCTTCTCTGTACTTTCATAGATGAATTCTACATAGAGAGCATCTAAATCTCTGTTCACATGGTTCCACAAACCACAGCGCCCGACAAGGTCTATTAGAAGGACCTCTGTAGCAGAAGTTCTTAAATAGAGATCCTCTGTTGTGGTGTCTGTTTGTTTCTATAACCTTACACTCACCCACACACTCCTCTTTTCTTCTTCTGTTGATCATCAAGATAGAGAGGCACACCTACCTGTATTTCTCAACAAAGGACAACTTATGAACATACAAATAATTCCAAAAAAATGCAGTCTTCAACTATGATATGCCATCCATGAGTGACTCAGACATGAGCTGTGTGTCTGTGTAAATGAGAGGATGTGTGTCAGGTTTTTAGTTCTGTTGCAATGCTGTAGAAGGAACCTTAATTTGTCAGCTCGACTTGCCTTGGTGTAACTTAAGCTTGGGTCTCATTCCAGCATAAATAATGTAGGCACAGAGGCCCGTTACTACACAAGGTTGCACACACACACACTGTCAGTCACACACACCCAAATCTATGGTAGAGAATGCAGGCATGAATCAAGTGTACCAGCATGTGATTGCACTACTCTACCTCAACCTCCCATGAAAGTACCCTAATATTTGGTTCAGTTTATACCAAAATTACTTCTAGAAATGGTTAGATGCTGTGTGCCAGTATTATCCAAGCATGTTACAGTACATACCCCACTAGACACAGTTATACATTGGATCACTGCTGCACCACAAAAAAAAAAAAAATAAATAAATAAATAAATAAATAAAAATAAATAAAAAATACATATCACTCTGTCCCAAGGGTAGCTTTGTGGCTCTATCATCACTGTTTGTTTCATCATATACCAACCTACAGAAAAGCAACTAAAAAGTGTAAAAGATGGACCTATGAAAGAGTGTGATTTATAAGCCTGTTTCAAAAAAAGTGAGTGTTTTTGAAGTGTGCTGCAAAAGTATCTGAACAAGCTCACAGAGAGCAGTATCTGTGAAGATATGCGTTCCTACAAGGCCTCAGTTAAATGACAACAACAAACAATGGTATACTGGACAACTCAGAGCTTCATCAGGCCAAAGAAGATGCTTACAGGAATAGGGGTAGTCTTGTATAAAAAGACCGATTACACACAGAAAAAGGAGATTGGGACGGCAACCATCCAGATTACAGTATATCGCTCCAACTTTGAACACCTCTCCACACAACCATCAACACCTTTTGAAAAACCATTGTCCTCCACACCTGGACTTCAGATCAACCCGAAATTGAACTACTTTTTCTGAAAGCAGAAGAGGAAAAAAACTCCAGCTCCAGGTTGTGTTTCACCAGCCTGTCAGAGATCCTTTGCTGACCATCTGACGCCTCCTTTACACAGATCTTCAACAGATCACTTCACCTGAGCTTTCATGCTTCAAAAGCTGGTGCTGGTCCACTTGAAGGCCACGAGGGTACTGTTAATGAACCCTCTTCAGTCTGCCTACAAAGCAAATAGTTGTTGGGGACAATAAAGTCAACACAAGACAGCATATTATACTCACACTATGCTATCCAAATCGTGGCCAGGTGTGTTTCCAGGTTCGATTGTCAAGTGTGAGTGCTCCGAGTTGGGCCCATACGCGGTTCAGTTGGCCGGTCCTGGTCCAGTTGTAAGAGTTGTGACGCAATGCCACTTTTAAGAGACTGTTTCATATGAATTTATTAATCATTCTTACTTTTCAATGAACGAAAACTGTCATAGTTTTTTTAAAGAGGCAAACCCCTCGCTGCATTTTAGCTGCACCTTCAGCAAACCTCCTAATACGTGCAGCTCGATGACTTTTATGATAATCGTTATCGTCACGGTTAAAAAAGCAACTGTACCTGGTGAGAATACCCAGAGGTAAGGATCCTGTTTGTAGACTTCAGCTAGGCTCTTAACACAATCATCCCAAACCTCCTCCAGCCCTATCCACTTGTTAAGAGGTGACGTGTTTGTGACGTATGTATACTGTTTCCGGGTCCAAGCCGCCATTCATTTGAGGGGAGAAATCATTTGTTTATGATCACATTTTATTCCTATCACACATTAAAGTTAATTTTATATAAAATCATAGTGTACACAACAATCTCTGGGCTTGCTGCATAACAAATACCAAAATTTTAACAATTTATAAAAAAATTAATCACCTTCTGGCCATCGGATATTAGGCATGGACATATATGTTGCGATCGTGATTTTCGAAAGACTTAAATCGCTTTGTAAACGTTTATTATTACCATTTCATGAGTCTCCCCATTCAGTTGAATAGAGCGCTTGGACTCATCTCTCTGTCCATCTCTCTCTGGAGTGGATCACTAACTCTCTGACAGACAGGCAGCAGGTAATAAAACTGGCAACATTCTCATCCAGCACTTGTACAATCAGCACTGGCAGCCCCAGGGATGTGTTTTTTCTCCCATGCTGTTCTTCATTTACATGACTTCAAAAGTCCCCTCTGTTCAGCGAATAAAGTTTGCAGATGACACCACACTTATCTGCTTCATTCAGAACAGTGACAAGTCTTAAAAACAGGAGATTAAAGAGCTGATCACTATCAATTATTTCACTCAAACATTTTTGTACCTTACAATATAGCATTTCTTATGGTGTGACAGCACAAATTTAAGAACAATAACTTTTAATAAAAAATTTAATAAATAAAATAAAATAAAATATAAATTGCTTGACAGTAATTTATTCTAACTGTTGAGCATTTATTTTAATATAAATATTATTTTAATATAAATTGCTTGACAGGCATTTATTCTAACTGTTATTTATTTTATATGAAATTATGAATAATATTTTTCTCCATGACTTGTTGGGCATTTTCAATACATGGAGTGTAAAAATTTTTTTAGTGGTTTCAAGTTAAATATGTGAAAAATTCTGAGACAAAAACTGGGCTTCACAGTTTCTGAGAGTGTATGATCAAACACAGCATGATAATATCATGGCACTTTTAACATGCTAGTAAATGAAAATCCCTTTTGGACCAGATCCACAAACATTTGTCAAGATAATGATAATTATTGTTAATTTAAAGGTAATTCACTTTCAGTGATACAGATACACAACCAGTTTGAAAAGTAACGACTCATTGATTTATAGGTTACTAATTAGCAGTGGCTAAATATTTCATACATGATCACTAACGATCAAAGTGTCACTGGAGTACTCACACAGGAGTAATTAAAATATTGACGTAGGGTTGTAACCATAGAAGTGACCAGGTCAGTGCCAAGAACTGGCGTTACCTGGCATCTAAGAACTACTTAAAAACCGAAGTCTGCACTGACACACTCCTGTTTCAGTGATTAAAAATGTAGAGGCTTCGTCACCAGTTAGAGTAAGTGCAAAGGTGAATATCGATAACTGTCCTAAATGAACACGTGTGTGCTCATGAGGGTTTGAGTAAAGACAGTCATTGAGTTTGCTTGCTTTCATTTTGGTGACCTAGAGGAGAGAGAGAAATCAAAAAATTAATCAAAGATTAAGTATGAGAATAGTGTCAACTCCATGTCAATCTCAAATTCGTAATATTAGGGTTTTAAACTGAAGGCAATTCCAATAAACCAATCATTTAGCTTAATTCACAAGTTTGAATGTATAATTATAGTATGCATGCCTCAGATACATTTTGAACTTTATAGTCTACAAAATATTCCAATATAATTTCTAATGTAAACATGAAATTTGTCAGGCAACCACAAATAGTTTGAACTAAATGTAATTTCAAAATTATTTAATTACAAATACCATACTTGAATATCATTACTGTGCATATCAAATCAATAAAATTTAGCACTGGAAGTTATTGCTGAGGACATCAATATATTTTATTATTGATTTGTTTAGCAATTACAACTGACTAAACACCTTGCCAACAGTCATGACACTGTATAAATTAAATTGTTTTCAGTGTGATACACTGCCACCAAATGGAGTATCATTGCATATGCACAAGAGCTTAAAAAAATGTCACGAAGATGTCATAAAAAACTGAAAGTGTATAAAAACAGAAGTACAAGATCAGTGAATGATCAATAAAATCTAAGTGGCAACAGCAATGGCCTGAACAGGAAAGTGACAATTCTGTCAGCTAGACTGAAACTCTCTCACATACATACTGGCTAATTTTGGAGCCCTCCTTTCTGAGCTTTTTTCTACTGTAGATCAAATTAAAATAAATACTTTTGTTTGTGAATGACTCTGCAGCCTGTAGCCAGCCTATTGTAAGGGGTGGTTCTTTTTTCTCAAAAAGTGGACCTTATTGCAGTTATTCGCTCCATTTTCTATTTACTGATGATATTTAAATACTGCATTTTAGTGACATTTTAAGCACTATTTTTAGCTGGATTAGCTTATTGGATGGTTATCATAATGACACTTTTTAATATACCTCAATATTTACTAAAGATTTAGAACAAAGAAAAAATAATAAATACTTATTTTAAAATAGAAATTTATTAAATCATATATAATTAGAATTTTTTAAAAAATATTTTAAAGTTTTAAATTAAAAACTGTAGCCTATTGTCATTTTTTAGGCAAATAACAAATTGACCAGCACATCCAACTTTTCTCAGTCAGAATTTGTCTATTTATATAATAAAAAATTAAAACATAATAATAATAAAAGAGCTTCATGATTTGTCTAGACTCTTGTAAAAAAGTACATTTGATTGAAAATTCATGGATAACAACAATAGCCAAATTAGTATTCAAATTAATTTTAATATGGGCTGCTTTTGGTGCTTCACCTTTTTATCTGTAATTTTTTTGTTTGTTTTAAGGATAAGGCACAAGATTTAGAAAAAAATTACTTGTAAAATGTTTTCTGTGTTAAAAAACAATACAGCAGTAAAAGATGACTTCACTCATATTCGATTCGACTGTATGTTTTCTTGCACAACTGGATGCTGGACTCATGTGACGCTCAACAGATGATTTGGTTTGGTCTTAAAGCCTTTTTCAACTGGTAATTTTTTTATAATTTATGATGGTGTAGCAGTCAAAATAGGACAAATGAGCTCATGTTTGGAACAAATTCTGGGCATTTGTCTTTGAGGAGTGGGTCTTTCAAACCACCCAATCCCCCCTGGCTATGGGCCTACTGTAATTACTAAATCACTGACTAAGTGATTAAAAACTGTTGTGATATAAAATACAATTATATTATATATTCAGAGTTGTCTTATTACAAAAGTTGCATCTGAATTGTTTGATCTACTCAAACTCCCAAATCACATACAATCTGTAATCGTACAATTCTTTTACACAAAACACAACAGATAACGAGTAGCTCTGGATGTTTTTATGTGGAGTAAACATAAGATAACTCACCATGAACTACACGCCTGTGACATCTGAATATATTTTACAATCAGTCAGTTTTCTTACCGGCTTACGTTATGTGGCCGGAGTATAACTAAATTATAAAAAACACCCATTTAAAAACATAACTAAACCCAATTAAAAAAAGTTTGATGATGTTTGTAATGTAAATGTAGGCTTCGAAATCGAAGTCTCGTTCATAAAAACGTCGAGTCGACTAGTCTTTCCACTGTTCTAGAAGTCGCCATCTTGGATAGTCGACCATCGTGAGAAATATCAATTAAACAACTTAAATTATTCTACATTTACAAAATATTGTATAAAAATAAGAGTCAAACTTTTGGTAAACACGGTTTTCATCCACAAATCCTAAAGCTTTTCAGCTTTTGTCGATACATCCCTCGGAGAACTCATTTACTGACTGAATGATTCAAAAGATTCGAGTCACTGAGATCAATCAAAAACCCCCTCCATTATAACTGGCCGCAGACAGGCGCGCGCGCTCGACTCTGGGTGTGCACGACAGAGCTCGTGAACGCGCTCAGCGGCGCTCTTCCGCAGAATCAGATCCTTGCACACAGCCGCAGCACCGGGAGGATGGATGGAGCGGGCTCGTTTGGAGCGGGCCGAGCCGGTTCGGCCTTTGATCTGGTTGCGTTCGTCAAACAACCACAGACAATCCTAAGAGCGTTGGCATGGGTAAGAAGAGAAGCTTTATATGAACTATGATTAATAGCAATATTATCTACCGTTTCTGTTCCTCTTTCACCGGTCGAACGGTTATTTGACCAGGCTGTATTTCCCGTCACTCGTTATATTTGTTAATTTTGTATGTTTTCATTTATATCACGACGATTGTAATCATGTAGTTTAGTGATTGGCTCTTACTAATATAGAATAGCGTCTTCTTGAGGCGGACGGACGCACGTCAGATGTTGCTGAGGTGGTGACGCAGACATTGCGTGCGCGCAGTTTTTAAACCACTGGCCTTATACTGGTCTCGACAATAAATATAAAATATAATAAATATGTGATAAATATATGGTTTGTTTTTAATACTACTACTAATATGAATAATAGTTTGTTGTTTAAAGCTTACTGTATCAATAAATAATATGAAAGTTCAGAGGAAGAGACTGCATTGATGTCCCTCACTTAGTTCAATTACATGTCACTGGTGTAATGTATTGATCTTAGTCTGATCAATGTTTTGTTGTTGTTGTTTTCAAATGCACTTATTATTGAGAATGTGTCCTATAGTTTATACAAAATCACTATATTTTATCTCGCTATATCAATATTGTTTTTAGTATTATAACTGTAGTCTAGTTTTACATTTTTGTTATTACTTAGGATGAGGATAAGATAAGATATCCTCACGAAGATTGAGAAAAGTGTATTAACCTTTTTTGTACTACCATGAATTATAGGAGTTACTTCTGTTAAGCAACCAGTGAACTGCTTACAGATGAGTTGAATATTACAGTACTGTAGCAAATACAAAGAAAAAATGCTTAGTGAACTCGAAAGAGCTTTGGTCACAGATATGCGTGTAATACTGTCATGTCAAGTAGTTTTATTTTCATTACAGATAAAAATACAGCACAAAGCCAAACGTACCTCTCACTCAGTTTCCCCTTTAGGTAGATTATTTAGTTAAAATTATTTGTTTCAGTTCTTTTAAATGGAAGTTCCCTGAACTGGAAGTGCAACCCATGCACAGTAGTCACATGTGGATAAAGGTGGATGCAGGCTTTCACAGCAACGAGAACTGTGCAAAAATAACATTTTCATTATAAAATGACTGGGAAGATGAATTTGTTCCAGCGTTATTTTATAATCATTATTATAGTATTGTATTTATTACTCATTTCTGATTTAATAAAAAAAAATGACCAGGATTCATGATCTTTCGCAAAAAAAAACGAACAATTTTTTTTTACATTATATAAAGTAATATGGAAGTTCAAAGATATGCTGATGCCCCTACCCAGCGTAAAAAGCTGATTCACCTTTAAATACCATATATTGACTTATTTACATATCACGGTGTATAATAAGGATGCTCCAATAGATCGTCCGGAGATCGGTATCGGCCGATAATCACATCTAATGACTCGATCGATACTTGCCAATCTGGCCGATCTCATAAACCATGCCAACTCATGAAGTGTTTGTTTACAAGTTTACAAGTGCAAGCAATTGCAGCTATAATATATACAGATGTGGAGCAATCTCTGTTTACAGTCTATTGGTGTGACTCGCTTGAGTGATGGTCTCTTTGTTGCAGCCATTGTATGTGTTTTGAGCAGCTTGAGCTGTTTTATCTATCATTTTCCGTTACGCTGCTTCTGGCTATGACATGTTCACACCTAAATAGTTATAAGAGACATGTTTAAGGATTATATGCTGCATACTTAATTTATTCTCTTAGGTAAGGAGAGATCTCCACTTAAGTATCGTACTTTGAGGGAAAATGTGCTTTATGCAATACAAAGCTTAAAGCATCAGAATTAGTACTCGTTATCGGCTGATCACCATGACAAGGAATCGGTACTTGTTATCGGCCGATCACCACAACATGGAATCGAAACTCGGTATTGGGCGATCACCATGACAAGGAATTGGTACTCTGTATCGGCTGATCACCATGACAAGAAATCGCCACTCATTATCGACTGATTACCATGACAAGGATCGGTATCTGCAGATCATCATGCTAAGGAATCGGTATTCGGTATCGGTCGGTCACCATGACAAGAAATCAGCCAATTACCATGAGATGGAATTGGTACTTGGTATCGGCCGATCACCATGCCAAGATATCGGTACTCTGTGTCGGCCAATCACTATGACAAGAAATCGGTACTCGGTTTCGGCCGATCACCATGACAAGAAATCGGTACTCGGTATTAGCCAATCACTATGACAAGGAATCGGTTCTCGTTATCCACAGATCACCATGACAAGGATCGGTATCTGCAGATCACTATGCCAAGGAATGGGTATTCGGTATCGGTTGGTCACCATGACAAGAAATCAGCCAATTACCATGAGAAGGAATTGGAACTTGGTATCGGCCGATCACCATGATAAGAAATCGATAAAAATTATTAGCCGATTACCATGACAAGGAAGTGGTACTTGGTATCGGCCGATCACCATGATAAGAAATCGATAAAAATTATTAGCCGATTACCATGACAAGGAAGTGGTACTTGGTATCGGCCGATCACCATGCCAAGGAATCGGTATTCGTTATCGGCCGGTCACCATGACAAGAACTCGGCCCCCGTTATCAGCCGATCACCATGACAAGGAATTGGTATTTGGTATCAGCCGATCACCATGACAAGATATCGGTACTTTGTATTGGCCAATCACTATGACAAGAAATCGGTATTCGGTATCGGCTGATCACCATGACAAGAAATCGGTACTCGGTATTAGCCAATCACTATGACAAGAAATCGATACTAGGTATCGGCCGATCACCATGACAAGAAATCAGGACTCGGTCGGTATCAGCAATCGGAGCATCCCTAGTGTATAATTAATAGTGTTATGATTGCATATTGAAGATAGTGATTCCATATTACACATACAGTTAAAAAACAATTAATAACGCTGCTGTAAAACTCAAATTCATTTCCATATATTACCCAAGAGCTTTTTAACAGAGATATTTTAAGCACTACAGTTTAAATCATTTTAAATAACTAGTTTATTTTAGTATTTTCTCCAGACAAAAAATATAATAGGACATACTGGGAAACATGTCTTTGCTCTGTTAAACAGCCCTTGGAAAATATACAAAAAAAAATAAACATTTCAAATCTTCAGATGTACAGTACCATATTATATTTAATATGACTCAATTTATCTGACTGTATAAGTTAAACCAACAAACACAAGACAGATCTCACACATGTTGGATATTGCTTGTTCCTTTAACAGTCTTTCATCCAGCCAGCCAATAACTAAAGCAGCTGCAGCCGTTTCTATGACGACTGTGTGATGTGATGTATGCGTCAGTATATGGAGTCTCATTGCCAAAAATAGCACATGGCACCATGATTCCCGAGCATTGCTGTTGATTTTCTTTTTGATTCATTCATTCACACTGCTGTGCACTTTTCACTGTTCTCTCCTCATCTGTTTAAGCCGACATGCTTTCATGTGATCTGTTGCATTCGTGTGAAATAGCCACATTTTCTCCCTGAGGTGTAAATGAAATTCCTTCTGTGGAAATGCAGTGGTAAAGAGAATGATGTTTCACTTCCATTTTAGCATGTATAATACAAGAGAAGCGCTACTTAGGTGCCTTCCGAGAAGGCAAATAATTGAATGGTTTTTATTAATTTAACACTGTGAGTTTAAGGAGCTGTTTCTGTGACTCTCATCTCTTTTTTTTTTCTTTCACTGTGTCCCTCCAGATTTTCTCCATGGTGGTCTTTGCGTCTATAATAAATGAGGGCTATGTGAATATGGGTAGCGAGCGGCTGCATTGTGTGTTTAACAAGAACGCAGATGCCTGTAACTACGCCATAACTATAGGAATTATGGCGTTCTTAGCAAGCGTCTTGTTTCTGGCCCTGGACGTCTACTTTCCTCAGATCAGCAGCGTCAAAGATAGAAAGAGAGCAGTGCTGCTGGAGATTGCTTTTTCAGGTAAAAATGTTTGTTACTCAAAGTAATGTTTATTCCCATGCATCTGCACTGATATTCAGAGAGTGATTTTGATATTTAGAAAGTATCCTAAAGTGATGTATGAAGCCAAAAATACTGTGCTACAAGTTTAGGTAAACAATCAGAGATTCTAAAATGTGTATAATCATAAATGTGTTGGATGTTTCTTTAACCCTATAATTAGCTTTCAATAATTAGCTTTTAGTGGTTTAACCCTACAATTAGATTTCAATGTGATTTTGTTCCTCAAAATAATGGTTGTTCTATGCACTTGCACTGATATTTAGAGAGGGATTTTGTTATAAAAGTAAGCTAAAGTGATGTACTAGACCAAAAATGCTGTGCGTGTGCTACAAGTTTAGTTAAACTATCAAAGTGTCAAGTAAGTGTATTATCAGAAATGTGATGAAAGTTTCAGTGTTTTTACCCTTTTATTTGATTTTTCCCACATTTCTTAATAAGCATATTTTCTTATACTATTATAAAACAAACAATTAAAATGTAAATCACGCAAAAAAGTTTTTACATTGTCCCAAGTACTGCTATACAGTATATGCTTCAAAATATGTATCAACATTAAATTAGGGAAAATGGGAAAAAGTTTTTCGCTGCTAGAGATCACTTTAAGGTCGTTACCGTACATTTATAGGCACTGTTAATGTCTAATGTCATCTTATATATAAGTTGTACTTCCCATATATATTTTTAAATGTAAATATATATATATATATATATATATATATATATATATATATATATATATATATATATATATATTTTTTTTTTTTTTCTCCACTGTACATTTATTAAAATAACTTATTTGAAAATAAAATGTAATAATTCAAAACACTTTAAATATGTTAATATACATTTTGTATAACTATACACACACCAGCCACTAGGTACACCTGTCCAACTGCTTGTTAACGCAAATGTTTAATCAGTCAATCACTTGGCAGCAACTCAATGCATTTAGGCATGTAGACATGGTCAAGACGATCTGCTGCAGTTCAAAGCATCAGAATGAAGAAGAAAGGTGATTTAAGTGACTTTGAACATGGCATGGTTGTTGGTGCCAGACGGGCTGGTCTAAATATTTTAGAAATTGCTGATCTACTGGGATTTTCACGCACAACCATCTCTAGGGTTTACAGAGAATGGCCTGAAAAAGAGAAAATATCCAGTGAGCGTGGGTGCAAATACCTTGTTCATGCCATAGGTCAGAGGAGAATGGCCAGACTGGTTCTAGCTGATAGAAAGGCAACAGTAACTCAAATAACCACTCGCTACAACCAAGGACTGCAGAAGAGCATCTCTGAATGCAAAACACGCCGAACCTTGAGGCGGATGGGCTACATCAGCAAAAGAGCATACCGACTGCCTCTCCTGTCATCTAAGAACAGGAAACTGAGGCTTCAACAACATGACACCATGGCATCAACAACATGAAAGCATGGATCCATCTTGCCTTGTATCAGCGGTTCAGGCTGGTGGTGGTGGTGTAATGGTGTGGGGGATGTTTTCTTGGCACACTTTGGGCCCATTAGTACCAATTGAGCATTGTATCAACACCACAGCCTACCTGAGTATTGTTGCTGTGCATCTCCATCCCTTTATGACCACAGCTTACGCATCTTCTGATGGCTACTTCCAGCAGGATAACATGCTATGTCATAAATCACAAATCTTCTCAGACTGGTTTCTTGAACATGACAATGAGTTCACTCAAATGGCCTTCACAGTCATCAGATCTCAATCCAATAGAGCCCCTTTAGGGATTACCTCTGAGGAATATTTTCAGTACCTTGTTTACTCTACGCCACGAAGAATTAAGGCAGTTTTGAAGGCAAAAGAAGATCTAATCCCGGTACTTGTACTAGTAGGACTAGTAGTGTGTACCTAATAGAGTATATATAGATACATATGGTATGCTTTTATTTACAAATATCTCTGATTGGTTCTATAATAGACCTGATAGCTGTCATTTCCTCATAGTAAATAAATGTAGCATGTAACACACACGCACATTTACCATGTTTTCTTTTTTAGGATTCTGGACGTTCCTTTGGTTTGTAGGATTCTGCTTTTTGGCCAATCAGTGGAGTCGTACGTCTGATAAGGAGCTTCCTCTGGAACAGGCTTCAGACGCTGCACGAGCTGCTATTGCTTTCTCTTTCTTCTCCATCCTGACCTGGGTAAAACACCCCACCTCCTGCATATATACACACTCACTATCATGCTTATATTTGATTGTCAGTGTTGGTGTTTGTGTTTCAGGCATATCTGTGTCTGCTAGCTGTGCACAGGTTAAAGAGCACTGCCTTTATGGAGGATAAGCACAAGCTTTTGTCCCAGAAGCCTAACAGTCTCTCAATAGTGTAGATTTCCTGCACATTATGTTAATCTGAGAGTTGTAATATCGATATTTGATATTAATATGATCAATGCAATGTGCAGTGCTCACTAAAACAGCTTAGATTTATAATAAACATTATAAATCTATAAAAGAAAAAAGAAAATACAAATAATATGTGTCAGAAATATTGCTATAGTTGTAGGTTTCTTGACTTTATTTCATATTACTGGATTGATGTTATTGGCATATAATATGCTACAGTATTAGCCAACATGTTACATTATACAGTACCTATATGCAGTATGTATGTACATTTATGATTAATTTATTATTAATCATCTGATATTTTAAGATTCTTTCACTCCAGCAATTGAATGTTAAAAATTGATTACGTAATAAAGCATCAAATATGTTCTTTTTTATATAACTTTGCATTCTGTAGTTAATTGATATCATAAAATTATTAAAAATACAGAAAAAAGCAGCACAACTGTTTATTAGACAATAAGACATTTCTTGATCATCAAATCAGTATAGTAAATTGATTTCTGAAGGATCATTTGACACTGAACATTTTTTATTAAAATAAGATTTTACAATATTATATTTTTACTGTATTATAATCAAATAAATGCAAATTTGTCAAAAAGAAAAAACAACCTGAACCCCATCAAACTTCTGAACTGTGAGATATTTGTACATTTGTGCAATTTATGTACAGTACAGTATATATATGACTATGGCATGTATTATGACACATTATGTTTGCTGTTAACCTGAAAGAATGCAGAAATGTTTCTTAGACACAAATATCTACCTAATATCTAGATCTAAGTGTTTTACTTAATGTTTTTTTTGGACTGTTTTTAATCTTAGCAAGTGATTTAGCCGGAGAAGACTATATCCTGTATGTGATTTAAAATACACACACCTTTCAACACATTGTCTACAATGATAAAAAGATAGTTCACCCAAATATAAAATTACTTCATCATTTTCTCTCCCTCATGTGGTTTTAAAGGTCCCGTGAAGTGCTTTGAAATGTGCAATTATTATTCGATGTTTGACTTAATCTCAACTTAAAAATGAAGAGAGGTTGGGGCATAAAGTAGCTCCTTTTGTTTTCCTCACAGCTCTGCCAGTGACTGTTTGAGATCAAGCACATCAAATAAAAAGCAAATGAGAAGCGTCTTGAAGAGGGCGGGGCATGTCAGATATTGGAGAGCATTTGATTGGTCAAGATTTGGTGGGAAACTGAAGTATGAGGTGACATGTTTATCCATTTAGGCAGAAGTGACAAACTGCAAGCTTGATCAGGTTTATATCTTCTAAACACAAATTTTGCCACTGTTTTGCAGCACACTTAGTTAAAAAATAGCCTTAAAACTATCTTAAACTATCATCTAGATATTTAAATTTTAATTTCACAGGACCTTTAAACCTTTGCAAAAAATAATGGTTGCTGACACTAACTGACTTCCATAGTAGCAAAAAAATAAATAAAATTATAATGGAAGTCAATGGGTGCCATCAACCGGTTTTGAACAAGTGAAGGGTGAGTAAATGGCAGGATTTTCATTATTTGGGTGTATTATCTCTTTAAAGGGAATGTGAACAATAAATCCCCCTATATACTATACTTCCAAACAAACCAAAACAAAGTTTGTTTGGAGTTTGAATGTAAAGTTTAAAGCACTTTTAAACTCCCATTGGTCCAAAGTGATTGCAAAACAGGTGGGTGTGGCTCTGTGGCCCCGCCTTCTTTTACACTGAACTTTTTGTCAGTTTAATTTCATCTTATTCAAAACATTCTTGTCGGTTAACTCAAACTGACTCTCGCTAGAATTCCTGATATTTCTTACGCATGATTGCCTTTCTGCACTATTAACAATTTCCTATGTAATCTACTGCAACTTATTGGCAGCAGTTTGCCAGTAAAGTACTGTTAAATAGATACTAACAGCAAAAATACTGTATTTATTTACATTTACAGCTTTACCGTAAATCTTGCTGTATATGTATTTACAGAATTGTATGTGTATCTTTACTGTAAAATATACAGTAATTTTCACAATGCACCTAACATACAGTAACATACCACATAATGTAATTTTACAGTTATATACTGTTTAAATTACAAAAAATTGTTAAAAGTGTGAATAACACCAAAGTCCCTTTAAAGCAAGTCATTTCACTCGGCGGCCATATTTGATTGGGGAAACATCAAATTCTCTAAACCTGCTTGCCAAGCTATTAAGGCTCTGTGCACACGAACACAGGTGTTTTCTAAAACTGTACTTTTTTCTACATGGTTTGTCTGTTTGTCTACATGTAAATGCAGTGTCAGGTGACTAAAACCCCAAATTTCTGAAAACTTTGTCCAGGGTGAAGATTTTCCAAAACTCCGGGTACAGTGTGGCCATTAAAACCAGAGTTTTAGCCTCATGACGTCATTGTTTTCTCCTCTCTGATTGGCCAACATGGCTTGGTTCACTCCCAACACGGAAAATGTAAATCGCGTATACCGCATTGTTCAACCGTGGGACAGTAATCCACCTCTTTACTCATGTTTGCATTGACTAGATTAATTCCCCATTTGATGTAAACTCAGTATAAAAGTGTCACTATCGCCACCTGTTGGTTCGACATACACATAACATGCATCACAGTGCGTTTTCATGTGGATAGAGATATTTTTAAAAACAAAAGCAGGGAAAACTGTTTTTAAAAATATCTGTGTATGTGTGGACATGCCCTTAATTTCATATTAGGAAGCACCAATAAAATTAAACAACATCTGTCTCTTTAGTTTCATTTCTAAACGTTCGAATCACACAAAATCTGCAGACACTCTCGTCTGGTCTGTGCCCCTCCCCCGGAGAGTCATCAGTTTATAGCGGTCAATGATTGGCTTCTGTACTAGAAGGCGGGGCTTCATTTGTCATATGATGTCATGCAAAGCAGCTTCCGGGTCCAAGTGCTCTATCAAACTGTGTGGGGAGACTCAACGAATGGTAATAATAAACGTTTACAAAGGGATGCAATACTTTCGAAAATGATGATTGCAAATATATACATCAATGCCAAATATCCGATGGCCAGAAAGTATTTAAATATTTTCTCAATTCAAATGAGTGATGGCTTGGACTCGGAAACAGTATTACATGCGTCACTGATACATCACGACTTAACAAGCGGATTGATCGCTATGCTTTTTCCCCATTCAAAACTATCCGAGTGACACGTCTTGTGTATTCTATAGTCTTTGCTAACACGTTAATCCAACTAACCTGCATAATCCTGGTTATCCTGACTAGGCGGGGCTCACGGTGTGTGCAGTTCAGCGGTTCCTGCTGGGCACCGACATGACCCTGTTCACCAGCGAGCAAGTGGTCAACCAGCCACCCAAGCAGACGTACCCATCCAATGATGTCATCGGTCAGACCACCATCCCCGTCAATGCCTACCAGAGTCCACCGCTCATCGAAACTGTGGAGACCCGGCCACCTGGATACAAGGTCCCACCTGCGTTTTAATCCACAGCCAATCAGAAGCAGCGCTGAAGGACAGAGTATAGAGTGCCGTCAATGTTAGCTAAATGTATTGTATTGCATTTTAGTAGTGAGGAGGCGAGGGGAAGATGCTCAGCTCTGTAGTACAATACTCACTATTATACACGATCCAACCATTATGTAATCTCACCTTTACTAATGTTACGGGACAGTGATTGATTGCCATCGCCTGCTCGAAATATTTACATCATCCAAATTTAGTCAGAAAAGCATTTACACGTCTTATTTATGCAAGGTAATTAAATAAAGGCACACTTACTATGGACGCTGTTGGTATGGACGCATTTTTCACTGAAAACTGAGAGAAAATGTGACGAGTAACAATAATACTGAAAATACTGAAATCTTTTTTAGTGTTTTCATTGAGTATTCTGGCTTAGAAACTTATAAATTATAGTTAAACTATAAATGGTATTACATTCTGAAGCAGTAAGAACATCTCAACTTCTCAAACATTTTTACTGGCAAACATCTTCATGACTAAACAAGGAAACTGCGAGTTAAGTTAAATTAAACATAATTTTTTTTTTGTAGAAAGATTGACATCATTTTACTGTGTCACTAAAAAAAGACCAAAGTTTTATCTAAAAACGACAAGTAACATTAAAATAATGGTGATATTTTAAAGTGAAAAAACTGAAATCTTTTTAGTTCTGTCACTGAATGTTCTGGTAACTTACAAATTATATCAATTATAATAAAATTCAATTTTGAAGCAGAAAGACAGTCTTTTCTTCTCACACATTGTCACTACGAAACATTTGCCCGATTAAACAAGGAAACTGCAAGGTAAATTAAATTAAACCTGATTTCTTTCAAACAGAAAGATGGATTTTTACTGTGTTCACTGTAAAAAAAAGACAAAAATTTTACTTAATAATGTCAAGTGACATTGAAATAATGGTGATATTTTAAAGGGGAAAAAAAAAACTGAAATCTTGTCTTCTCATACAAATGGTTACATTCCTGTTACATATTTTTTTCTAGGAAACATTTTCAAGATTGAAATTAAACCTGATTTTTTTTAAAGTAGAAGATTGACATTATTATTCTGTTTTCACTGAAGATTTCACTTTAAAATATCACCATTATTTTTATGTTACTTGTAGTTTTTAAGTGAAACAATGAAATATTTTAGTGTTTTCACTGCGTTATCTGGCATAGAAACTTACAAATTATATTCAATGTTGAAGCAGAAAAACTGTTTTTTTTTCTTGTTGCACATTTTCACTAGCAAAAAAAAAACTCACAAAGTGACAACAAATGGACTTAAAACATAGATATACAAAACACTCTCTTCTAAATAAACAAATTAATAAATAAATGAATGAAAGAATGAATGATTGAATGAATGAATGAATGAATGAATGAATGAATGAATGAATGAATAAATAAATAAATGATCAATCTCTTCAAGTGTCCAGCCTGATTTAGTGTCAGATAGTTAAGTGGTCCAGTAAGCTGACTGGATGTCACTAGCCAATCTGGAGGCTGTATAGAAACTTATAAATGATATGAGTGATAATTAAATTATAAATGACATTACATTTTGAAGCAGAATGACAGCTTTCTCTTCTAAAAACATTTTTACTAGGAAACGTTTACACAATTCAGAAAATCGCAAACAACATCATTAATTGAACATGATTTTTTTAAAGTAGAAAGATTAACAGCGTTCTACTGTTCACTGAAAAAACACAAAGGTTTCACTTTAAAAGATCGCCATCATTTCAATGTTAGTTGTAGTTTTCATGTGAAACTTTAAAAGTAAACTGAATAATCCGGCATATAAATTACATGAATTATAATTAAAATACAAAAAATGTTTTACTCGTCACATTTTCACTAGGAAACATGAAAATAAACATGATTTTTTAAAGTAGAAATATTGATTGAAAAAACAAGTTTCACCTAAAAACTAAAAGTGTTATTGAATTAGACATGAAATGTATAGAAAGACTGAAACTGTATTTTATTCTTAAACATATTCCAACACTCTTTGTTTTATTTACAACTTAAAATATTTTTATAGCCTACTAATGATGACCAATTATAAAGTAATCGCTAAACTATACAAAGTGGTTTACAGAAATACGAGTAGCAGACCACCTTTATGGACAAAAAACCAAAGGCTTTTAGACCACTGATCACTATTTCTTGTTAGTATACAACATTTCAAATATATTTGACAACATATTCTATTTGTTTGCAAAAGATTCCCAGTGCAAAATGTATTATTTATACTTTTACAATTAGAAATGATTTCTGTCTTGATGGACAGCTGTACATCAGTGTTTTACTGTAGTAAAATCAGTGCAGTTTGCGTCACTTGTGTCAAAATCTGCTTTTGTTCATTGAGAATTAGCACAGTTTGTTTAAAAGTATTATGTGCTGTCACTATAGAGAAAATGAGAGTGCAGTGTGTGTGTGTGTGTGTGTGTGTGTGTGTGTAAATGGAGCAGTCAGAGATATTCCGGATGAGATCACTGAGATTACTGAAACAGATTGTTTACTTTAACAAGCATATTTGTGCATACCGAATGTGTGTGTGGAATGTGTGTGTGCTTGCTCTAATTCTGTCTAATTGCATGATCTGGTCAAATGCCACAGATTTTCATTGAAGCAGAGAGGAAGTGTTCTATTTTGTTACAGTGTCTGACATACAGTACCACGAGGTCCTGAATAAAGATGAAGGAGTACAGTGAACCTGGATGTGTGCTGTGATTTAAGAGCTTGTATGTTTTTTCTGATGTTTATGAACGTAAAATACATTTTTTTAAAATGACAGAATTTTCTTCCACTAATAATAATGACATGATGATCATAAATAACGACAGAATATTTATTTTTTATTTTAAGGTGATTGCTGTGCTGTTATTGTTCCATAAATGTAAAATCATCATTAATATTATTTATTGGTCAGAGCCTTTAATATTGACTAAAATGAAAACAATTACAAATGATTGCTATAAAGATATTTTTGGTCATTGGAAACAAAGCTGAAAGAAAATATAAAAAATAGTAAATAAATAATAATGACATGAAACCCTGTACCGCATCGGATGACATTCCCTCCCTTTTTTTCTTCAACCTCGCTGCGCGCACATCCTGAATGTTTACAAACCAATAATTTGTCTAGTGTGTTTAGTTGTTTATGCTTTTTTATTTATTATTATTTTATTATATATATATATATTTTTTGTTTTTTTTTTGTTTTGTAATTTTTATTTGTTTTACAAATTCGTGAAAGAAAACTAAAACACATAAAAAATTTACATGCAGTTAAAGTCAGAATTATTAGCTTTGATTTTTTTTTTTTATATTTCCCAAATGATATTTAAGAGAGCAAGAAAACCTTCACAGTATACCTGATAGTTTTGTTTTCTACTGAAAAACGTCTTATTTGTTTTACTTTGGCTAGGGTAAAACTTATGGTTAACTTAATTTACCTAGTTAAGCCTTTAAATGTCACTTTAAGCTGTATAGAAGTGTCCTGAAAAATATCTAGTCAAATATTATTTACTGTCATCATGGCAAAGATAAAATAAATTAGTTATTAGAAATGAGTTATTAAAACTATTATGTTTAGAAATGTGTTGAAAAAATCTCTCCGTTAAACAGAAATTGGGGGAAAAAATAAACAGGGGGGCTAATATTTCAGGGGGGCTAATAATTCTGACATCAACTGTATATAAAAATCAAGCAAAAATATAACAGTAAAAAATATTGAGGTACCAAAATGACTAAAAGTGAAATTAAAATTGGTGAAAAAAACTATATAAAATTTTTTTTAAATATGTACTACATGGAACGATTTCAGAAGTTTGAGAAAGTTTATGGTTGAAAAGACGGCATTCTCTCAAATCATTTCAGTCAATCCAGTTTAATAAGGAGACTTTCATGAATCCTCCAACACAACACAGCCCTTGAAAAGAGATTCTGATCTTATAAAAGCTTTACATGTATATATTTATGATTTTGCAACCCAGATTTACAGTGTATCCCTTATGATACTGTGCTTTATTATGCCAGAAGAAATCAAATGAACAGAAATAAGGGCAGGATACAGTTGAGTTGAAAAACATGCTGTTAATAGCAGAAACTGTCTGGTGCTTCCTTTATTCGTCATTTCAAACACGCTGGAATACATTTAGGTAAACTAATGCGCTTCAGAAAACAGCTATGAATAAGCTTCATGACACAAAGCTTGCAAGTGAAGTTTTGAACATGAAGTTCTCAACAAATAGGGTAAAAACTAACGTAATATTTCTACAAAACAAAAATGTCATTTTCTTTAGACTGGGAGCATGTAATGAATAAATAACTAACAAATTCACAGCATGCAGAGTGTTATACCTGTAATATTAAGGACAAAAAATATCAATTTATTTGATATAAGATAAATTTATTTGATATACAAGTTTATACAACAGTTCTCGAATCTAATTGGCTGACAGTAGCAGTGTGATATTCTGCAATAACAGCACTCATACATCCCTCATACATCCATCAGCCTGTCATACCAAGTAGAGCAAAGACGGTTGATGCTCCACCACAAGATGGCGACAGAGACCGCATAATGAGCCCTTAGAGGAGAAAAACTGGTAAGTGATACTTTATGTTGATCTATCTTTTTTGTATGTTGTAGTGCTGTGTTTATTAGGGTTGGGCTGATAGACGATGCCATCGTCCATCGCCGATGGCCAGCAGACACCACGATGCTGAGTCAGCATCGCGATCCTCCGCCCCGCCCTCATTGCAAATCCGCTCACGAAAAATACGCACTCAGTCCCTGTTTACACTAATAGGTCTTAGTTTTAAAAAGGCATTTTCGAACGAAAACGATCTACATCCACCTCAGCTAAATTTAGCATTTCTGAGCAGCCCTCCTTCCACACTACCGCTGAAAACGCACATCCCTTGACCACACACAGATAGGCACATACACAGATGCACACACACTGTCATGCGCTCGAGACAGCGGGTCCAGGTAGTCAGCAGGTCAGTAGACTGCTTCAATCTTTCACTTTAACACTTGTACTTGGTAATTTTGGCAAACACCTCAGATATTGTTGGCTGGTTGCTGTTGGTTGTGCACCTTTTTAACCAACAAAGTTTGTCGACGCCATTATAACGACACAGATCACTCTGCCTTTTCATGCCTATTCATGAGTCCCATGGAAAAAGTGATTGACAGGTGGTAATTGTGTGCGTAACTTATCTTTATTCCTTTATGATTTGTTAATTGGTAAAACAAAGAACATGTAACGGTAGGCTGCAAACAATTAATTTGTTACGAATTAATTGATCGATTCATTTATTTTCTTGGCTTAGTCTCTTTAATAATCTGGGGTCACCACAGCGGAATGAACCTCCAACTCATCCAGCACGTTTTAACACAGTGGATGCCCTTCCAGCCGCAACCCATCTCTAGGAAAGATCCACACACACAAAAACACACACTCATACACTACAGACAATTCAGCTTACCCAATTCACCTTTACCGCATGTCTTTGTACTGTGGGGAAAACCGGAGCACCCGGAGGAAACCCACGTGAATGCAGGGAGAACATGCAAACTCCACACAGAAATACCAACTGAGCCGAGGTTCAAACCAGTGACCTTCTTGCTGTGAGGCGACAGCACTACCAACTGTATCACTGCGTCGCCATAAATTAACTAATTGTTCATAATTGATTCACCGCTGCCTATGACGACGATGCCATCGTTCATCGCGATGTTACTTATTAGACATCGAACGATGCCAAATTGGTCGACATCGCCCAACCGTAGTATTTATTACATAGTAATCTGGTAGTGTTTGCTTTGCTTTACTGGGAATAAATACTAAATACTAAATACTGGGAAATCTCTGTAGACTGATGGTATTTCATGCAGTTCAGCCATATAATCTTAAAATGTGAGCAAAATCAGCTGTTTTGTCATCACTTCAGACATTATGCTAGAGAATCATTCAAATACTAGCTCTAAAGTGACGTTGGTGAATTAGCAACAGTTTCTGCTGTTCTGACGTCAACTGCAGATGTGAATGAATGGCAGAAGAAAGTAGTTCTTCATACTTTTTGTGTTTGATTTTCTTTTCTTTTTTTTTAAACGATATGCTATCGAACTGTTGTATAAACACAATATCGAATAAATAGCAGTGCAATGTGACTGTATATCATCATTGGTGGAACACTAAGGCAATGCACGCTTCCCACCAGTGCCGATATACAGCCATTTCACACTACTACTTGTGTGATATTACTCATTTAGCACTACCTGGAAACCAACATTGTGACTCAAACCAAATCTAATTTTTATTATATTCAGTTTTTATTGTAATTGAGCTACTTTATAGAAGGGAACAACAATAGAAATTCTTGTGAAGTTGTTACATTAACACATATGTAACTTATTTTAAGCCCTATTTTGTACCATATTAATGGAAAGTATTGGTTATGCGTATTTCTCCCTCTTAGCCTACTGTAAAACACTAATCTGACTCCCGAAAAGTTCAGCTAAAATGTAAATCCCTCATTATTTACTCACCCTGGTGTTGGCGAAAGCAGAACACTCATCTTTTAGTAAATAACAGTCTTTATCGAGTAATATCCACAGTTTTCAGCATAATGTATCTTAGACACTCACCCAATGCTGTCATCTCCTAATAACACCATGAAGCAGTCAAACAGCAATGTGGATCTCACTCAACACACATGCAATCCTGATTATACTGAGCAGCCCTTGATTTTTTCCAGAAGTCTCCATCACACTGTGATAATCAGTCAGAAACACATTTTGAAATATTATCATACATGATTTTGGGTGAACTACATCTGGCCTTAATTTTTCAGTTTTAAGAGGCCTTTCACACTTAAAATATATACTTTGTAACCCTGGGTTAATATATTTGACTTACTGTATACTCACTATAATTTGATCAAAAGTAAAACTGTATAAAATATGTATTATTATTTTTTAATGATGTTTGTATTTTTAATATTTCATAATGCTGTGTATTTTTCCAACCCAAGCTTCAGCTACGTTTCCATCCACCTACCTATATGCGCATTTTGGAATATCGCATAAAAAAAACCCTGACGAAAATGCCAAGATGTGCATAAATATTTTAAAAATGCACATTAATTTTGTTAATGCACATTTTTAAAATGTTTATACGCATCTTGGCATTTTTGTCAGGGTTTTTTTATGCAATATTCCAAAATGTGCATGAAAATAACTGAGTAGGATAAACGTTTAAAAGAAAAAATGTGTATAAACTACTATGGAAATGCATTTACCAAATAAATTCCAGCATGCGCATAAAAAAGTCATGTGCATAAAGAACATACCCGTTAACCCTATTGTTTTTTCTGGGATTCTCCTGTATTTTACAGCTCTATCCTGCTATCATCCCGTGAAGGTATTTTCCTGTTTTCTCCCGTATTTTCAATCTTTCTATGAAGGGTGGCAATAAACATTAAAGAGCTTATCCTTCCTATCCATACCGCCAAACCACCAGGGGACACCCTTTCCTCTTAAATGTGAATCTGTACTCTGCTTTTGTTTTACTTAAGCGTGAAAACACTTTTAAATAAATATAAAAACGGCGGGATCACCTTTCCTTTTCATTACAGATGCTGGGGCCCCTCCTATGCAACCCTATGCAAAACAGTCAGTTTATGTAGTTTACTGTTAGCTG